CGTAGTTCCGGCCGGAAACTGTAGATCGATCTGTGACTCGAATTGGATTGAAGATGGGAATCTTCCCGCGCACGCACCTCTTTCCTGTTAGAGGCTTTTCGATGCTGATAGTGTGGCTAGAGGCTGATTTTTCGCACCTCTCCTCTGTGCAGGTGTTCTCACTTATACATCTTGGTATTGTATACTTTAGGTCAACTTGATGATATCAATCTGAGTGTTGACTCTTCGAACTCGAGATGAGACTTTTGCTTTTCAGTGTTGTTTGCTAGTAATACTGAGCTTATTGGGAGTAATTTGGTTTTAGATTAAGCTGAAAGCAAAAGTGAGGATTTTCTGGTGGTGCATAGCAATTCTTGTGATTGAATTGGATATAAGGACCCCCGTAACACTTTAGACCTAAAACTCCCTCGGTTCCTTGCATGATGAATTTGCATGCGAACCGGACTAGATGATTAATACACGAGTCAATAGTAAAGAGGTGTCAGGTATATTTCCTCCAACATCGAGTGGAGTGTCATCGCTATTGGTGGAGTGCCATCGCCACGGGGAGTACCATCGCTCCGCTCTATCCACGATGAACAACGGCAGCTAACACATGAAAGCCATTTACCCTGCTGGTACTTATTCTACAGAGAAATCTAGTAGCGGATGGGGTTGTAATTAATCTAAAACCCCCTATTGATGGAGTAGAGGACGGAGGATGGTCATGGTCATGGTGATAGCAGCAAACAATTTAGGGACGTTTTTGAAACCCGTCCCTAAATCCAACCCCAAATTCGACCCTAAATTAGGGACGGTTTTCGGAATTAGGGACGGATTTTGAAAATAGGGTCGGGTTTCAAAAACGTCCCTAAAAATTAGGGTCGGATTCCGAAACCCGTCCCTAATTTGTATTGGTTTTGAAAACCGTCCCTAAATTAGGGTCGGGTTTGAAACCCGACCCTAATCTCTTAGAGTTCTCACTGGTACTGCCGGCGTCATACGTGATTCCCGCCCGGCGTGAAGTTCTGACGTCACTCACGACTGCCCATCATCCACGATTGAGGCACGCTCCTGAAACAGGAGTTATTGTAGACATTGACCCATGAGGAATGAGGTACGTACGAAGTACTTATGGGAACGGCAAGAGCAAGGAGAATAATTGTCTATTGCTCGTTGCCTGGCTCTGTTGGCAGGCACTTCCTCTCTACTCAGTACATGCCTACTAGCTAGTAGTAGTAGGCGGCTATGTAGTCTAGTAGGTTTATGTAGCCAATGGAGTGGCTACATGTATTAGCTAGTAGTACATGTGCCAGTAGAAGAAGTAGTACTAGTACCGGCAAGCAACCAGGTCGCCAGGTCACTGACGTTGTGGCTGTGCAGGCTTCAGAATGTCGCCTCCTCTCTGCTTCTTGAAAGGTTGAAACAATTGCCGCTCACTCGCAGGTCATGTTTTCGCAGGATACTTTCACCTCATCTGACTCTACTATCTATTACCCCAGGATGCATTATTCTTGTACTTATGTAGGATGATCCCACGCATGCAAAAATTGATGACCTTCCTTCAGATGGCTGTGTGGGAAGTGGAAGCAATTTGTGGAAGGAAGAGCCTGTAGTAGAGGCCATTGCAGACAAACCTATACCTTAGAGCATGCAATACCAGGGTACCCCAAATCACAAATCCCATACAGGCGAAAGCTTGACATCCTCGGTGCCCGGCTATGCTTGCGCGACAAAGAGAACCTCAACGCTCCTATTGTGATGTTAGAATGACGTAATTGCCGATGTGGCAATTCTTCTCCTTAAGTAAATTTGGATCCAATGAGTCAAATGGGTTTGGGTCGGCTGTTGGGCTTGCGCATACAGTTCCGATTTGCGTTGGAGCTTACTCAACCCAAATCGCATTTGACGCATTTGACTCACTGGACTCAATGACACATGGTTGGCTGGCGATAATAGATTGCTTAGGTCAAATAGTTTGTGATTTGGGGTACCCGGGTATTGCATGCTCTTAGAGTACTAAATAGTAGTCTCCGTGTAGAATGATTCAATCTACGAGTACGAATGCGGATAGGTTTTGTCAATATTATTCTCAATGATGTTTGATGTTTGATGTTGTGTGAGACAAGGGAAAAGACATTATTGTAGGAACGCTTGACACGCGCGGAAGTGTGGGAGATCTATCAGCTCAGGTTCCAGTGACATGGTAGTGTTGTGGGTTGTAACAGTGTATGGTACCACTGGTAGAGTGTACTATCAGTACGGTACTAGCTAGCTAGTAATAAGTAACCGGAACCAAAAAGGTTCCCGTAACCCTAACCTGACCAATCTTATCACCCCAACAGCACATGGGAAGAGCTAGGCTATCTACCGATAGCTAGAGAGTGGTCTCCTATTGATGCGTTGCTGTGGTGATAGAGATGGGCCGACTTGCCTTCAACATCCGGTTCATTGACCGAGCAACCGGCCGCTCCCTCATGTATTGTGTGTTACTTGGGCCTTGGTAACCCGGGAAATATACACTACTAGTAGTCTTGGACTTGCAAGATGCCTTTCACGTGAGGGGTCTTCACGACGTCAGCAGCCTCCTATGGCTCGAGCTTGCGAGCAGCTCGGCGGAAGTGGAAGAAGTCAACTTACCTGCTTCGCGGATTGAATGATCGATTCAATTCGATTGCGATCGATTCCGTTCGATTGGAGATTGAATCGAAATCATTCCTGACGAACCAACTTCTATCCGCACCCGCTGCGAGCCGCTATCTACGGACCGGTATCGTACCAGTACTGTACTGTACCGATAGGTCTCTTCAGCATGTGAACCTGAACGGCTCTGTTGTGCTGCATTCACGCCATGAACATGAACGAGGCTGAACTGCATTTGAGTGATGATAAATGAAGGAAGCTGCTTCTTTAATGTGCGAAATCATGGCTGGAGTGGAACTAGAACGTTTGTGGTCCTAAGAAACTTGGGCAATGCCGGTCCTCTCCTGAGCTTGCCCAGAGTGGTTCCAGGAATAGACGGGCTGGTTTCAGAAGATGGCACAGTGGTGGGGTTTGCAGCAGCCCAGTTTGCGATGGAGTTGGGCGGTACACGGGTAGGGCCGGCCGGGGTGTACCGGTAGAGTCAGGCGTTGATTCCAGATATCGTTAAAATATCGAGTTTGGCTGGAGAGGTGTAGGCAGGTCCAGGAGATGGGTCTCAGGCGTTGGACAGGGCATTGGTCAAGGTATTCAACTGCGGAAAAGCCCTTGTTCAAACAATATTTACTCCTCCTTTTCCCAGTCCCTCGAAAGAGTTTGCCGTTTACCGCGAATTGGGTGCAGTGAACCGGTCCTTAGGAAATGCACCGGTACCGGTAGTGACTGAATGAATCCATAAGTTCTGTGCACCTCGTGTACAGTAGTCAAGTTGTTGAGAAAGTGACGTTCAAAGTCTCATCTGCCATCCCACAGCTCATCCCACACGCGCACGAGAAGGCAACACGCCTCGTTAGATGTCCTTACCCAAGGTCTGCTTCCGAATAGTCTTGGCATGTACATGTACCGGACAGTGCGGTGAGCTGTCCTTGCTCTGGGGCTGGCCGCATCCAAGCTCTAGGCTCTATACCCGTACCTCGACTGGCCCGGGAAACCCGCGAAGAAAGTGGGCGAACACCTCGCCGCACATGTTCCAGAAGCTCAAATAGCCAACACGTGCGGCATGGAAACTATATGGTGAATTTTGTATTTCGAATAAACCTAACACACCTACAATGCACAAAAAAAGATTGAATGGGATGACATTGTCTCTAATTTAGAAGTATGTAACAGACACAAAGACATAGTCATCATGGGTTGTTGATTGTGGGGACAACAGTGCGATGCAAGTTCGAAGTGCAGTCATTCCGTGAAGAAAACAACTGCTCGCCATCTCGATCCGTACGAATGGCCAATGGCGGATTCCTCTTTGATTGTTGTCCGCTGCTGCGAATTGTTGAGTGATTTTTTGCATTCCCTTGAAGACTGGTCTCTACTCTTCGTATATTGGAGCAATCAGAGGATGCCATTGATGTAGCCAAGCACATAGCCTAAAGAAATAGTTGAGTAGAAAGCACAAGAGGCATCAGAAGATCCATTTTCGCAGCAAAGCACAGCAATCAAGGAGCGGCCCAGCGGCCCAACCACGGCAAAACTGCCTTCGCTAAACAAAACTCTTTGTCTGAAGAGCAAACGTACCAGAATAGCCACATTCCGAATGATGCAATACAGACAACAACATTTCCGATTCTGGTTTGAAAAAGAACGAAGAGACCAGTGTTAGCGCCCACAGCAAGACTCAAACCAATTCGTATCCCTCGGCGAGCGATCCATCTTGACTCACGCTGCTTCATCCTTGTCCATTACGCCTACTGCTCTTGAACCAAACACACCGCCAAGGCCCAAGAAGCAGAGCAGGATGTACCCAAGGGTACCTGTGACAATTGGTGTTGGGATTACGTCGAACATGGTCAAGGTTAGCAAGGTTGAGAGAGATACAGAAGTGTCAACGACAACGCAAAGCTCTTGGTCCTCTTTGCCGTCGCTGTTTGGTTTCTCCTTCGGGACGCAGGCCGGCCACCGGATCCAACGCATTTGGATACTTTTTATTCGTTGCTTGATACTTAGTTAGCGAACAATGATCGGGCTCGCGTCAGATTTATAAGGGTTAGAGCTAACTACTGCCTCCACCTTTTCCACCGTCGAGCAGTCTAGCTAGAGCTATGCACAGTCCAGAGTGGAGGTCAGGAAAAACTGGGGCGGCTGACCACCTCTGAAGTAATCTCTAGGTTTCTGTGGCATTGTTGAGGTGGTGTTACAAATGTGCTTGTTGTCTGGATTCTCCTGGAGTCTGACTCTCTTATCTCATTGCTCGCATAGAAATTGATTTCGGCTTTCTGCCAGGAAAACAGATATGTGTGCATCTCCAGAGGCTTAGACTTGTGACTCGCTTGTCGACCCAAGACCCATTGGCCGCTTACTTCAGATACGGTAGCACTGGTCAATCTCCATTGTTGTCACCTGAGCACTCGTATGTTCCCTCTCACCATCCTTCCTTTTGAATCCATCATTGCTGGTACCATATTTGTTTGTACTCTTCAAATTAGTTTTTACTGATCCATGGCCCAACTAGTTGTCGTATTCCAACAGGGCAGCGCCTCTCCAGTAAAACCATCTTCGTTCAGATCCATGGTTTCAATTGGAAGAGTAATTATTTGCTAATGTTAAAAAATATATGAAAATTCTAAATACAGATGTGGTGCGTTTATGCGGTCTTGAACCATCCAGAGCTGTGGGTACCAAGGTCCAGCCTTTTGAAATAATATCAGCTCTGATATCCTTGCCGCATCGACGACATGAGTTGAATCGAATCAAGTCGGAATAGGTATCATCAGGAAGGTTTTCCTGTCCACCCGTATTCGAGTCGAGTCGAGTCGATTCTGGGTGCAGGTCTCTATCATGCCATTGCATCATCCGGTGTCTCGGCTATCTCTGATTGTGATTTTGCCAGCCGTTCGGCCTCATCTTCGTCCTTTCGTTTTTGTCGAAGCCTCCTTGTGAACACACCTTTTCTCATAACGGCGATGCAGCACAAGACTCCAAAAGCCGCCAGTCCAAACCAAATTGAAACGGCCAAGATTGCCAGAATGGATTTCCCCCACGTTATGTTCTTCCAGTCGAACGTTATCAGATGTATAATGGCTTCGAGTATGCAGTTGACAACAAACGGAGCCAATGCCAGGACCATGCATATGTCTAGTAGGTATCTGTAGCAGATGCAACAGCAGGAAAAGGGGGACTTGGTGTCTGGCATCAGTGTGTAGGTGTACGCTTGTTCGTCCTCGTTGTCATCGGAATCATCATGCTCCTCTTTCTCTCGTCGTTGTCTTCGACTACTACGGCCCATCTTTACACACGCTTGTTGTTACGAGTAGACTTGCTGTCCTTGTCCAACCTTGTTGAGGGACTCAGATATCAAATATTTAACAGGAAATGGAGCTGGCAGCATTATCAAGGACGGCGGAAGCCACCAACAACGTTCGTTGGATTGTGGTTGGAAATGTGAGCATCACGTGTTGCGCACCTCCGCCTCTTATCCTCTCTTCAGCTCTGTTGATGTTATTCCAAAAGGTTGCCTAATTGTTCAACGTTTTGTCGAGAGGGAGCTAGTACTGAAACACTATAGAGATTTTGGTTATCTAAAGTCTTATTCCAACTATCTAGGGTGCGCAATGCCTAAGTATCGCTATCCATTGCATCTATAGTAAAATAGTACCATGCAGTCCGTCCGTCGACAAAATCGGATTTAGGGATGGGGGAGGCGGGATGAGAAACTTGGGATTGCAAATACTGTCTGTGGCTAGTCTAGCTAGCTAGCTAGAGCTAGAGTACCAGGGCGAAAGCGGCAGAAAGCAGTAATGTGATTGGCTAATCAAGCTAATACATCAGCAAGTGCGTCATGAAAGATTCAAATATACTTAACGTACCGTCTATAAATATTTACAGGGAAACTGTGCTATAAAGTTCCAAATTTCTTGTTTCTGTTTTCGCGAAAGAAAGATTCCGTGAAAGCCGATCGATCGCGACGATGGCGCTCTTCTTCTCCACTCGACAGTCATTTTCCCAGCCAAACAAGCGAGTAGCAGCAGCAAAAGACGACCATGACAACAACAGAAGCTACCACCCACAATGGAGGAGGAATGGGCTGTCAAAGTCAACAGAGAAAGTCCCAACAGAAGAGGGCATTTCAACTCGCCGCCAACAGCCACAACAACAACAGATCCTCCAAGAGAGCGAGAGAAGAAGGACCACAAACAACACTGGGAGGAGAGGCAGCAGAAGTGTTTGATCCACTGAAGAGCTGTATCATCTGTAAGGCCAGACATTGTGGTCTCAGAGTCCCCAAAAGGTCACACTCTGTCTTCTGTATTAAGAATACAATAACAAGAGGAAGAGGACCTCTGAATGAGCTCACAATGGAAACCTTCAGAGAGAGCAGGAGACTCACAAGGCATTTCAGTGCTCCTCTTCACTGAATGAGAGAGGAAGTTGGAAGCACTCAACAAAGGAGAATGGAGAGGCCTTCTTCGCTGCTAGAACAAACACAGCCAAGACACCAAAGCAGAGCCGGCAGCAGGAAAAGGAAGCAATGTCCACTCCAGCTGCTCTGTGTAAAAGAGTCACAGCTCTTGTGAAGGATACTGCCTTTGTGGAAAGTCACAAGAAGAAAGGAGCACCACTGGCAATGGTAGCAATGGCAGAAGCAGTGTCAGAATCCATTACCAGCACAAGGAATCAAGACATAATCAGCCAACACTTTGAAGGACTCACCATGACAGTTCCATCCACAAAGGAGCAATTCAAATCCCCTCACTATTACTCCATTGTTGGCCAGAAACTCCTCCTTGTAGACTGGAACAGGTGTGGAATCACTGTGGCTTGTCCTGATCGTGAGATGCTCTGGCAAACTCAAGAATATAAGGACAAATTGGTCAAGAAACAAGACTCTCTTACACACTATTTGGACTCACCGGACCTCCATCTTGGTGCATGGTTATGGAAATGGAGTGCCGGTGCTGCAAGAGAGTCTTCAAAGCCAACAGTGCAGAGGTCTTGTGCACCATCCCACAGCATGCAGCCCTGCTCTATCCTGTGGACTCCAAGTATGCCCTGCCAAACAAAACATGCCACTTGCAGAGAACTGCCACAGAGGCTTTTGAAGACATCATGTTGACCTATGGCAATGGCGGAACTCTGCAGCCGCCTCATCTACAATGCAATCAACAGGGAGTACATTAGAAAGATGATGTCATACTACTCCTATTGGGAGGGAACTGAGACTGAACCAGATCCCTTTGTTCAAAGGATGGGACTTACATTAGACTGTTTCCTCCCCTTGGTGAGACCATCCGTGACATGTATGATGCGGCGTCTGCTACCAACAGGAATGCATGGAGGATTAGTGACAATGACAGGCACACAAGAGAAATCCAAAGTGTAAAGTGCAACAAAGGGATCTTCTGCCAAGACCATACCTTTCAGGTGATCAAGAACTACAGCAGAAGTCTTGGTGCTGCTGCTGTTTGGGATGCTGCCACAGAGACTGGTGAGATTGCCTCTGCTGTGCTTGTTCCCACCACAAGACAATCCACTCTCCCATGCTGCCATGCAGCTGGCTAGGAGGACCAACTTCAACCCTGCTGCCATGTACAGCGACACATGGCCCCACAAGGATGACTACTGGGAGATACTCTTCCCAGGAATTGAAGGAAGGCTTGGTCTGTTTCATTATGAAAAAAGGATACTGTCAACATTGAGAAAAGGACACATCGATTACTCTCAAGCACTCACAGACCTCTTGGATTGCCTTTATGTCTACTCACCGGATGACTATGAGAAGCTGCTGCATGCATTGAAGAATGGTCTCTTGTCCCCCAATGGCAAGCACTACTCCATGCCTGAGATCTCCGAAATGCAAGCCTCCAAGGTCTTCAGAGACAGGTACTCCAAGTTTCTAAGAAAGAAGATGAGAGAACCTGAGACATGAGACAGAAGTTGCAACAGTGGTTCTGCAGATACAAGGTTACTGCCAGTGATGGTAGCCAGCCAGGACAGGGCAGACTGATCCAGCCAAGAACTACACCTTGTTCACTCAAGATACCAAGCCAGCAGTAGAGAACTGTATTGACAAAGCCCCTCACCTGGCTGATCCACTGCCACTGGAGCAAATGTATGACACAATCCAGCCATCTCCCAATTCCAAGCACAATCTCCCAGAGTATCTGTCAAAGAGAGGAGAGTCAAAGTTAGAGGCTTTCCATGACAAGTTTGCTCACTTTGCTAATAGTGGAATGAGGAGGTCTCTTGCTGACGCACTCAATCTTGCTGGCACTGCTAGATACAACCTCAAGATAGACAAGAGAGCCTTCCTGTCAAGAATCAGTGTGGATGAAAGGAGGTCAATGCCAGCTGGTTGGGAAAAGGTTGTTCCATACTGGAACCACTCAGAGTTGGCTTACCTGAATGAGCTAGCAGAAGCTGCTGGTGTGGATGCCCCTTCCCAAATGCAGAGCCATTGCCACCTGACACTGGAGAGAGATTCTTTTCAGACTTCATTGTTTCATTCAAACCAAAGAGACAAAAGTATGCACCAAATGATTGCTGTTTGTGTGCAGCTTGCACCAGTCCAGTTCCAGTTTCACAACCTCAACCTCAACCACAGCAACAACCTCCACCACAACCACAACCACAACACAGCCGGTTCCACTGCTCCAGCCTCCACCACCCAATCCACCACCACAAGCAGCTCCTCTGGCACAAACAAGAAATGCTTATGTTGGTAACCTGCTTCTATACAGACAACAACAGATTCAAATGATGCAACTCCACTTACAGATGCAGCAAAGATTCCAACCAATACTGCCAAATCCTTTCCATCAACCTCCACCGATTGGCTGCTGTCAGAGATACTGCCAGTGGTTGACTAACGAGAGGAAGACCACCTCATGATGACTGTAAACTCGATTGAATGGATATCAGGCATAAGCAACAACAGCAACAACTCTTTAGGTACATCAAATTCATCTCTAATTTAGAAAGTAACTTACATATTGCCAATGAAATCATCAACCATAGTCTCACTCATCATCTGAATCATTGCCAATGAAATCAATAACCATACTCTCACTCAGCTCAGCCAATTCCTGGAAGGAAGTAATCTTCTCATTGTCATACCAGCGGCAACAATAAAAATGCCAAGCATCCATATAAAACTGTCCTTCAAGGGAGGAAACCTCATAGCTCTCACTGATCCTTTCCCTCACTAACCAATAGATGCACTCAATGAGATGTCCTTCCTTTCACAGCCAGCGGGATGTGGTGACTCCAACATTTCAGAAAGAGTGGAGACAACAGCTCTGAACCATTTGGACTTTTCTGAAGGCCTGACCAAGCATGTAATCCATGATGTCGGTCATGGAAGGAGGAAGTGGCTTGCATGCTCCTTGCATATCAACTCCTCAAGAACAGTCACTTCCAGGTTTCTTGTTGCCAAACAGAAGTTATCCTCCTCATCCTGTTGTACCCACAAATGAATACTTGCAGGTGAATCCTTGCCTTGTTACCCTCACTCATTGAATGGGTATCTGTTGCACTTTGCAGCCATTGGAGAAGGCGGGAGAAGTAGTGGGATCCTCATTGTCGACGATTTGTTGTAATCCGGCGTTGTAATCCAGCGAGGTTTGATTTTCGCGAGTTGTGGCAGTAGCGATCTATTGTTGCCAGCAGTACGTGCCCCTACCCATGTAGACGCTGACTTGAAGGCACCAAGCAAAGCACAAGGTAGTAGTGGTTGTTGTTGTCGTGTCACCACAACAGAGCAGTGGTTGCACTGAGTTTCCGAGCTGCGCCGAGTTTCCGAGCTGCACCGAGTTTCGAGCGATGGTATATCCAGCGAGCGATACGACGGAGCGATCGAACGTTCTTTATCCATAGTAACAGTAGTAGCAGTAGAAATATCATGAGCTATTGCGAACAAACAACCGCCATTGTCAATCTTTATCGAAACAAACAACAATCAATCACTTACAGTTGTACCTTGCGATGGTTTTCGGAGGTTGGCTCCTTGATTTGAATTTGTGGGAAGGTTTGGTGCGAGCCAAGGAAAGGAGCGAAAGTGATTAGCCGTTGAAGATTCCAGCGATTTGAATTCGGTTGATGGCAGTTGTGATGTGTTTGCTGACATATTATTGTTCTTCGGACGTCTTACCCATGGTTGGATACTTAAAGGACATGGGGGGGAATACCAGGTCATTGCCGTTTCCCCTCTTCTTGGTTAATTACTGGCATTTTCGTGACCGGATCATTAGCCCTGCCTGCTCTCAAACGGGAATTCGGAACTCAACCGATAACCCTCTCCCTTTTTTTTTTCTTTTCCCTCCCCGCGCTGCTGCCTAACCCCCCCATAAAGTCGTAGCAAGTCTTCTCTATTGGCCAAGCACTGGGGACGGAGAGAGTTGCCCCCCTCTGCTTGGAAAAGGATACGACCTAACCTAGCTAGCTACGGTAGGCAAGAGGCCTTGGATATGAAAGGAAGAGACAGCACGAGCAACAGCGCATCTGTTTTTGGTCCAGCACAGCTAGAACTACTGCATGCACCGGTGCAGTTACATGTACGGTAGTAATCTGGGTATCGTATGTTTCCTGGGCAACCTACATGTAAGAATTGTTCCAAGCAAACGCCGTTTTCAAGTTCAGAAATCTGATTACTCAGGAGTGCCTTCTTTTCGGCAGAAACAGATTTGAAGCAACTGCAGAGTAAAATGCAAATAAATTGAGCTGACCAGAGAATTAATTAACGTTGCCACATATTAGGCATGCAGTACTGTGCCTCCTCCTTCTTCGTGTCGGATAATTTGGGCAGAAGCTACTGGCAGTTTTGCTGGTGGTGGAGGAGCGGTTGCTGGTGGTGGAGGAGGGGCCACCTGTGACGGGTTCACAGCTACACCTGCTGGGGATGTGGGGGGCATTTGTTGTTGATAGATGCAGGGAGCATATATAGGCAACCCAGTCTCACTGGAAACGGTGTATGGGTACCGGCGTTCATTATGAGTTTGACGGGCCAGCTGGATGGCTGTGCAGCAGGAGCAGAAGTTCATGCACATCATATCCTCAAAGCCGCCATTGCAACAATTGCAGTATTCAGGAGGGATATCAAAACGCTCCCGGACTGCCATCCTGAGGCGAAGTGTGAATACACACCCCCAAATAATGATAAAGGGAATCAGAAAAAGGCTCAGCCCAAAGAACCAAAAGATCAGATAGACTGTCCAGATGATGGATACTGTCTTGCATGTATTGTGGGCTTGTTGTGGTTCGTATGACCCACAATAGTCCAATCCCATTCGTTGCAATATTTGCCCCAGAAGGATGATATTGGTCCAGCTGCAACAGGCCATTAGGCAGAGAGGTTGGCAGCAGATGTCAAAGCACTCGAAAATGCCATAACGCCATCTGCCACGAGGACCGAATGCTGTTTCCCATTCGTCTGGTGGGACCTGTTGAGTTCCTGCTGATATGGTTGGGACGGGAACAGACGCACTTGCCGCCATTGGAGTGGCGTGAGCTGTAGCATAAAAAGTGAATCGAATCAAGAAACAAAATGAGAGCTTGAGAACTCGAGCGTATCGGTAGACTGACGAACTCAAATTCGACGCTTTCTCGTCGCACCATCAACTCCTACCTTTCGATGCCATGTCATCCGCAGCAATCCTACGGGTATGGTAAATAGTAAGCAGAGTGATAGTCTCTTTGTAACCAAGCCGATTCGGGCAGTGGTACATGTACCATCGTGTTGTTGTTGTGTTGTGGCGGTTCTCAAGTTTTCGACTTACTTTGACACAACAGATCGATTCGAGGACGTCTTGTTCTTGGGTTCGGGCTAAAATGTGCATACGGGCAAGCAATATCGATGGTAGAGATGCAAGCGGGAAGGCATGCGGGAGAACGTGAGCATTTTGAGAAGAGTGTTACCATACCGTTCAATCGCTGCTTCTTCCTAGTTTCCTGGTGGCATCTGAACTAGATGAACGCGTCTTGCTACAGGTACTGTTTCCTCACAATGCTGTTGCACAGTAGGTACCGGCACATGTACATGTATGATCCGGACGTGTCCGTTTCCTTCTGGTGATCCTCAGCCGAAGCGATCTCGGGGTATTTTACCACGCCGGACATTTGTACTACTGTAAATTATCGTGCCTTTCTATCCCAAGTGCAGGCCCTCATTTGCTCTGCAGATTAGTACTTCAGTAGGAGTGGAGTTAGTCTCTGCCGGACGATGAACTACATTGTTGCACATTGATATTCGTGCATGAATTTTTTTCCCTGGCAATCGTGGGACTTTGTCTCCCGAAGACTGGGGCCTCGTAGGTTTCGTTGGTTTGAAAGTAATGTCTCCGCCGGAACTTGGACGCATGCCAACCTTTCCAGAGGGTAGATTGCGTGTACTTTTGGTGTGGACAATGTCACCAGATGACTCGCTCCAGTCTACGCCAAAGGTTTCGTGCTGTCATACGATTTCAGTCTCCTGCCCGCAATTAAGCCATGCTTTGTTTCTTGGCTGCCCGAACTCTTCGGTTGATTTGAGAGTCCAGCCCGTCCGTCATCTTTTACTCTCAAGTTGGAATTGTGTATGCCATAGCCAAAGTAAAATAGGAGTCCTATGAAAAGCCAGCCCGAAATGAGGCCCCACGTTTGTGCCTGCATTGACCCCATCATGTAACAATTGCATAGAATGCCAAGCAAAGGAACGCCTGGGAAACCTGGGCATGCAAAGGATTGCGTCGGTGGTGATTGTGGCAAAGAATATAGGAGTATAGTGGAGGCAGCCATTGCCACAACTGATGCAGCTGCAATCCATGAACCCCACCTGCAGCCTGTTGATACTGACACTGACAATGCCAAGGCTGCCAGCGTGAAAGCTGTCACGTACCATATTGGCTTTGTATCGTTGTCCCGTGAACTTATGAAAATGGCGCTGTTGCGTAAGCTTTTTCGTATTTCAATGGATGTTTCTTTCCGAAGACCGAGGGATCTAGCAACAAAATCAGCTTCGGGATCCCTAGATATTGGAGATTTTGGTACAAGAGGAGACAGTTCTTCTTCACCTGGATCTGGAGCATTAGAAAGCCGCATTCGCAGCAAGATAACCCCTGCATTGACAAATGTAAAGACCTGCAATGTCCCAAGCGAGATGGTATTGGCCAATGATTCCAAATCAAACAAACATGCAATGAAAGCCACCAAAACGCCAGTAATTATTGTCCCATGGAATGGAACCCCTGTTTTGGGGTCGACTCGAGAGTAGATCTTGAAGAATAATCCATCTTGAGCGATGCTGAACGGGAAGTGGAGGGAAGTCAGATGTCACGTCGGCGAAAAGTGTTTGAGGTCAGTTCAAGCGGCTGCCAATTGGAAACGCACCTATAGAAGATTCTCGGCTGCCCCATCAAGCATGTAAAGGTAGCTGTGGTCAAGCCAAATATCCCTCCCACAGAGACCACTCTGCTGCCAAGGTAAAGAAGAGGATGCAAAACAGGATTACATTCATAGGATAAGCATTTCTGCGCGGCGTCTTCCAGTAGTTGATCCGTATGTCGACAGCACGCATTGCTCAGAAGTGCATTGATTATGGGGACATCTTCTCCCAACAATGTGGTCGGTGCCATTCCGACAACGACCGCAGCCACGGCCACGTATATGCACAAGGATACTGCAAGGGAACCAATAATTCCGAGCGGAAGGTTGACCTCTGGGTTTATGACTTCTTCGGAGAGGCAGCTCACCATGTCGAACCCCAGATAGGCAAAGAATATTAGCCCCGCTCCTTGGGCCATTCCAGAAATGCCATGAGGGAAAACAGGAAACCAGTTGTCTGTGGAGATCACCGGCGTACCCATGCAGAGCACAAGGGCCAGAACGCCCAGGTTCAGTATCGTCATGATCAAGTTGAATTTGGCGCTTTCCTTTACTCCAGTCACTAGGACAAGTGTACATATGCCAATGATGAGCATAGAGAGTGGGCAGCAGGTGTAATCCTCTCCAACGATCATTGCGGGTAAAGGCATCTTGGTCAGCCAGTGTAGGTAGTGGGCATCGAACTGCTCGGGAATGAAGCTTCCAATGAAATCAGCCGTGTACTCAGCCCAACTGCGAGCCACAACAGCTGCACTCACGGCATATCCCAATGTCAGGTTCCACCCGACCAACCATCCAGCCAGTTCCCCAAACGAAACATAAGCATATGTGTAGGCTGATCCTGCCGTCTTCAAGAGGCTCGCAAACTCGGCGTATGATAGGCTAGTGAAGACGCAGGCGACGCCAGCAAAGGCAAATGAAAAGGCAATAGCGGGACCTGCTGTGTTGGCTCCAATTCCAACGAGGGAGTAGATCCCGGCCCCGACACTACATCCCACGCCGTAAAATATCAAATCGACCGCGTTCAGACTTCGCTTTAGGGCTTGCGAAGCCTCTGCATCTGTGCTGCTTGGAGTTGTCGTAACTGGCCGTCGGCGTGTCAACGCCCGAACCGAGAAGGAGGAGAGATCCACCATACCGGTAACAGTTGTGGAGCTTTGGTTGGTGTGCGAGACAAATGGTGGCACTAATAGCTGGGTTGCGGGGTGTTGATGGGCTGATGGACTCTTGACAGGCTACGAACCGAAAAGCTCATGTCTGATGTGAATTCTGAGTCACGTGTCATGCCTGTCACTCACACAAAGCCCGTAATGCCGTACTGCAGCGGTACTCGTACCCATAATGCCCCACCAGTACAGTCGTACTGCACCGGCGTACGGTTGTACGGGTAATTGGTACGACTGTACTAGTAGCAGGGTACCGGTACCGGTATGCGATAGGGTACCAGTACGTTAGCGGTCGTTCACGTACCGGTACCGTACAGTACTGTACTGGTACTGGTATGGTGTTCCAAAGCACCTATTGAATAATTCTAACTTTTAAAATCCTACAAGTGGACCCTCCACCAGCAGCTGGGAGAAGGTTTGTATGGTAGGTGACTGTACCGGTACGGCCGTAGCTACTGGTAGCTACAATGGTCGATAGAACCCTCTTGTCTGAGCTCGAAATCTTTGTCTCGAAGGTGACATTCTTCCTCGCTAGCTACGGGTAGTAGTTTGCGGAACCCAGTGTTGTAGCACTCTCACTTTTTGCTGCATTTGATAATCCCAGTATAAATTATTTAGTATACTCACTTTTTGCTGCAATTGATAAAAGCTAGGGGTAGATTGATTCGATTCCTCGACGCGAACAGAACCTTGAATCGAACCCCTACGATCACCGAGTAGCTCTCATTCCCTACGCAATGCATCCTCTATCAAGAACGCTGTGTGTTGCCAGGACAGAACAGTTACTACTAGTATTATGCCGCTGTCCTTTCTATCAAATGAGCAAAGCCACTGGAACCATTTTAATAAAGATCGTCCTCGAGTATCGTTCAAGGACTGGGCTGAACTGTCAAATTAGGATAGTGGATAGTGGCAACTGAATCGAATCCGTGCTGGACATGCTCCCAGCAGTCAAGGCACATTTTAGTGCGAAAGAAAATTCCACGGCCAATAATTAAAATTTGAGATGCCAGAAAAAATACCAAAGACACGTGCTTTGTTTCTATGAGAACTCTGGTGGGCTCGTTTCGCCAAAGCTACTGATTTCCCTCATTTTTCCCTCGTTTGATCCATAAATAAATCATAGCTGCTGCACACCATGACGACACCAACTAGCAATCATCCTCTACATAGACCAAGGCCGAAAGCATCAGAATCGTCACAAAATCCAATTGAAAGTGAAGATGACAGTTTGCTACCAGCCAGTTTCTCCGGCTCCGTTGATACCGTTGCGGCATACGACCACGATGTCGAACACCCGTTAAAAAGACACAAACTGTCTCAGCTGCTGGCACCTTCCAAGTTGGGTATCCGATCATTTGCTTGCCTTATACTGACATTGTTACTTGTACTTTCTTCTTTGGTTGAAACTGGAACAAGCGTGATCTTATCCAGTTCAAAGGGGAGCCTCAGGAAAGACCCGGTTCAATGCCCCATCCAAAAGTGGACCTATCCCAACTGCAGGCCCTATCTGGCCCCAAAGAATGCATCGCTTGGGGATTTATCGCCTCATGAGTGGTATGACCTTCGAAGAAAGTTCGAACAAGTGGTCGGTGACGAGGCTTCCAGTCTTGATCCGTCCTTTAGAACCAATGGCAGTGAGGAGTCCTTGAGCGGCTTTCGAGTCCCTGTAGAGGTACGAGTGTCGCCTGGAAAAGGTCTAGGTGTCTTCACTACCACTCCCGTCCAGAAAGGCCAGGTTGTTTGGGACAATCGCTTTACTGCGCGCTTCCCAGACGAGTGTTCCCTTCGACAGTACTTCGATCTCATTGGAGAAAAAGCAAGCTGCGATGCCTTAACATGGGGTTATGTGAATGACTTTCAAGGAGAAGGCCTCAAGTTTTTGTTGGACCTGGATGAGGCTGTCTACCTGAACGAGGCACGCAAACCAGATGAAGTCAATTTGATCATCAACTTCCGTCCTCTCCAAGACGATCCAGAGTACGATGCTGTGCAAAAACTGATAGACCCCGATCGGTTCTGGCAACATCGACAAAAACCAGGCAATCAACAAGCGAGGGCAAAAGTGCATTTGCAAGCGGGGGCCGAACTGTTGATGGACTATCGTGAAGTGCATGTATACGGCAAGTTGTGGTGGTATGATAGGCTATGTTTTAAGACTCGCGGGGTTTGGGCTTGGTTAATGCAGATCTGATACCGGTACAGGCCAAGCCTGTCCCCGTACACTCCTCAGCCCATCTTGGTTCAGGACAATCCTGCTGGATTGTTCGATCTGACGGCAGCTTTCTTGGACTCCGAGAGCTCCCGAGAGCTGTTTCTAAAGGTGGAATGAAACCTGATCCCCCGGAGACACGGCGGAGTCTAATCCTTGGTTGTAGCTTTGGGCTTGGGACCTGGCAATCTTACAGTAGATGGATTGCCATTGATGTTCAACTCGTTTTTGTGCAATCTGCAAGTGCTTTGCTAATGCGGTGTGAAACGATCGAACCTAGAAGTCTCTCACTTGACGTAATAGCATTTTTTGGGTCTGGTCTTTGCTTGCTTGCTTGCTTGTAATATGGGCTGTAAGCTCTTAGTGTTCATTCGAACTATCTGTGGCGCCAACAAAGCTATTCAATGTAGTGGTTGTGCATATGCAGCCATATGGACGGATGTCATAGTTTTTGGTTTGAGGATTCCTGGAATCGAATCATTTTCCATGCGTACCAGGCAAGTTCAATAGATTGCTCGTATCGCTGCTTAGACTAAGCTGTAGTCGTGTGGTACCACCTGTGCCATCCCAGGCTTGCCGCGAGATTCGATTCGATTCATCTCCTGGCGTGAAGTTGGCTCGCTCTACTAGCTAGCTAGCTGCTCTGCTTTCTGGCTACCGGTACCTGGTAGCTGCTTTCTAGTACCAGGTGGCTTTCTTGAAAACCGGAACGGAGTGACATGCGTCGCGGAGGAGTCAAATGTGCTACCTTTTGCAAAGATCTTGCAAGATTAACTTGCACGAAAGATCCAACACTCCATCACGATTAACTCATTCCCACGGCGGTGAAGTGATTTGCGAAGCAAAAGGCTCACAATGACATAACCCAACCTACTGTACTCCAGAGAATCACAGAACTATCACAAGAAAACATGTTGATGAAAGCTACCGACGATGCTTCAGGTAAGGGTTCATGATTTGTTGAGTTGAGTCTAACTTCATTGGCGCTCCCAGATGTCCCTGGACTAATTTCGCTTTCTGCTTTCATGCATGCACGGCAGAGACCACAGTTCCCGTCGCGGAAGCTGTGGCCGAGATGGATCCCGAATCTGGTGGATCAAAGAAATACGGTGAACTGGAAGGTCAGACAATGTCTGAGGATGCCACAAATCTGCCCCCAATAAATCCACCGGTGAAGCAACAGAAAGAACCAGAGACCGACAACTATGGTCGCAATGAGAACTGGAACCATGGCCTCTTTGATTGTTTCCAAGTCATTTTCCAACCGCTCTTTTGGATGGCATGCTGCTGTGGACCCATTGTGACAGGCCAGCTCATGACACGACTTCGGCTGAATTGGTGCGGACAGCCTGACAAGGTTCATTTTGGAGCAAAAACGTTCTCCACGGTTGTCGTCATCTTCATTGTCTATCTCTTCACCCAAATCATTGGATGGGGCATCGTGGGCCTGGCTTTCTTGGTCTACATGGTAATCATTCTATCGCGAACGCGAGGCTCCATCAGGCGTCATTTTCAGATCCCCGCAAAGACCTTCCCATGTGCGGATGGTACGCTGGAGGATGCCTGCTGCGGTTTCTGGTGCGGTTGCTGTTCGCTGATCCAAATGGCGAGGCACACCCACAACGAGACGAAGTATCCGTACGAGCCTTGCTCAACTTCTGGTCTGCCTCCATACGCCCCTGTTGTGATGGAGAGAGACGACGACGAAGATACTGTTACCATCCCTGTCGTTTAAAATTCTTGATCGGCCCAACCCTCCCATCTCCTCAAGAATCCATCCGTTGCTGCAGCGCGAGTCGACGTTAAAGCTCAAGAAAAGGTCAAGAAAATATGTTCTATCAAGTCTTTAGCCCATGTCAGCGCCAATACACGTTGAGGTACCTGTAGCTCTCGTTGCTTGTTTGCATCAATCAATAGTGGCGAAAAAGCTTCGCGGTAATCTTCCAGGAATTGTCTTCGTACTGCAACAGGTGCAGATAGTTGGAAAACTCCATCCCAAACAGGTTGCTTTCTTTGGTCTCCACGAATGCAATTTTGCCATTGACGGTCACCGAGACAATTTCTGCCGTGTAGTCATCGGCGACTTCATTGGCCGCGACAAAGTCAAAGTAGGGTTGTGGACTTCCACACAACATTTGGTCGCCCAGCCATCCCGACATGCTGGCCTCTGGGGCAAAGACCGCCTTCAACGCATCGATATCTCTTGCTCTTGTGCCAGCTTCATAAGCCTCAGCCACCTTGCGAACCGCCGCCTCGGCTTCGTCGTCTTCAGAAGCAGCCTTGAGTCTCGTGTGGCTGTTCCACGCCGACCGTTGGGGTCCAATCGAAAGTTCCGATTGGACCCCAACGGTTTTCGATTCGAAACACTGAAGGCCGTGCTCTCAAAGATTGTGAAAGCCAGTGCTGACAGGACGAGAAAAATTGCTTGAAGCTTCATTGTTATGCCAGTTGTTTGTTGGCTTCAGTATCTCCATGGCCCACGGCTAACAAACCATGAAAGCCCTCTAAGGTTCCAGGTTGTTGGGTGTCAAATGCCGAGTACCAAGTACCTCGTATCCATACCCGTACCAGTTTTGTGTCTGGGCTGACGTCACGGGTTCGCCGCCAGAGGGCTATTTGCCAAGCACTCCCCCAACCCCAACCCCCAGCCCAACCAAGTGAGACACCCAGCGAGATAAATAGATGTTACTATTAACGATGTATCCTACCGTCCGGCGCGCATCGGCAAACAACACGAAAAATCGAGCGAAAATGGCGCTGCATGACCTCTTTGTTGACACTGTTAACTCCCTTTCGACAGCTTGAGTTTGCTGTGAGCCCTTTCTATAAGTCTATCGGTGGCATCGCCGCTTATCCTGCCACCTTTGGAGCGCCAGAGGCTTAGAGATAACAGGGTGGAAAAGAATCAGCGAAGCCTTCCTGAGCACCTATGAGTGGCAGGTTAAGTCTCTTCACCTTCTTTACTATTTTCCCAACAAGTTTGTTTATGGTTGCTATCGCCGAAAAGACCCAGAAGAGGTGCAACAAGCACCATCTTGATAGGCGATTTCGCTCGATTTTTCGTGTTGTTTGCCGATGCGCGCCGGACTGTGGGATACATCGTTAATAGTAAATCTTTTTCATGGCGGCTGGACTTCGGACCTCTTGAAATGTCTGATGTAACGACGTACAGTATGCTACTCCACGGCGCAAATGAGGATTTCCTCAGTTAATGCACGGTGTTAAGAAAACAGGCAACCTAAGCATGAAGATCAGTCACCCTTTGCCATTAATTTTAAAAGACACACTGCACCTATTATACCCTTACATTTAGAAATAATTGGTGCAAAAATGGCCCCTCTTAGTAAACACCCAATATGACACTATCAACTACAATGTACACTACACTCCAAACTCACATATGAGAAATCTCTAAATTCAGTGCAGCCCTGGGCCTTTCTTACCAAGCAGCACCATTTTGGCCCCTCAGATTGTTCTAACAAAACAAGCCAATTTCAGCATAGAAGACTTTCTTGCTACCAGGTATGCTTCTAAATCAAGCAGGGTAGTAATTGAATACACCCAGTACACCTGGGCCTTTTGGTCCAACTTGCTCAAGACTTGTAAATTGGGTCGGATCAAATAGAGATGGAGATATGGAGATCACTGTCTCTGCCGTGAGGCAGAAAATTTTGCAGATTAGGCCCAAGTTTGAAGCATTTTCATGGTGTCAGACTAGTAGTATTTCTTATGCTTTGAGGTCTCAATGCTGGGAAGCTTTCTTACAAGTCAGTGATATTTCAGGATCAAGAGTTTCTTAACATTTTCTAAAATCTCAGGGCTCGCTTTCTTGTAGTGGAGTTTCTTATATTCGAGTTTGGAGTGTATCTCAACAAAGTAAGACAATGACATTCAAAAGAACATTATTGCTGACAAAGACCATTCAACAACTTGCACGGTAGTTCGCATATCAGAACCTCAAACGATTGGTACAGAAAGTACAGCAGGACCGTCGTGCCGACATTGGCCCAATCCGTACACTACCTCTGTAGAATCGCTGTAGAGCCCCTGTAGAGGATTAGCCAATCAGAATCGTTCGATCTTGATTTCGATGACGTCAGCCGACTGACGTCAGTCAGATTCCATTCAATATTTCGCATCGATCTGGGTGTCAGCTCGATCAGTCTCCCGTCGTTTTTTTTCGTGTTGTTTTCGTGTTGTTTTCGAAAGACCGACGGAGCATGCATCCAGAGGATTTCGAATTTGAGCGAGATAGTGAAGCAAGTGCACTACGCTAAAAGCTAGTGTAAAGATCTTTCGAGTGTTTTGAGTTTGAGAGAATGAAAGTTATGAGAGAGATATTAGAAAGCTATGAAAACTAATCAACGAGAGAGATCACATCAAGGGATCGTAGATCTGGCTCCCGCGGGAGACTATAAAGTGTGATAGAGTAGGTTGTGGTAGTAATCCTGCGTCTCTCCACGATCCTAAACGGAACGCGTGGAAGTGTCTAGTCTGGATCTTTAGCGTGGAAGTACTCCACGCTGGCTAAATATCTAGAGCGTATGTTCATCATCAACCTAGTATGACTAGGCGGTCATTGAGAACCCTGTCTCAAATGACTATTCACGAGAGACTCGGTCAGAGTCGAACTCAAACCCTATCTAGGATCGAGTCGCGAATAAGCTAAGAGCCTGTATTGCATTCGCCCCCTGACAAGGGTCACAGAAGGCGCACAGCAGTCGGACAAGGAGAACATATGATTTAAAGTGCGGGCACTCTCATGAGATTTGGATGTAGACATGTGCGTCGCACGATGGCAATCCTACAAGGGATCAGGCTTGTATGGGTGTATATACCTTATGTTCCAAGTCTGGTAGACTGTGCCGCTTGGCGTAGCATGTTGGAGCCGTACAGTGCCATTGTCATTGACTGGTCTATAGTGTAAGGACCTTTGTACTTTGGCTGACCGTACTTGCGGTGCTGATACTGTTGAATCATCACAGTATCGTTGACATGTTATTGATGAGGGACACGCGTTGCGTTTCCCTATCGTTGTTTTGTTGGATTAGTCGTTGGCGACGTTCTTAATGTACTTCCAGTTGGCTTCGAACGGCGTTGTGAATCGCGTCACGATTGAACAGAGCTGTGCGGCGTTGCACGCAAGGTGGTATGAATCGTGGCATTCATTGCAAGCGAACCGCCGTGAGGACTCCATCCCAGGATCTTCACGAGGTCGTCTTGCACTTGATGTTTTGACAGCGATCAAGTTACGTATGGTTTATGAGCACGCTCGACCATAGAGTTGGCTGGGAGTTACGCGTGGTGATGAACTTGCGACGAAGTCCATTCATCGGAGGGTCTTTTGACCTCTGCGGAATCACGTCTCTATCCATGATAACTCAGCAGGCCATGGATACCGAGTAAGCCACGTTTGTTCTAGGCATGGCTACTTCGTCTGCTGCCTTGGAGCATCTCTGCAATCTCGAACCATCGGTTACGGGATCAATCATTGTCAAGCAATGAAGTGTGCAAATTCTTTTTCTTGGGATCCAACGTTGTAAGGCCTATCAGGTCAATACATAGTCTTTCCAAGGGATCTCCTCGCAAGTCTTGGAGGCATCAATCCCAGCTTACGCGTCTTGGGTTGTTCATCTGGCAGCTTTGGCAACGCTGACACGCTACGGCTGACAGTCCTGCGCAGCCTTTCCGTGTAGTGTTGGCTGATGGTTAGTTCCTGGCGAGTCTCGCCGGGATGCATCAGCACACCATGGTACCATTCAACTAGCTTCTTCTGCATAGTTTTAGGTACGACGATTTTTCGTCCTTAACTACTAAGTCGAGAGACTTATCCCCTCTGGGAAAGATTGCTTCTTGTAGTCGTTTGGCTTGTCCCTGAGGAGCTCTTGATATCGTTGTCGTCTTCTGACGATGTTCGATCTCGGGGAACGAGAGAGGAACTCGCTAGGAAGTCCTCTTCATCTGCAGCCATGAGTTCAGCGACTGCTCGCTGGCGTCCATCTGTTTGAAGAACCGTCGTTGTTGGAGATGTTAAGTCTCGACAACCATCAGCGACGATGTTCTGTTCGCCCTTGATGTACCGTAGTTCAGGGCCGTATTCTTCCAGAATAAGCGCCATCGCATTACACGCGATCGTATTGAAGTTCTTAAGTAAGATTCTTGTGGTCCTTTACGATTCTGTCTAGAAGAATGTTGCGGAACTCTTCAGAGTTTCTACATATCTGAGAAGTTCCTTCCTGGTAACTGTGTAACGTGTCTGAGCAGGGTTGAGCTTCCTGCTGTAGAACGCGATAGGTTTTCCTTCTGGGAAATTACCGCACCTAGTTGAGTATCACTCGCATCGTGTGGATAAGAATGTATCGTTGAATCAGGGTAGGCGAGCAAGGTTTCTTTGCTGATGATCTTCTCATCTGGCTAAAGGCCTTGTCGTGTTCCGCTTCCCATTTCCACTTCGTTGTTTGGAAGTCACAAGAGTGGGCCAGGTGAGTATGTGATCGTTCAATACATTCGATAGTAGTCCTAGTCCAATGATCTACGGAGTTATTTCTGTTGGTAGGAGGAGCTATATTCTGATCGCGTCTTTTTTCTTGGTTATAGTTGGATCCTTCTCGAGTAATCCAGTAACCTAGGTACTCAAGTTCTCCTCTTGCGAAGAAGGACTTGGTAGCATTGATCTTAAGTCCGGCTTCTCGAGCCTTGGAGAACTTCATCAACTTTTCAACGGATCCTTAGATGCGCCGTTAGGTGAGTATATCATCAATGTATCACGGCGTATTCTAGGTGTGCATTAGTGTTCCATCTTCTCTTGGAAGATGTCTGGACTATTACATAGGCCATCGGCAACCTCTGGTACTCACTTTCCCCACGGGAGTAAAATGGTACAGAGTTGCTTCGAGTGAGGTGACAGCTCGATGTTATGTATCCCATGTTCAGGTCTAGACTAGTAGCGACTTGAATCCCTACGGTTCAAGAGCATGTCCGTATTTTTGGATAGGATAAGCTTCCGCTTAATCCTTTTGTTCGTTCCCGGAAATCAGAGATGATTCGTACAGATCCATCTTTTTGGGAATGATAAGTTGGTGCCGCCCACTCGGAACGGTTACCTTCTTGAGTACTCCGCTCGCAGAGACGTTCAACCTCCATCTTAAGAGTGTTGTATGGACCGTGGAATAGGATAAGCCCTGCTGATAGGTTTAGCATCAGGAGAAGTCTACTTCGTAGTCGTCCATCTGCCACTTTCCAAAGTACCATCGAATAGGTCAGAGTACTTCGTCAGTAAGGTGAAGCTGTTCCTTCTCTCCGTGTTTAACTGATCTTGACTTTGGCAAACCTGCCTTAAGTCAGCTTGTTCGTATTCGCATCAAGAATCTCTTGAGAGATCTGCACTGTAATCAACAGGTAGGATCAGGAATGAAAATTTTCTTCTTCATTGGTATCGCTATCTTTCATAGGAATAGATGCGCCGTCCCTTCCACTACATGGTAGTGAATCGAACTTGAAACCTAAGTCAGAGAAATATCTCGACTATGATCATTCATACGCCCCAAGCTCTTTGGTGACGTGTAATCCACTCATAATTCTATCTTCTGGAATCAGGAATCATGAATGCACCTTGCACTTCGTGCTGGTGTTTAATTCTCCTAGGGGTAGTCCACATCGTTCGCCCCCAGATCTTCATGCGTAATTTCTTAGATAGAGTTTGGCAATCAGGTTAGATGCTCCTGTTCCAGTAAGCAACGGTGTAACGGGTTTGGTTCCCTTTTTCTCGCTTGTTAATTCTAACATAGACGATGGTTTGAGGTCTCTTGTCTTGCGACGTTACGAGGTGGTTGCCACGACGAGGTTAACAATGCTAAATAGATCATCAGAGTCAGTTGAGCAGCTTCTGGCAATCATCTAATTTGCCGTAGAGTTCATCAGTTGCAAACAATTCTTGTTACTAGTTGTGAGATATCTTCATCACTTTGGATGAGAAATCGGAACAGGGTTCCGTTGAGTCACATCATCCATGCCTAATCTACGAATAGAATTTCCCAATCACTAAGCTATGATTGAAATTGACGAGATGCTTGGAAGTCATACATTGAAGCATCTGTCATATATGTATTGCGCTTAGGCGACACATTTTTATGCGCAGTGTTGCAAGTGAGTTTGGCGCTGGCCCTGATGTATTCGGCTCCGAAATACTCAGATTTTTCTCGTCGTCATTGATCCCGAGCGAGATGAAGGAGAATAGTGGTCTCTCGTCTGCTCGCGGCGCAATCTCTTTGCTTGATAAGTCAGAAGCACTCTAGCGAGAGACCGCAATGACGAAAGCTTATACCTGTGTAGACGAGCATCGTTGTAACATTGGGTGAATCGGGACATGATTGATTGAAGGTCACAGTAAGCTCTGATTGGCGTAAACAAAATGCTACGATAGCTGAGAAGAGAGACTTCATGGATCGTTAGACGTCAGTGGAGATGAGTCTGTCGAAGTTCTTGAGTTTGAGAGAATGAAGTTATGAGAGAGATTAAAACTATGAAAACTAATCAACGAGAGAGTCATCCACTCAAGGGATCGTAGATCTGGCTTCCGCGGGAGACTATAAAGTGTGATAGAGTAGGTTGTGGTAGTAATCCTGCGTCTCTCCACGATCCTAAAACGGAACGCGTGGAAGTTTGTCTAGTCTGGATCTAGTAGCGTGGAAGTACTCCACGCTGGCTAAATATCCAGAGCGATGTTTCATCATCAACCTAGTATGACTAGTGCGGTCATTGAGAACCCTGTCTCAAATGACTATTCACGAGAGACTCGGTCACGAGTCGAACTCAAACCCTATCTAGGATCGAGTCGCGAATAAGGCTAAGAGCCGTGTATTGCAGAAGGCCATGTGTTCCACTCCCACTAGCTAGCTACCCTGGTGGTTGGGCCCCAAGGGGCCCAACCTTTGTGGTTCTAAGCCCCCTGCGGGGGCTCAACCTTTATAGTACTAGCTAAAAAAAATTTCGTTGCAAGATCAATTGGTAACCAGAACATGGTGGCTTTTTGATCACAAAATCATCTTTCAGTCATGCTTCCAGGGACACTAAGTAGGAATCTGCATGTGTTTCCGAAGTGTTCCAGAGATTTTCCCCATTTTTGCACCTTTCCTCATTTTGGCTGGGGAGTACGATGTAGTTAGCATTGACCGGCGACTTTCAGACCCGGTTCTTTACCGTAGAACCGTACGGAAGTACGTTACGGGGCTGTACGGTACGGTAACCACCAGAGCAAAGATGACTAAATGAGGGTTAAGGAGCGAGGTAGTCAACATGGTACTGTAGCAATTTCCATACTCTGAGAACCCTGAACAAAAATTCATCCGTGCGAGCATGTGGTCGCTGAAAGGTCGACAGGCTATAAGCGAGCATATTGCGTTCGCCAAGTCGTCAGCGCGCCACCCTTATTAGAAAAGCCATTCAACATTTAGAAAAATCATCCTAAGCACATGTTTTGCACAAGGTTATTTAGAGAGGGACCAAGCGAGGTGCGCAACCTAATCATATCTTCATCGCAAATCGACTGCTGCGAGCGAAAAGATCGCCACAGATCTCTTTGGGGGCGAGAGCAGAAAGAGAGATTCGAAAGCATTGTACTCTCCTGCGATGCTCTACTGTACCTTGCTTCAAGGTCGTCATCAGAAAAGGTTGTCACAGCGGTTCACTCCGACGACAGCATTGTTTTTCCCTAGTCTTCTTCCTGCTGCCAGCTAGTTGGTGTTGCTGCCATCTCTGTATGCACTACGAACCATGAACACCAGCAACCCTTCTTCTCCCGCCTCTCATCAACCCCGGTCCTCTAGCCCGATCGTGATGGAATCGTTTAGTGTGACCGACACCAACAAGAAGGCACGGATCTCTGTCATGAGAGTCATTAGAACCAACGAATCTTCCACATCTGTGGGGCTGGTCACCTCCAAGACCACAGGCATCACTAGTAGCGAGGACACACCTGTGGCGTCCCACAGCAGCCAAGATGAAGGCGGCAAGATCTTTTCGGCAATAGCAGGTGTATGCTCGGAACGTTCGGAACACCCGGTCCAGCATCTGACGTCTCTTCCTGAAGAGCAGCCCCAAACCCCGGTCCATCGGGATTACCTTTACCCCTATCAATGCCACAACGATAGCCGAGCAGTAATTGACAGCACCAGCGGGCTGACGACCGGTAGCAGTGTTGGTAGTGGAAGCTTTCAAGACCAACGCGGTACTCCCAGACAAGGGGGTCGAGTCTTTTGCGGCGTGATGAACGTACCAGAAACCATGTCAACCACAGAAACGGTGTCTTGCGACGACGAGGCTTCCTCGGCTCTGGAAAATAATAGCGGACCCCATCAGAGTAGCAACCTCGAAGTTGAAAGGAGCGCCTCGTCGTCGGCACTGGAAGTGACAATATCCTGCAAAGACGGTGAGCCCCCAAGAATATCAGTTGTTGCCAAAACACCCACGGCTGTCGTGGAAATCAGAAGCGATGACAGCTTTGAAAGCTGTCATGAGTACATGGGGAGTGTAACGCTGATGGCGAGCCCTAGCAAAGGTTCTGCTGCGTCGGGTTCTTTCCTGGTTTCGAACTCATCTTCGTTGGTTTCTACCGCTGCAGCTACAGCTCATCACATGGGAACAAAGAGCTTCCTATGTGGAATGTCATCAGCTGCCGCATGCAGGTGCCGATGTGACAACACAGCAGAGTCTACAGAGGACGTACAGCAAAGCAGCAGCGGTGGTGTCTTGGCTTGTCACAAATCCCAATCATTCTCATACGATCAGCATGAGGAGACTGAAGATGCCATTGTTCTATCCCGTTCCCCGGAAACGCCTCGGGGCATCTGCCCTTCGCCATTCTATTCACGTCGTGATGCAAGTAATGTATCAGATGACTACACTGGAAACATTGTCTACACAGATGATGAAGACGCCAGTATTGGGATATCGCACAGATCATACAAGGCCAGGTCGAACTCCAAGAGTTCTCGCGAAAGCTCGTATGAACAAGAAGAGTCAAGACTAATGATGCCCTCCATTGCCCTCTTGTCGGCATCCAGTACCGAAACCTCCAAACTGGCAACGCCCAAGGCAACATCAAAGGAGAAGCAGCCACTGAGCGAGATCGTGGATGATGACAATGTCGCGAATAAAAAGAAGAAGCAAGTCGACCGAAATGGCAAAGGGCACAAGCGGACCAGGCCAGACCTTGTCGTAGATGCAGCTATGACAGCAGCTCAGGGAGGCAACGATGTTGAAACGAGCACGACTCCTGTTGGTGTTCAGTTCGTGAAAGAGGCCCCCGCTGGCGACGATGGGCACGAGGAGGAGGCAGAAGAAGCAGAATCGGTGCTAGATGATGGCACTCTCCCTTCGGAAACTGTAATGTTGGGGGTTGGATGCTTGGGACCGAACGGAGCCATGACGATTCCGATGGCAGATTCTGATGTATATTCTTGCCGTCAAACAGTGGTGGCCCATGACGACACCGACTACAGTACAGACTCGGAAATGACTGGTCCGCGGTTTTCTGGCGACATGTCCGAGCTGAGAAGCGGTTCAACAGGCGATGAATCTATTGGCCATGTTTCCTCGTCGTCGTCCGAACTTACGGGACCTCGGTTGTCAATAACTGTGCCACACACATCAAGTCAAGATTTTGACGATGCTTTCATGTCGCCAGTTGAGTATGATTCCTTTTTTGACCGATACGAGGAGCCAACACCAGCGTATTCCATAGACAACAACATCATGATGCTACCGGTTCATCTACAATTCTGCAATGCTGTGGCGGATGCTGTAGTGGGAGGAAGCATCAGCATTAGTGGCAGCAGCATTCGGGCAAGCAACAGTCGAAATGAAGCCCCTACGATTGATCAATACGCTGAGTTCAGTGAACCTTTCGAAGAACACATTGCCGATGAGTTCGTTAAGGCATTCAACAAGAAGTCGAAGCCAGCTAACGGGTCCGATTACATCGAAGACTGCACCGATGAAACAGATACTGAAAGCAGTCAAGCATCTGATGACGACGGTTTTACGAGCTGCGCGGGGTCTGAGTCATTTGGTCCAGAAAACTTGGAGAGCAGATCTGGAAATGATGATGAAGCTAAGAAGCCATACAGGGGAGTCAGCAGCGGAACTGAGGGGGTCAGTGGAAGCGGGGGAGTTGGGGAAACAGACCTCTCAGGACCACCGTCAGTCGTCGTGTTTGGGCCGGTTCAATCAGGACCGGAGAGCACAACTACGTCGTCGCCAGCCCCCAGCAGCACATCATCAGTGGTATCAATAGCAGCAATGGTTTCAGAAACGGAAGCGACCGGGCAGGAGCCACGAAAGGCTCACGATGCAAAAGAACATATCATCCCCGATGCCGCTTCTGATGTTCATCCAGGAGAAGCAGGGACTAACAGTTCTCAAACTGCCCCAGAATCGGGCCCGTCCGAAGCTTCGCCGGTTGGGTCGCCACAAACAAACGAACAACGAAATAACACCAGCACCATTTCAGAAAACGACGGGCGGGATGTGTCCCCAGCAGATGTTGTTGGGAAGCAGGGAAGTACTCAAAAGGTTCATACCGATAGAAAGCTCCCCCCACTGACACCAATACAGGTGAACACAACTGAAGATGAACTTGAAGTAGAAGCTGAAGCTCGACTTGAGGAACTGCGCACCCCGCAGCACAGCAATCTATCCTCGACGACAGCAGAGAAAGCTGCTAACGCTTTCAGCGATGGCAACAATGGAGAGTCCACCGACTTTACTTACTTCTTTCGAAACATTGCCTGCCCAAACGATTCAGGAATTGACCAATCCTTGGTGTCGACCGAAGAAGGCTTGCCTGGAAACGATCTTGTTGACAAGCTCCGGTCCAATTCTGGTGACGGAGACGTCAAACAAACTGATTCCGCAGATTTCCGTCGCCTCAAATCCTCCATCAAGGACACAAGCAAGCAAAGCAAAAACGAGGAAGCGACAACTGGATGTATGAATCTGTGTGGGCACAACCACAGAAGCTCTGATGAAGCCGAAAAGAAGACAGTTGCTGCTGACTCGATGAACTTGGATAGTTTCCTTGAGTCACAAGATACAACTGTTTTGGCTTCGAATCGTGCAGCCTCCGTTTCTTTCGTCGAATCAGGAACAATGGAGTCGATCTCCGAAACAACATCCGAGGCTTTAGTTCAACAACCGTCAAGAATCTCAAAAAGGTCGTCCAAAGAAATATCTTCGTCTGTTGGACAGGTTTTGGAATCAATTTTTTCTTCGCAAAGCAGCGATGGCCTGGAAGTTGCTCCTGTTTCCACTGCACCTTCTGTACCAAGCAGCGCATCGTCCTCCGTCGAAGTAGATGCTGATCAAGTCATCCGTGCATATTTTGGTTCAAGTGTAGATGGCAGCAATGGGAGCAACAGCTCTGACGTTGGAATTGAAACAACGCTGCATGTAGGCAAAGGCATCTTCCTGACATCGACACTGAATGCCAAACCGAAGAAGAGGGAAGCCAAGGACGTGTCGAGTTCAGTAGAAGAATTATTGTATGAACTCTTTTCGGCATCTACAGAGGGAGACGACGGTGAAGACGACGGTGAAGACGACGACGACGAAGAAGAAACCGTTGAAGAGACTGCTAGCGGGGAGACATTCCGCACGGAAGTCCGTTCAGAAGAGGCGGAAGACCAGTTCCTTGCAGAAATCACGAACGATTTCTTTGACCTATTCAATGTCTCCACGTCCAGAACAGTTACTACTCTCGAGACTCTCGAGACTCTCGAGAGCAATGAGCTCGATACAAGTGGCGAAACAGATTTACTGGAGCTGTCGATTGGGACTGGAGATGACGCTTCAGTGCTCGAAGATGATGCGACCTTGAACTCACTTGACCTTGCGAACTTACAGGGCTGCCAGCAGGATGTGAATAAAGGAGTAGCTCCGATGCAAGCAAAAATGGGTCTCGACGATGATGCGACTGCAGAAGCACTACTAGTCGGCGATACAAAGCGCATCGACAAAGCTACAGCTGAGGAATCCTTTGATCGCAACGAGAAACCCGATGAAGCAGATTCCAGCATGCGAACAGTTTCAAAAGCGATTGTGCCGTTTGCTCCGATGCCTCCTCCGATGCCTCCTCAAAGCACAGCCAAGCCCAAGATTATCAATTTGTTCCCACTTTACCCAAGCCTTGGGCGTTTCATTGTGGATGAACACAGGCTGACGGTGTTGACAATTGGAAACACGTTCATGAACGCCCCAGAGCCCATTGCAAGTCTGTTGACATCGACACCATTGATTCAAGATTTGCTGTCGTCCTGCGCTTCAAAGCCCATGACCATGACGACACAAATCCTGGGTGATATCGTAGGAATTCCAGCCACCACTGCTCAGCGGCTGTGCAGTGCTGTAGAGTCGACAGAACCCAACGAAGCGTCATCGGTGCCACCGACCGTCTCGAAGGATTCTGATCCCGCAACAGCAGCATCGTCCACCCCTCTCGGCGGATCCCTCAGGTCCGAAGACAAGTTGGCTTCAGCAAGCGCATCCGAGAATCCAGAGTGGTCGTTTCTTGATCTGGAGAAATCAATCGACCACTCTCTCGATAGTTTCATCAATGACCTACTCAACCCGGATGAAAGTGACAACGATGAAACCGAAATGACAACCGAAGAGACCGCGCTTCAGAAGTTGCTCACGTCTGACTGCGAAGATATAATCGCGATCACGAAGAAACAGAAGGAAATGAAAGAGTCTCTGCAGCTTGATCTCGATCCCAGTATTTCCTCTGTTGAAGACGAATCTTGTACCAGCTCACCGAGTTTTGGGTCCGGACTCGGCAAGCTGAAAGCCGCAGCTGCCTTATTATCTGACGGCGAGTCCCTTCCCAACGACTCTTCTCTTGATGACCAGTCAGAAGCTTCGAAGAAAAAGGAAGATATGTTAGATGGCATGACGCTCGGAATTGCTGGTCTGCTTGGCCAGGAGGAGATTTCCAGACTAGTTGATCCTCATGTGGACCTGCCGGAGCTTTTTGCCAACGAGCATTTTGGTAGCATATCTGAAATGGTTCAAGAAATTCATCTAATGAAAGCAATTCAGCTGGAGCAGAAGTCGTTATCCAGGTTCGACGATGATGCCTGTACAGAATCTTCTGATTCCGCCTCCGCAGACTTTTCGGAAAACGAAAGGCTACAGCGACTCCTCGTTGTGAAGTCGGTTGAAATTGAGAGGCAGCGACACAAAATTGCAGCTTTGCAGCAAGAACTTGAAGATGAGATCGTTAGTATCCGTTCTGCAATAGAATCGGCTGGATCACTGGTGTCCGCTGCATCGGATGATTCACAAGCTGTTGACCATGTGAGCACTGGAATGTCGATCGACGACATTCAAGGTTGGCGGAAAAAGTTCTCTCCCTTGCGTAAAGGGAGCGATGTTGTTCCAGCTTGGACCATCGCCGAGTCGACGGCCACCTGCGGAAACATTGACAGCACAGAACGTTTCGAGGAAGGTATTGAAATACAGTTGCAAGAATTCGATGACGGCATCAAATCAGGCAGCCAGGATGAGAGCCCTACCTTGTCAACAACCGAGTCAGGAGACGACATAGACGATGGACTTGATGTTGAGATGCAGGCTCTCTCCGATTTTGAAATAGAGCTACGAAAAGAAATGGTTAGTGCAGAAGAAACTTACTCCCGATCTGGTTCGATGTCCTCCAACAAGAGCACCTTTGGGGAAGCTGAATCAGTGGACCAATCAGGAGATGTAGGCGCCGAACCAGGAGATCTTCATGCTAAATCTGGAGGAGCTTCGGTATCTGACGAGGCCGCAGAGACTCAACAAGTGGGGGCAGTTGAGAGTTGGTTGAGTCAAAAAAGCGATGAGATATTTCAAAGTTGCTGTCGAACGAAAGAGCTTGAATCCCCATCAAAACGCAAAGTGACATTTTCTGTCCAAACTGAAGAGTATTACTTTATGGACAACGACGCGGATGACAACAGCCGCGAGGATCGAAAAATATCACCGACATCGAAAACGACTTTGTTTGAGTTCGAAGAAATGCCAACAGGCTTCACCAACGTTTTTGTTGCAATGAGCTCTGCCCTCGGCTTGCGAAAAACTCCTCACCGCAAGGCCGGGACGGCAGGGCACCAGAGTACCAGTACCCACAAAAGTGGATTGTAATATTTTCCTATGTTCATAATATTATGTAACTTCACTTCTTTTTGCTATGATGAATGCCGCCCAGCAAGCACCTAGCACTGCCCCAGCTAGAAAGGTTATTTCGACGGCTGCTGTCATCATTCTGTCCTGTGATTTCTAGCTAGTAGTGACCCAGCCTTCTGTGAGTGAGCATGGCCCTCAAAAAACTATGGCACTTCTAGCTTTTAGTCATTGATTCTTGTTGTGCTCTTTCAACGAGGAAATCAGTTACTGTTTGCGATCTGTCATCTAACTCTGGAAGCAAATGCAGGGCTCTCGGATCCTGTCGGCCTTTGATATCCGTATGCTCACCGCATGCTGAAAGCAACCCGCGAGCAATTGTTCACATTCAGTAGCAATTTGAACTACATGTACTAACGAGTGAGACCGAGGCAGATGGCAGAGGAAGCTGGGGCTCCCTGGGCAACACCGATAGGCAACGTGTTGTAACTGACTACCGGCACATGTACCGTATGCTGTACCATCCCGGCGACGATGTACCTGGGACAGGTCGATTTCGAATCGAATATGCGCCAATTTGATCAGGGTCTCTACTTTGATTGAATGATTCGATTCCCGAGCGGTATGGTAGCTCGAACGAAGCTGCTACTCATATCGATCTTCTTCTGAATCGTCAGCGACTTTTTTGTTCAGATAGATTCACAGTCTCTTACGGTATGGTAGCTCGAACGAAGCTGCTACTCATATGGATCTTCTTCTGCATCGTCGTCGTCTGCATCTCCTCGTAATGCATTTCTCAGCTGCTTCCAACAGTCCGAGCGATCCCATTCTGCACTCAAAACATAGTCGGCTGGCACTTCGACAGCAATCCATGGGTCGTCATCCAACATACTCTCTAGTTCTTCTTCTGTCCATTGACAAAAATTGAAAAAGAACTTGAAATCTTCTGGTTTGGCCTTTCCCTGCTTACACGCTTCGAGTGCTTCTTGCAGGCCTCCCTGGAAGACCCCCGAGGTACCAATCATGTCGCCATCTCCAATTTCGGGTTGATTGTGCAGCATAAATACGTTATCACCACCTTTGTCACCTCCACGATGGATGAGGTTCTCCGCCATTGGATTATCCTTGATGCCTTCCAATAAAGAAGAATCGGCCATTTCACCCAACGTAAATGGAGTTGGGTGATCCAAAATGGCTCCTCGGATCATATATCTGCCCTCATCAGTATCTTCATCTTCTCCCATGGCATAAATGAAAATGGCAGCTTGACGGTAAAAATGATGGAACTCGTCCTGTGGAGCAACCATGACTGTCCCCGGTCGAACCACGGCGTGAGAACCTTTGCCTAAGAATCGAACATTGGGGTTGGTAGTAGACAGATAAAGTGCCGATGCGGAACGGCAGCCATTCTGATGATGGTGAGCGCTGCCACAAGAGGAAGGAGCAGTGAACGACTGGATGCTAATGGTCTGCTGGCCGAGAGAAATGGCGAGAAGAGCCAAGGAAGCTGTCCATCGATGTAGAGTGCTCATCATTGGGAGAGGTTTGATGTTTAACTATGTCATGAACAAATGACGGAAATCTTTCTTGCTTGTTGCTTCTTTCCATTGCGCGAGAGAACACCAACTTGGATGGATGGTCGCGACCGATGCCAATGAAATATCAAAACAGCAGAGTTGGTGGACTAAGATTTCTTTTTGGCTGGCCTCTTTCTCTTGGCCGAACCTTTGGGTTGCTTTTTCTCTGGGACCAGCTGCAGCACAAAATCGCTCAGATCAGTTTCCGATGGCTCATTGCTGCTGCCGTCTTCAACCCCAGTACTGCTTCTGGCCAGTAGTTCCAGTTCTTGTCGAGCTGCCACTTCGTTCTTGATTTTGAGCAAGAGATCTGCATCCGAAGCCAATTCTTGGAGCCAACGTGTCCTCAGAATCTCAGGTCTCCGATCAGGGAAATGTTTTTTGGTCAATTCGCTCCAGGAGATGCTGCCACCATTTTTCAATGCTTCCTGCACAGCTTGCCGCAGACGCTTATCATCCTCTTCCGAAAAGGGTCGTCTCTTGGTATACGCTGGATCCAGGCATCGACTCCATTTCTCCCGAACACCCCGTGCCGATCGATGAGGAAAGTGCCCAGGGACCAGATGCGGTGCCTTTTGATAAATTTTGCGACACAGGACCAGCTTTCGTTCCTCTTGGATGGACCAGGGTCCCTGTTCGAGTTTGGGGTTGACCAGTGACAAGTTTGCACGCAAGAAAATTTGAGTGCTGGTCTTGTCGGGAAACAACCGTCGTGACATGTCTTCGGCGGCTGCCACATCCAGCACAAACTGCGGTCCCTGAGCGGCCAAGTACTTGAGGAGCAGCTCATCTTGAGTGGGTGTCCAAACTGCAGTCAATTGTTTGGTTTGGTACTTGCGATATGCGACAAAGCATTGCCAAGGACTGCGGTCCCTGCCAATCTTTTCCGCAATGTCCTGCCAGTTGATGATGGTCGGTTGGGTTGTGGTGGTATTACCAGTAGTGTTGGCAACAGTTTGCTGTTCCTCTACTTGCTGTACCACCAAAGCCACTTCCGCCTTGGATAGACTTGGCTGCTGCTCGCATTGCAACCGCTGGTAGTGTACCCGGCATTCTTCCGCGGTTCTGGACAACCGATATGGACGATCTGAATCCGCTTTACGACATTCATTGACATGTTGAGCAACTTTGCCAAAGTCAATATCTGGCTCTGTTTCGGATTCTCTAGTCATGGCACCCATGTCATCGTCTTCACCTCCATGATCTTTGCCCGGCGTGGCAGCTGCATGGATGGTTTCATGGACCGCAGCATCAACGATTGCGGTGGCGGTGGCAACAACCGTGGCATTTGCATGATTCTCTTTTGGAAGTGACGATGATGAATCGTCGTCTCCGCCATTGGCACAAGCTTCCAGAACTAGCTTGGATTCCTGTTTGGTCCAGCGAGGTGATGTATGGTCAAAGCAAGGCACATGAGACCGAATCCGTCGCCGTTTCAGCGTATCTGGATTTGGTTTTGGCTGTGTACCCATGGGATCTGAAAAGAAGGCTCGATTCCACGGTCTTTTCTTTTCAATATCGCAGTCCCATCTAGCCAGCAATCGGGCCGCAGTCATCCGAGAATGTTTTTTGGCTTCCTCAACAATGTTCTTTTCTGGACCAACCGTGTCTTTTCCTTCAGCAATTACTTTCTGGAAAAAGTCTCGCACAGTGGCCACATCTTGAGTAGGAAACAGTGGGGCCAAAGCAGACTCTTCCTTCTGTTTGGCCCGTTTTTTGGATGCCTTTTCTTTTATCTTTGTGGTCTTTACTGACTTTTTCTTACCACCTTGTTTTGTAGCTCCTTCTTCAGCAGTGTTGGCTTCTTCCGCTGCTACTGCACCACTAGAAGCTTCACTATTTGTCAGAGTTGTTTCTTTTCCCTTCCCTTCTGTCACCAAATACAACTGCTGTGTTATGTTTGATGCGGTGCGTCGATTGTCGCCCATTTGCTGAGTCATGTCCTTCAAGGCCGTCAGTATCGTTTGTTGCAATTGTCGATTGTAGGCCAGCTTTTGTTTGAGACGAGACGCAAGTTTGCCTTTACCCCCATCGCTGGTGGCATTGATGCTTGCGGCTGTTCCTCTTGCTCCTTTTCCCAGAGCAGCAATGCCCAAAGGGCGCCGTGGCGGTGGCTGCTTTCGAGCGGCAGCATTGGTTCGGTTATTCATTGCCTTGCGCCTTGCTTGCATGGCGGCCGTGTTGTTGTGGTGGAGAGGGTCGCTGTTTGCATTTTGGACACGCCGAAAGCGTTGAACGAGGCCAGACATCAGCTCTGATGGCTTCAAAAGAATCCTGAAAGCGCATGGTTGTCTGTCGTTGCTGGTGGTTCTGAAGGACGAAGATCCAAAGGCGTCCTCACAGATACCGGGACATGTAACAACAGCGTTGTTCATCTTGTGCATTACTCTACAATAAGGAATCTGATGTATTACAGTAGTACCATTGCTTTCATCCTTCTACAAGCGCAAAGCAAGGTTCATTGATAGGCTTCCATTCTTCCAAAAGCCCCCCTCGATCAAGTCCCAACGTAGAGCAGCATTATCATGTCTATTCAAGCCAGCACATTCCTCCGTGGCGTCGCATCCATGCCGCTCTTGTCGGGCGCCGCGATTCTGGCCATGGGCCTGCAAGTTATCCCAGCCGACCCTCAAATGTCGGCCGTGGCAAATGTGTTTATCGAAGGAATCCTGCCTCTGTCTACTTTTCTTACCATGCTGGGTGCCGGCAAAATGATGGCAGCTTTGAGCTTGTGGGGCTATGGGCCAATGCCGCATGATCTTGCCGTTGTAGGATTGTCCATTCCACCGCTCTGTGCCATGTATGGCCACGCTGTTGCGGAGGGTGCTGCAGCAGCGCTTCCTCCCGCCATTTACTTGGCTTTGTTGGCTGCCTATTTTGTAAAGAACAAGGAACAATCCAATACTAGTGATGGCAAGAAGGACGAGTAGACGGTTGTTGTGGAGTTGCAGCTGTGTGCTTTGCAGCATGGCAGAGAATGAATCCCTGTCTAGATTTATTTATTTGAATATGTCCACTTTCTGGTCGCATTGATTGCCATAAATGCTACCAGAAGCAGCCACCTGAGGAGCATTGGGCTGGTGGACAGCCCAAGCTACCAGTGACAACATCTCCTAGCTAGAACACCTAAATAGCAAACTACCAAGGTCTACAACCAGCTAGCTAGATCGCAACATCTATCACAAGTCTGGGATTGAGTTCTGGCTTTGTCATTCATGTCCGCCTCTTGGGATTGAGTGCATTGATGTCCACCTGCCAACCGCACAAAAGTTGAACTGAGCTTGTCTCATTTCCTTCTTCACCCATAAACTACTATCACCAGCAAGGGTTATACTTTGTGCAGTTTATATTATTAGTGGTTCTATGAATGTTTGTGTCTTGGAAGAAGTCAGTACTGACTCAACCTGGGTGGTGGTGGACGTCGCTGGTAAGTAAACTTGGGGGCGTCCTGCTGTTTGGGTTGCTTGTCCTCGTCATACTTGGTGCGATCTTGCAGGATTTCGTTTTGCATCTTGAAGAGACTCTCACAGGTGAATCCGAGGCCCAACCCATACCTCTTGAGCTTGCGTCCTTCGAAATACTCACCGCTTACGGGGCTGATGATTTTGCACTTTGGACAGATCACGTAACTCACATCAGCAATGCAAAAAATGTCAATGGAGCAGCCAAAGCAGGAAGCTTCTTGGTAATAGTCTTTTGCAATCGCTCGCATGGTTTCATGGGTTCTACGAAGTGGCACACGAACTCCAGGTGCAATTTCCACCGAGATTGGTTCGTCACGAACTCCAACGGATGAGCGTCCGGAAAGGCTTCCGCCGTTCAGCTTGAGCTTCTCGTCTAACATTTCGTGATCACGGTATTTTAGAGTGCTACTGCTCGGCACCAGGCCTCGCGGAGACTCACGTGGCGGTGGTGGTGGGGGCGGAGGAGGGTTTAGAGATCTTCGGCGATGGTCCTCTCTGAGCGAATCATCACGGCGAGGCGGGTTGCGGACTCTTCCCTGGAATGGAGGAGAGCCAGGGTAGGCATCATACGCTGGATCGTCACTGGGACGATCGTGGCGGTTGTAACCACTCGGAGAGTGCCGCGGCCCTCTCCTGTCTGAATAGCTCGGTTCTTCATCCGGATACGCTGGTGGAGACCGATCGTACTCCATGGGAGATCTGCCATCATCTCTTGATCGGACATAGACTTCCGAATGGCCTGGCGGAGTGAAGCGATAGGGCTCCGGTTCGTCGCGATAATAGTCTCCATCACGGCGCACCATAGGGGGAATCCTTCCAGAATCTCGCAGACCGCGCGGTGGCGGGTCGTAGTAGTAATCATCCGAATGCTCTGGATGCCTGACCGGGAGTTCCCTTTCATAGCGCATCCTGTCATCATAGTCATTCCTGTTGTACACGGACCTATCGTATGGTTCAGAACTGTAGCGCCGGTGGTGGTAAGGGTGATCTCGCCTGGGCGGAGACCTGTCCCTGGGATCCCACCTGGGTGGTGAGCGATCCCTCCGGTCCCATCTTGGCGGTGAACGATCTCTTGGCGGTTCCCACCTTGGCGGTGATTGGTCCCTGCGTCTGCCAGTATCCCAACCAGGGGCCCATCCCCCGCTTGATATGCGCCTTGGTGGAGAGCGATCCAGTCGTCTTGGCTGGTGGCGGTCATGGACCGGGGGCCTTTCGCCATTGTCGACGGCAGGTCCTACTATTGGGATCACCCTCTCTCGTGGCGGTGACGGTGGAGATCGACCACGTTCCGTTGGGGGCGGCGGCGATGAATCAGGGCCGGTCAACGGAATGTGAATGTTTTCTGGAGGAGATACTGGTGGCAGCTCCGCAGCACGAAGCACATCAAGATGAGCAGGTGAGCTCTGACGCCGAGCACCGTCCAAACGAGGATAAAGAGGCGATTCATCCTTTCTTCTGCGCCTATCAGGAGTCCTCTCAGGAAGGTTTTCACGTCTTGGGGCAACATGATCTTCACGCCCCTTTCCTCTTTGGTCTCTCACGGGTGGTCCCGATGTTGAAGCGCGACGACGAGCGCTTTCGGGTACGTCGACCGTGGTGGTGCTAGTACGTCGAAAGGGCGCCACTGGCGAGTCTGCTGCCGCTTTCTGCACCGGCGAAGTCATGCTTCTGGCAAAGGGAGCATCCGACTTTTCCCGCGCAGGAGGAGCATTGCGCTTGTGTTGCTGACAGGAGGACTTGTCGTCCTTTCCCCATCGATCGCTTGCTTTGGAACGACTCGCAACACTTGCTGTCTTGGTGGAGCGACCCGCAATGCTTCGTGGTGAGAGCTGTGGTGAGCCCTTTGGCGAGGGAGAGTCCCTCGGCGGCGGTGGCGGAAGGTCCGTCACTGGAATGGTGACCGTGATCAACTTGATGGGTGCCTGATGATGCTCGTCATGTTCTTCTTCTGTTGTCTTGTTGGCATGATGAGCTGCTGTTTCTTGGGCCTCGTCGTCGTGTGAAGTATCCTTGATCAAAGTCTCTTCTGGCGGAACTACTACTTCATCGTCTCCTACGGACGAAACGTCCGAGTCGCTACCACCAATGCTGGGTGCAATGGTCGGCAACGGGAGCCTCGGTGGAGGCATGTCAGGCTCTAGCTCGTCTTCCTGCAAACAGGCTAGACAAGCCGGTGAAGACCTGGTTCGGATATGGCTGCCGCAACTGCCACTACTTCCTCGTCGTCCAATAGTACGTGTAGTAGTTCTGTCTTTGGTATCACTGCTGCCCGCCGAGGCGCCGAGATCCAGTGCCGAGCCCAGCCCACTGTTGGGGCCTCCAAACTCGGCCTCGGAGCCACTGCCGGCACCTTCATCGTCGGATTCCATTTTGATCATGTAGTCGCTGTGTGTACTGGAATTCAAGCTAAGGGTATCCCGTAACCATGTCATTTCCAAGGGTTTCTTTTGCTTCTTGTTCCTCCTGGAGTGCCTCGGCAAACTCCCTACAATGATCTTTTTGCGAAAGCTATTCCCCTGTATACTCCTCAGACTGCCTTTACTGAGGCTACTCCGGGACCTAATGGACCGTATAGAACCTTCCACAGTCGATGTCGTTGATGCTAGAGAAAAGGCGCGGCGAGCTGTGGACGAGGACGTGTTGAGAATGGCTCGTTTGGAAGAGTCTCTTTCACCATTGTCTTGCTCCTCCTCCACGTCGTCTTCCATACTAGTAGTGGTGATGGAGATACTGGTGTCTGTTTTGCTTCGATGGAGTCTGTACTTTAGGGGATCTCCCAATAATGGATCTGCAAGCCAGGAAGCAAGACAATGCACAAAAAGTGAAAAGCGAACAGAACCAGTGTTGTATTGGCGTGAGAAAGGTGATTTGTGATTTGATTCTCACTTTAAGAAACATATACAGTGATGATAATGGATACCCCTGCCTACTACAGGGTCAACTTACCCTTTGGTAAATCCACGCCTCTACTGGATCTGTTTCTGCTACCGGTAGCTCTTCCTGGGACAGCAACGGAACCTGAATTGTTTCCATCGTTAGCTTGTAGTGTCTCCTTTTCTTCCTCTCGCTTTCCCTTCTCGACTGACCCACGACTATTCCAGCTACCAGTCATGGGGGGTTGTTCTCCAGGAGGATTCCTGTTGCTGGTTGTTGTTGTTGTGGCGTCTTGGACTTCTGGTGCTGATGAACCATTCTTCCCAGCCATCATCCTCCCGCCACTACTGCTACTGCTGCCACTCTCTGAGGTCTCCACTAAAAGTGCCGTATTGTCATGGTGCTTCTTGCTATGAATCAAGATGCTTACACTCTCTTCCAACCCGGCCATAAAGGTACTTTTGGGATGGATATGCTGAGATTGCCTTGACTTTTGACCTCACTTGTCGTTGTTGTTCCAGCCAAAAACACCACCAAGCTTTGTTGGTTGACCTGTTGACCTGACCAGGCAAAAGCCTTCTTTCATTCTTGGAGTGAGTGCGAGAGAAGCATCCATCACGCAATGTCCGAGACTTAAGCCACCAAACAATTCTACGATTTGAGTACTGTGGTCACTTAGTCACCATCGCTGAACCATTCGGCCACCAAGACTCTAGTAACTATTTTACTTAACATCAGTGACGCTTCATCTTCAAGAATGACTATTCTTTATTTCCCTTCATCAGAATCCGTTCCCCCCCCTCAAAGGTATCGCGCAGTTGTAAAGCCGCGTTAGCGCTAATTAAATCCGAAAGGAGAGGTCACTTTAGAATTAACATTTGGATGTGCTTTACGGCAATTTTAACTTTACCAATGACCCATGGTCATGAATTAATTAAGCCTCAGTAAGGTGCAATGTCGCCAGTCATGCCCGGCAAGAATTAAGATTCCGTACTGTACTTCTACGAGCGACCAAGAATAAGGAAGTCTTTGAGCATCCATGAATGAGCAAGTCTTTGAGCATCCATGGCTTTCCGAAGCAAGAAGTGAACCTCATCCTATTTTTCATCCATCTTTTGCCGTAACATCATCCTCTTTTGCCGGTTCGAGATGCATGGATGATGGGTGCAGGCATCATGGATGGATGGGGAGTGCGGCGCTGCAAGTCCAGGGTAGCTGGGGCAGTGGGGAGCACGGCAGCACCACCGAGAGTGTTCTTTTCCAGGCTTGCTACCACCGGTATCTATCTAGTTGTACTAGTTGCAGGGTGTGCCTGCAATAGAGTTCACTAGGCCAGCTCCTGGTTGTAGTCTCTGCTACCACGTACTAGGCAGCAGCTAGTTGTAGCTCTGGCTGGAGGCTGGAGGTGATATCTTCGGCACTTGCTTCAATGAACTTCCATCAGACAACTCCATCCTGAATCGAATCGAATCATCGAATCTCAATCATCTTGGCTTGCCGGCCATTGCGATGCAAACTGGCTCTGGGCTCTGGGCATTATCCAAAGCAGCATCTATTTTGGCTTCCTCATTTTTGCTTGGCTTTGCGCCTCGGGCTGTGCCGGTTCTGGTAACGGGACATGTACTCGTACGTGTACAAGGTACCAGGTACCAGTAGTGTAGCCAGATCCAGTAGCTGGAGTTTGGATGCTGGGGTAAAAGTTTTTTTTGAAAACCTTACTCATTGTACCACCGGCACTGTATCCCGAAACGGCTGGACGATGACCGATTCTCCTGGACCAACCTGGACATCCCAGAGCCACCCGAGCTAACCAATAAAGTCTAGGAGCGAGAGCTCTGGAACTCTGGATCCCGTCAGAGATAGCTCCAACAGCTATGCGGGCCTACAGCTCCAGCACCCACAGCTGGCTTATCTCCAGCCAAAGCAGCAAGAAAGGATCGTCCTTTCCATCATAGTTAAGAAAATAGTATGAAAGATTGAGACCGATCCTGATTAGCTTGTAGCCCCTTTGATACCGCAGCAGTTGATGCCCATCCTGTTGAGGCCGGGCAGAAGCAGTAGGAGGTAGCAGATAGTACTGTTCCCAGACTGCCACTGCACGATTGAATAACGAAGGCCCCCAGCTCCTGAGGTGAGCTGGCCCAAAGGGCCCAGCAGAGAGCTCTGCTGGCCCTCCTGTCTGACTGACAGGGCCAAGTCCTTGGTTTGGGTGCCTATACTGGAGGTGTTGGATACTCCTGAGGCACGACAAGGCTCCCAACCTGCCTGACTACCGCTGTTCCTGAGGAAGGGCTTCAGCGAGGCCCAGTCCACTACTTAAGTATTGGAACTGAAAGTTATTGCTAACGTCCACATAACGTACCATCACACCGGCAAATTCAGGAACCTCTCAGTCCCGAACAAGACCAACGCGGCGACCATCCGATTTCCAATCCGAACAAGACCAACACCACCCATGCAGTATGACCGCATCCACGTGCGTGCCACTTATGGAAGTACATATACTCTGAGTAGATAAGTGAAACACAACGGCTTCGGCCTCACAACCCCCCTCCCTCCTTCACAACAGCAACAACAACAACGACGTTCAACCGAGCATCCCATGACGACAAAGCCGCCGCCGCCAACAGGTGTAGACCACCCTGTCTACACCAACGCCAGCATGGAGAAGCTAGCCTCCGCGGAGAAACGCCTCAATCTCGCCCTCGCCCATTTTAATTTCTATATGCAAGGCTACTCCGTCCAGAATGGTTTTCCTTACACGGAGGCCAAAGGCATTCCCTACTGCGGAATCCCACCCCAACCCGACGAGCAAGCCGTCTTCAAATGGTGGGGAGACCTCATCGGTGCCTTCTTCACTTGCCTCATGTCCTACGCCATTAAAGCCCGTAAACCCGGAGCCGACCGCATCTCGAAACGTACCGCCGAGCAGTTTGCTGGTGACGTGAGAAAGTATTTCTGCAACGAGAAGTTCGAATTAGATCCGCCCATCCCGGTGTTTCAACCCCGATAATGGAACAAACTGAAAGAAAAGCTACAAGGCAAGTTCCGGGAACGTCACAGGGCGACCAACACCAAAGCGGTAAAATCCATCGCAGGTAGCACCAGGGAAGACCGTGAATGCCTCGCCATTTGTTGCATATGGGATGGATCCACCTCCAGTGCAGAGTTTTGGCACCTCCTCAATACCAGCTACCACTGTGCCGGAAGGGGCAGTGAAGCGAGTCTCGCCTCCCCAGAAGACCATTTGGTCAAAGATGTTAACGAATGTGTTTACGAGTACCAGGTGTTGTACCTGGAACTTCAGAAGCAAAAGAACGGCGTCCTCCAGGATATCGCCATTCACCCGTTTAGAGACGGTCTGTATCAGGACTACTATTTCAGTGCAATCTATCTAGTGGTGATGGTAGGATGCGACCACGAGTACATGTTTCCAAATTTCAGCAAGGCCGCTCTCGCAACAACCAAGTCGGGCAAGTCTGCCAGCAAAGTATCCCCGTTGTGGAAATTCCTGTTCGAGGAAGTGTCCACCAAGTATGATTGCATGCTTGATAAGATCAACAAGAACCACTCCTCTCATTGTCAGAAGCATGGCTCCAACCAACACCTGGCCAATAGCAGCAGCGTTTCCAGGCCAGCCCAAGTGTGTTGGAGGAAATATACCTGACACCTCTTTACTATTGACTCGTGTATTAATCATCTAGTCCGGTTCGCATGCAAATTCATGATGCAAGGAACCAAGGGAGTTTTAGGTCTAAAGTGTTGCGGGGGTCCTTATATCCAATTCAATCACAAGAATTGCTATGCACCACCAGAAAATCCTCACTTTTGCTTTTCAGCTTAATCTAAAACCAAATTACTTCCCAATAAGCTGCAGTATTACTAGCAAACAACACTGAAAAGCAAAAGGCCATCTCGAGTTACTACTACTACCGATCTCGAGATTGATATCAAGGTAACCAAGTCAAAGTGTATTGAGTTAACTACTGCAACAGAGAAGAGGTGCAGAAATACAGTGCACAGCAGCACTATCTGCATAGACAAACAGATCTAACAGGAGAATTCCCATTTCCGCGCGACTGACACGGTACGTCGAAGATCGATCCACAGTTTCCGGCCGGAACTGTGTTGATCTGAAGATACCAGTGCAAAGAGTACGTTAATCCACACTGATTCAATAGCGGAAGCGACGGAATCAAGCTGTTATCCAGCGAGTTGTCGCGCGATTACGTCATCAGAGGTTTGACACTTCAAATCGCTCGAGCAAGAGGCCATCTACGACGATCAAGCTACTGTTTGAACCATCAGAGATAGGTAAAGACACTTATACAGAGGAAGTTGCGGCACACGACAAAGGTACTCTGAGTATCAGTGCAAGCTTCTAACTCCAGATATTGAGTGAGATAAGTCTAATCGTGTCATCGGTACCTGTGAGCTTTGAGAGTTCAAATCCCGGTAACGTTTCTGATAACTCGAAGGACCAAATCTTCACGAGATAACTGTTCCAGCCATTGAAACTCACACCGTGTACTCATCTAAGTATACGAAGGCCATCTGCAGAAGAACAGAGGCAACGAAAGGACCGACAGAGGCAGTTCGCTACTACCCAAGGTTCCACACAAGAAACACCACGTTTTACGTGAGCTGTCAAAGACAGAGGCTATTCAGCCAGTACACCAAGAGTGCACGAAAAGAAGGCTATCCAGCCACCAAGCAAGCTTTTTCACAAAGCAGTGACTCATACAAGAGTCCACCGTGAGGTCCTTCCTGCAGGAGTACCCACACAAGAACAGTTCCACGAGAACAAGCTAGTTCCAAGGAACAAGCACAGCACAAGAGTGCATTACCACACCAATGCACTACGCTAAAAGCTAGTGTAAAGATCTTTCGAGTGTTTTGAGTTTGAGAGAATGAAAGTTATGAGAGAGATTAGAAAGCTATGAAAACTAATCAACGAGAGAGATCATCATCAAGGGATTGTAGATCTGGCTTCCCGCGGGAGACTATAAAGTGTGATAGAGTAGGTTGTGGTAGTAATCCTACGTCTCTCCACGATCCTAAAACGGAACGCGTGGGAGGTTTGTCTAGCCTGGATCTAGTAGCGTGGAAGTACTCCACGCTGGCTAAATATCTAGAGCGATGTTTCATCATCAACCTAGTATGACTAGCGCGGTCATTGAGAACCCTGTCTCAAATGACTATTCACGAGAGACTCGGTCATGAGTCGAACTCAAACCCTATCTAGGATCGAGTCGCGAATAAGGCTAAGAGCCGTGTATTGCACCAACGGCAACCATGAGATTCCAAGGAAGAGGTGGTCGTGGTGGAGGAAGATACCCTTCTAGGGGGGGTAGGGGATTCAATTCCTCAGGAAGAAGCCATCAAGGAAGAGGCAACAGCTACAGGAACCAGAACAAGAGTCCTAAGCGTCAGTTCCTCTTCCATCCAAATGGACAGGCTGACACCAGGCATTATCCTTTTGAAGAGACCCTGACCAACATTGTACAGGACCTAAGGATCAAGCCTGAATGGAATGATGTGCCCTTGGCTTCATTGGCCATTGAGACCATGACAAGTCAGGCACCAACCAAGCCGACCAAGCCTACACTTCAGATATCACTTACTGATCCCAAAGCCCAAGAGTACGATGCTTGGAACTCAGCGAGTACAAGGCCAAGTCATCCATCTATGACAAGTCGACTCGCACCTATGAGAACATTCTCAAGACTGGTGCAACCACCATCCAGGTGACATACTGTACCGACGCCATGAAGTCCAAGCTTAGAGGTCTAGGAGACTATGAGGATGCAGTCAAGCTCGATCCCATTGAGATGCTCAAGAGGATCAGATTGATAGTGATGCAGGGCTCAACCAAAGAGTTCCCATTACTACAATTCATCAAGACCATCCAACGTGGTTTGTTCCCGAAACAAGGAGACCATGACAGAGTTGACTTCTACTTGAGAAAGGTCGACAGCGACGTGGACCAAGTGTATGACCTTGTCGGAACGGAGTTCATTGATGCCAGGACTATCGGATTAGCTGAATATCAGGCCGCATCGGGTCACGACGCCCAAGAAAAGGTGCTAGTGACAGAAAGGGCTAGGTTGAAAGCAACCGTGGGCTACCATGGACTACAAGAAGGACGATATGGAGATTACCAGAAGACCGTTGAGGCAGCCTATGCCATGGACGGCAGCATCCAGTTCCCTGCTACCCTGGACCATCTCAGAGAGACACTGTCCAATGTCAGATTCAAGGCCAGCAAGGAATGGTTGGAACAGTGGAAGAGCAGGGAACGGAAACCATACTCCAATCCCAAGCCACCTTCTTTTGATCCCAAGAAGATGAAGGAAGGGCTCCCAGCTAAGCCTGCTACTGTTGTGGCAGCCCAGATCACAAGCTTCCACAGTGCAAGGTCAAATCCAAGATCCCCAAACCGGAATGGGCGATCAACAAATTCAATGGCATGAAGAAGTCCTTCATGCCGCAGTATCATCAACATCGGATGCAACTGCTTCAAGGAGTGCCTACCACAGTGGTGACGGCACCAGCTCCATCTCCAGCCGGAGACACATCGACCAGGAGTGGATTCAGTGGAATCCCTCCACCTCCTACAAGCTAGTCAAACTTCCAGCAGTTTCCCATGTCAAGCCAAGCCTCTCAGGCCAGCGCGACATGGTCATTGCAGTTCCACTTCCAGCACCATCAAGTTGGAGGAGTCCGCCCCTGATGGCAAGAGATGACTCCACAACCGACAGTGAGCCGGAAGAATACGTTGACTGGGGGCCATTGTTGAATTGCTTGGAAACGTAGAATCTCTGGCATTGCTCGATGAGATCGCCGTTGAAGGTGATCCCATCATACATATCCGAGGGATACATTTGGGCATAAGTATCGAAGTCTTGCGGAGGAAAGTACTCATGCTGAACTTTGCCAGGTAAGTTGAAGAGAACATGAGCGTGATCAGTGCTTCGGTCAACGATGTTATAGCTACCGGCGAGCGTCCCGTGTTCAATCTTATACTTCACCTTCAAAAGGGCATCCAGGACGATGGGATAATTTGCATACTGCTGCTCAATTGAGTCAAAGATCTTGGTAGTATTCGCTGGAGCAGCAACGGGGGTAACGGGCCCTTCTGTTGTTGCTCCTCCTCCTGTGGCTGATGGGCTGTGCATGATGCACGGCTCCTACATGTACAACAAGGTTTGTGGTGTTGAAAGAATGGGAATGAGCATTTAGTGAAGGTGCTTCCTGGAGCGTGCCTCAGGGGGTGCCAATGGGGAACCCAGGATTTAGGGTAGGATTCGCTGTAGGGCAGAGTTTCAAACTCTGCCCTAATTATAGGGTAGAGTTTTGAAACCATGCCCTAATTTAGGGTAGAGTTTGAAACTCTGCCCTAATTTAGGGCAGAGTTTGAAATTTAGGGCAGAGAAACTCTGCCCTAAATCGAAACGGGACTGAATAGTAAATACTATGAAACTCTGCCCTAATTTAGGGCAGAGTTTGAAACTCTGCCCTAATTATTAGGTAGAGTTTTGAAACCATGCCCTAATTTAGGGCAGAGTTTCAAACTCTGCCCTAAATTAGGGCAGAGTTTGAAATTTAGGGCAGAGTTTCCAAACTCTGCCCTAATTATTATTAGGGCAGAGTTTGGAAACTCTGCCCTAAACACCACCACAGGCACCATTGAGCAACGGTCCTGTGGTTTGCCACCAAAGTTTGCATCGAGAACACATTGGGTTGAGTGGAGCCTCAATTCCGCTACTAACAAATAACACGGGGAGTACTGAAAACTGATAGTAAACGAGCCAGCCAGTATTTCAGCTTTTCCCGTAACTAGTACGGTTTGGTCCACCAATCACCAGCAAAAGGAAGCAAAATCAAGCAAAATTCTGCAGACAACAAGACCATGGTTTGCCTTTGGATGACGACAGAAATGGATCCACCTTCAGCATTGTGTCCATCACAGCTGTTGGAAGATATTCCACAAACTGGATCCAGTTTGGTACGGTGGTTGAGGAGCTGGAGACCCCCATGTAGCGCCATTGTTGGTTAATGTTTACGCTGTGGTTGCTGGTCGCATCGTTGGCTTTGGAGGATGGATCGACCGGTACTCCGTATTTGCGGGAAAACCCCAAACCCAAAATTCTGGTTTGTACTGAATGCTCTATAGTAAACCTCCCCAGTGCTTTTGTTAGTGACGGACCACGAACCCAATGTGGAACAATCATTTAAAAAAAAAACGATGACTCGACTCGACTCATCACTCGTCCCAACCCCCAGGCATTTCAATCGTTTCACGAACACAGTCATTGTGACCGCCATTTCCAAATGTCTCACACAGAAACAGTTACGATAGTTAAGAACGCCAGCCGGCATTATGATAAACCACTGGACCACATCCCGGATAACTGGACGCTGGAATCTAGAAAAGTGCCGCCCATGGTACTGTACTAGTACCATTACCTCGGCAGTCTTTCTGCCTGAGCCCTCACCCCTTTTTTGGTATTTCCTAACCTCGGCAGTCTATCTGCCTGAGCCCTCACCCCCTTTTTTGATATTTCCTATTCTGGTGAAGCCAAAATATAGGGGTAGAGATAGCTTAAGCCAACAAAACTGGAAATTGAAGGTTCTACAAATTTAGGGGTAGGAATAAATCATGATTATTCAAGGTTAGTGCACTCAACACAATAAGCCAGCAGATGCTACAAAAGTTACAGGTACATACAGGAGTGACAGCTGTAAAATTATGGCAACACACGACGAAGTCGGGTGTTGTCGCCAGGGCTAGCTTACAGAAAAAAGAAGGTTAAAATGAGGGAATAACACTGGGCGGCAACACACGACGGAGTCGGGTGTTGCCAAAATATAGGGATAGAGATAGTCTTAAGCCAACAAAACTGGAAATTGAAGGTTTAACAAGTTTGGGAGTAGGAATAAATCATAATTATTCAAGGTTAGTGCACTCAACACAATAAGCCTGCAGAAGCTACAAAGGTTACAGTTACATAAGGGAATGACAGCTGTAAAATTATGGTTAGCGGGCGGCAACACCCGACTTCTTCGGGTGTTGTTGCCAGGGCTAGCTTAAATACAAAAGAAGGTAACAATGAGGGAATAATACCGAGGGGCAACACACGACGAAGTCGGGTGTTGTCGCCATGGCTATCTTGAAAGAAAGGTGCAATCTCAAACATGATCTTCCTTCTTCTATTTGTCTTTCTGCCGGGGCATTGCAGCTCCCGCTGACTTAAATAGGCCTATGCAGTATCTGTGGGACCCCCTCCTTTCGTGTCTGTGAGATCCCCCTCGTTTTGGTGAAGCCAGGGTATAGGGTTAAGGTTAAGAATTTTTGCTGCAGCAATTCGATCGTCCAAAGCTAGGGTAACAGCCGCAGACCCACTTGTAATCAACAACCGACAAAAACACAAAGTAGGCATTCTCAGCTTTTTTTTTAAATATGGATTATCTACATTATCCCTTTCCCCCATAGTTCCCTCTAACTGCATAGTAAACTTCCCTACAAGCACCCGCCACCTACTGACAACAGCCATCGAGAGGGCAACAGCCATTTGTCACGGCACCAACTCGGGTGGCAAAGCAACTATGCCAGTCAAGTATGGAACACCTGCTTACCGCAGGAAGATTGAAGCCAATCGGCGATCCAGACAGAAGAAGCAGGCACAACAAACAGATGAGGAACGGCAGGCAGAGTTGAAAGTCAAAAGAGACTTCATGCAGAAGCATCGAGAACAACAATCTATAGAAGAATGTTTGATTGCCAAAACAAAGGATCAAGAAAGGAAACAGATCAGACGCTCGATCAAGGGATTTTTTGATGCTGGCTGAGGCGCATGATTTCAAAGAAAGAAAGCGCTGGATTGATCGAGCTTTGGAAATAAGCAAGCTAAAGCTTGAGCTGAAGTTGGAGCGACATAAGCTGCAGAAGCTACATGGTGTTGAAGACCTAGAAACCTCTTTAAATGGAGCATGGATGAAAGCTCAGCTTACAGACATCACAGAACAGGTAAAGAAAGAACATGCAAGCTTAAGGCATGATTGGGACGAAACGCAACAGAAACTCCATGCAAAGGATCCAGGTTTCTACGAAGCAGAGTGCAACATATTTCAACATACGTATGATAGAAAGAAAATTGCAAAAGAGATGAGAGATGGTCCAACACATCATGATCTAAAACTTGAGCGGGTTAAAGAATCACTCGATAAAGCAATTTGTGCTCGCAAGCGTTTGTGGTGGCGGAAAAATATATTGCCAGGGCTTGTAGAGAAATACGGCTACAGTAAATGAAATGATTCTGTGTCATTGTCGATGTACTGTATTAGCCAGTGCTCTACCTACTGATCCTCCAGATTCTCCTTTTTGTACATGTATTGCAGCAATCTTAATGTGATCCCCTTCTATCTGTCCTTCTGCCAGGGTATCGTAGCTCCCGCTGACTTATCCTGTTTCCTGCTTCCTGTTTCCTGTTCCAGTGAAGCCAAAATATAGGGGTAGAGATAGGCGTAAGCCAACAAAACTGGAAATTGAAGGTTCTACAAATTTAGGGGTAGGAATAAATCATGATTATTCAAGGTTAGTGCACTCAACACAATGAGCCAGCAGAAGCTACAAAAGTTACAGGTACATACGGGAGTGACAGATATAAAATTTTGGTTAGCCGGCGGCAACACACGACGAGTTGTGCGTTGCCGCCGGGGCTACCTTGAAAGAAGGGTGCAATCTCAAACATGTCATCCTTCTTCTATCTGTCTTTCTGCTGAGGTATTGCAGCTCCTGCTGACTTAAATAGTACTGTACCGGTTCCGACACACCTTAACCGGGTACCGTATTTAGCTCTAACGCTAATGCATTCAAGTAAAAGCGTGACTGAAATGGGTCACGGTTGAAGTGACTCAGCGCAAAATAACGTCAGTGATGCCAACCACAGCAGCCCCACACCTAACTGTCTTCGCGGGAGCTTTGCTTCCGTGGTGTGATGGCGAGGTTGCGAAGAGCAAACATCATTATCGATGAGGTGGGATGGTACGGTACAGTAGTATCTTCTTTGGCCTGAATCATTCATTACAGCTCATCTTTCTGTCTGCTACGCACGGTACCTGGGCCGTACCTGCCGTAAGCGACAAGAGAATACAGTAGTGTGATAATCCAGAGAACAAAATTTACATCTCTCTCATCTCTCCCGTGGGTACTCTGTCTGTTTGCGACAATCAACGTTACAACCTTATTAGCATGCTGCAACTACATGTACATTCTGTCGGGATGAAGATGATTATCCTTGGTTCGATGATGCTGCTGCGTCGTCCATTGGTACAAGCCTTTCACAGTCGAGTTATTCCTGCTAGAACCACAACTGCTACCAGATTTTCTACTGGTACCCACAGATGGCAACATGGCTTGCTGGCCACGGCACCCACCTCTTTTGATGACGGAAAAGGACCATTTCAAATCACTACTCCCATCTATTACGTGAATGATAAACCACACATTGGTCACGCTTACACTTCCGTGGGTGAGTTACACCATTAGCATGCTTGGCGGGCAAAGTGCAAAAGAGATTTTATTTGGAAAGAGGAAGACACACTCTGATTTGATTTGATTTGATTCTCACAGGCTGGTTTTTTGTGTTTGTTTGTTTATTATTAGCGTGCGATGTGATTGCGAGATTTATGCGTCTCAGTGGACGAGACGTCTTTTTTCTGAGTGGCACGGACGAACACGGCCAAAAAGTGGAACAATCCGCGGCGGACCGGGGAATACCACCACAAGAGTTTGTCGATTCGGTATCGGTCAATTTCCGCGATCTCCTAGACTTGCTCAACATTTCCAATGATCAATTCATTCGCACTACCGATGCCCAGCACAAAGATGCCGTCCAACATTTGTGGAAGACACTGGTGGACAAGGGATACATTTATTTGGGAACTTACGAAGGATGGTACTCGGTGCGAGATGAATGTTTCTATTCGGAATCGGAATTGGTAGATGGAAACGCACCCACGGGAGCTGCCGTCGAATGGGTGGCCAAGGAAGAATCGTACTTTTTCAAACTCAGTGCTTTTGAAGATAAACTCCTGCAATGGTACAAGGATTGCCCCGATTGTATCGCTCCCTCATCGCGTCGCAACGAAGTATTGTCCTTTGTCGAAGGAGGACTGCGAGATTTGTCCGTCAGTCGAACATCCTTCAAATGGGGAGTCCCCGTTCCAGGTGACGATGATCATATCATGTACGTGTGGATTGATGCCCTGACCAATTACATTAGTGCATTGGGATATCCCAATGACAACAACAACAATTTCGAAAAGTTTTGGCCGGCACAGTTGCATGTCGTGGGAAAGGATATTCTAAGATTCCATGCCGTCTACTGGCCGGCATTTCTCATGGCAGCGGATATTCCACTGCCCAAGCGACTCTTTGCTCATGGATGGTGGACCAAAGACGGTGAAAAGATTTCCAAATCACTCGGGAATGTCATTGATCCTGTCGAGCTGGTAGAGAAGGTAAGCTGTCGGCTTGTTTGATATGCAATACCTGGATGCTGTGTTTCTCTGACCTTTGAATGGTGGTAAATGAATTCATGAATGAATGAATGAAACTATAGTATGGCGTTGATCAAACACGCTTTTTCTTGATGGCCGAAGTCGGTTTTGGTAGTGACGGCGACTTTTCCCACAAATCAATGATTCAAAAAGTGAACAACAATCTTGCCAATGAATTGGGCAATCTGTGTCAACGTACACTCTCCATGGCGTTTAAGAATTGTGGCAAAGCCATCCCGGCCGAAGTGGGAGACTACACACCCGAAGATGAAGCATTGTTAAAAGAAGCGGCTCGATTGAAAGACCAATGCTCGGAATTCATGAGCGTACAAGCCATTCATAAATATTCACAAGCAGTTGTTGGCATGGTGCGAAGTGCCAACAAGTACATTGACGAACAGGCACCATGGGTCCTTCGTAAGACTGATCCCGAAAGAATGGCAACCGTCCTTTACGTCATTCTGGAGGTGGTACGACAAGTCGCCATCCTTTACCAACCCATCATCCCCGACTCGGCCAACAAAATACTGGATCTTCTTCAGGTACCCGAGGATGAACGGACGTTTGCCCATTTGGAGACGTCACCGATTGTCAAGGGCGTTTCTATCAGCAAACCAACCGGAGTATTCCCACGAATTGAAATGCCAGAGGAAATGTTGGTGGAGGCATAACCTACTTGTAGGAAGAAAATCAATATAGTGTATAAAGAGAAAGATAGAGAGTGAAAGTGCAAGAGTTAGTACATGATTTTGAATGAACACAGCAGTTCTTACCTGTGCCACATGATAGAGCTGTCAAACTCAGAAGGATCACAGGAACTTTGCATGTAGCTTGCAGATGCTGAGGTGGCCAATTACTGATTGGTGACACGATGGATTAGCTATGCAAATAGGCTGGATCACCTTCTTTTTACACTACCAGAAACCAGCCAAAGCTAGCATGCAGGCTGTCCATGTTTTGAACAAGCATTGCTTGATGGAATGGAGGATAGGTTGGTTGATCAACTGGCAGGCTTGTGGTGATCATGTAGTCAGTTCTCTCATTGGCAAGCAAGAGGAAGTTGTAATGAAGCACATGACATAAAAAAGTGGATCTGAGTGACAGCTGTGGAAGGCCTGGGAGTGGAACTTGCTGACAAGTGTTTAGCTAAAACCAAGTGCGGCGATGCTGACTTGCTATGACTAACAATTGGTGCCCTAGCTTGAACCAGCTCCTCCCAAGCATGGAATCTTCTGGTTGGTTGATTGATTGACATGCCAGTGTTCTTGAACATTCCTGCAGGCTGGAAATAAGGTGGAAGACCTTGAGTGGCTGGGCTTGATTTCTGTTTGCACTAACTGGCCTGCTTGCACCTCTCCAGGCAGAGTGCCAGCCAGATTCTCAACTGACAATCTGCCCAAGTGCCACCAGGGAGCAGTGGCTGGCTTGGTTAGAGACCTCCAGTTGCTAGTAGACCCCCACAGACAAAAGAGCCAAAAGCATGCAAGCCAGGTAAGAAGCTTTTGAACAAAAGAAATTTCATTGCTACATGTTTGCATTGCCTGGGTGTTCCCTGTTACAGTAAGCTCAAGTACTGAGCAGAAGCATACTGTAGCAAGCTAGGTTCCTTTTCCCATGGAAGCAAAGAGAGTTTCAAAGAGTGGCTGAGAAAAATTCTGTTTTCATCCCAGCCAATGCAAACTGTCCCCTCTTTCCAGTGCCTTGCCTGCTGGCTTTCATTTTCTCGCGCCCTTCCGTTTGAAAAATTACCGACCGCCGCCGCGCACTGGCTTACAGCACGTACTACAACGTAACAGCCGAACTGCCAACGACGACTTTGTTGCCACAACCAACCTTCTGGAGCATCGAAACAGAAAGCATATCACCGCTACTAGCTAGTACCGGTACTTGCCAGCTTGATAGAGTGTGGAGAGTGTGTCGGCTGGTTGTAACGAGACGAGACGAAAACAGACAATCTGGACAAGAGACTTTCTCTGGCATTCCCATCCGTGGTCCGACAACAACACAATAGAAAAAATGGCGGGGGACATGGCATTCGACTCGCAGCACTTTTTCGATGAAGGCAGGCATCATCAGGACGACCATCTCTCCTTTCCTGACCCTATTGCCGACGCAATCATATCACAAAAGGATCCACTAGAAGAGCTCCCGCAACCGCATTTCGAGGAGCCACGGCAGGAGTCACCACCGCGTGTTGAGGATTTTCAGCCCCCACAGAATGAGCCCCCACAGTATGAGCAGCAACAGCATCAAGAGCAAGAGCAGGTCTCGCTGCCGGAAGAGCAGCAGCATCAACAGGACTCGCCACAATTTGCAAGGCCACAAACGGTCGCCAGCTCCATAAAGGCCCCCCCGCCAACCTCTCCGGGAGCATCGGATTACACCATGAGCGGCATGACAGCCGTTGATGGTCATGGAATGTGGAACTCGTGGACGCGTGTCTTTGACGAACCGAAATATGCCATGCTCGATTTGCTCGACAATGTGAGTCCAGTCGACCAAAAAAGCAAAGAGTGTGTAGATTTGGGTTTTGTTATCTCACTATTTTCTTTTTTTGCTTGTGTAGTGTTTGGACGCCACCCTGCATTCCAATATTGAAGGAAAGGTCGTCATGAAAAAGCTGGAACCGAATGGCATTGTCATTATCAACAACAGCGCCAAACCCATCAAGCCACTCAAGGACGTCCTTGTGGTGTATGGATCAACCAAGGGCGTGGGCAAGAATGCCAAACGAGATGCCATCGGTGGTGAGTACTATGACTGACTGAAAAAAAGCGAATCCTTGGACTATTGTTTTTGTTGTTGTTGCTAAGCGATTGACTGTTGTATGATTCGATTCTTTAGAAAATGGAGTTGGGCTCAAACATGGTTGTGCTACTCTGAGCGACGCCAACTTTGTCATCACGCGCAATGGACCCATGTATTCCTTGGGAGTCATTGCCAAGAGTCTACAAACCAAAGAAGGAGTCTGTTTACCATCCGCATGGTTCATTGTGGAAGATGTTGACGACAAAACTCCTGGGGAAATTGAAGAAGAATTTCATTCGCATCTTAGCAACATCATTGCACAGAATCCAAAGATTGGGACTTGTGTCCAAAATGCCCTGGGGCAAGGGGACATGGTTGTTGGGCTCAAACGACTCGTCGAACATTGTTTACACATGTGGGATGACGAGTGGGGAAACTACGATCATATTTTCCAGGTCATTATTGCATCACTCTTGCATCAACACAACAATATCGCGGTTCACAGTCGCCGTTCATTCCACGGCAACAACCCCGCTTCGCTTTTTCTGGAAGAAATCAAACAGCTACTTCCAAAATTCTACATCAATATTCCCAACAAGGGATTTGATTTCTGGATCGGAGAGGAAAAGGTCCATTTTTCCTACTGGCAACATCGACTCGTGGAAATGACCAAATTTACTGTGAATGTACCCAGAGAGACTCCGATCATGGATATTGGACACTTCAACTGGGATAAGGAAGGGTACAATCTCAACATTTTTTGTGGATACGAAGCGCTGCGTCTCGGAAACGACAATCTGCCCAACACGGCTCAAATGTATATTTACAGTCGTAGTTCTGGACGGTTGATCCAGCACGATGACGATGCTCGTGCCACTCTTGGTTTGGCTGCTTCTGGTACCGACTATCAGCAAGCGCTCACAATCATTATTGATGATGAAAAAGCACAGTTGCCGTTGATGCCCACCAAACAAGGTATCGCATGGTCCGAGCAAAAAGGAGGAGAAACGCACAAGCGCAACTTACTGGCGTGGACGGCGGGAATTGCGGATTGCTACTGGAAGTACCATTCGAACAAGTTCAAAAAGCGGTGCAACACAACCTCATTCAAAAGCTTGATGCAAGAACAGCTTATGAAGTTCTGCGACCCCATCAGTCGGCATTTGTCAGACTTGGATACTCTGCGCCGCAACCCGCAGGGCTGTAGGCCCAGCGCCTTTCTGCAGCGAAGCATTGCTATGGATCGATTGGGGAAAGCGGACTTTTCCCATTTCGATGGCCTTGAATGGAAGAGAAGCGTGGCACCTACCACGAAGAAATCAAGGATTCGTCGCAAAACCTACTATAATGAAATTGTGCCCGGAACTGCTACGATATTCCAATTCCAAGACGAACATTACCCATACGTTGCTCCGAAACCGGCACCCATGGAATGGAAGCCACCGCCACAGCCTGTTCAACAGCACAATCCGCATGCCCCGCATCACCCTCGCGGCCTGCCTCCAATGGCTCATCATCCTCGAGTTCCGCAACCACCTCATCACGGAATGCGCCCTCCACCGGTTCCAATGGCGGGTGCACCAGAACCACTCCACAAACGACGTCGTACTTCTGGCGAGGCGATGGATCGTCCCATTTTGCTGCTGGACGACGATTCCTATGGGGATGAAGGACCACCACCCGAAAGGACGCGCCGACAGGTCGCGAGAAAGAGCACAGGAGTTTCGTCGGCGCCATCCGTGAGCCGACCTAGCAATGATCACTACGGAGCCTCACCGTCAGCGGAGAGTCAGCAGAGAATTGCAGATCTTGAACGCTCTTTGGCCGCTGCTCAAAATGAGCTTGCCGACCAGAAACGATTGATGAGAGAATCGCACGTGGTTCACAGGGCCACAGTTCAAAAGCTCACCGAGGACTTGCGTCGAGTGCAACAACAGCAGGCACAACAACAGAATGGGAACCAACCGAGTCAAGAGACCCTGCAGAAGACTCGAGACGAATTGATGATTGCGAAACGACAAAGGAACCTCATATCGAAGGAACTACAAGACGTGAAAGATCAACGAGAGGAGCAAGTCTCTGGTCTGAACCTAGAAATTGAGACTCTCAAAATGCGATTGGAACAGCACGAGGAAACAATTCGGCGGCTGGAGAACAGCAATGCCAGCGGTGAAGCTGAGTTTGACGACGAAAATGTGCAACCTGATATCGCCGTCAGCATTGGATGGACGCAGGGGCGACGCTCAAAGTACCACGGTACAGACTCGATCTAAGGGCGCACAACCTTCTTTATTCATGTCGTGCCGTCGTCGGGAGGATATCGTACTGTACACGGTACGCAGTGTAGTGGCTCAGGAGCCTATCTGGCTGCATTGGTTGGCGGTGTATGAGTACTAAATCGAAAGTCACACGGTGACTGCATGTAGGACTGTGATCGGCTTTAGTAAATTGTGTGCGCAGTCTACGAGTAGCTAGTAACTGACCGAAGCTGTCCATTGATACTGACGTCTGTGGCCAAGAACTCTTCTAACTATGTTCAGCTATGCCGGTAATATGTGGACCAGGTAGCTAGCTCGAGACAGCCTTCTCTGCTACATTCCTCTCGGCATCTGCTTCTAGTGCTTCTGGCAGTTGTTTGAGACTATATTCAGCAGATTCACAGTCCCCAAAGCCTCGAACCACTATCTTGTCCGGATAAATATCAACAAATGCATAGGTCATACCAGGGGGTGGAGTCTCCAAAGCAGCCTCAAGGACACGGAAATGAATGCCACTCTTCTCATCACATTTGTATCCACCTTTGTGGGCATGACCTGCAAGGGATAACAGAACCGCATCACTGAATTCCCGCAATATTTCCAGCACATCCGCGTAGTTCCACATTAATGTAACAGTGGAACATGTTCCAGGCAAAATAGGTTGATGGGACACGATGATGCACTCTTCCCTATTGGTTCGTGCTTCCTGGAGTGTTTGCCGTAACCATTGTAGCTGAGGCTCGTCAACTGCACCATTAAAACCAACAAATCGTTTTTGCAACTCCCCCAAGCCTTCTGGAGAGTTTTCCAGCTCAGGGTAATTGGGATTGTTCTTGGCCATGATATCTTGGGCCTTGGTTCTTTTTGGGCTGCCCTTTGGATGTCCCAGCAGTGTGATATCATACGAATCAATCACCACAAATCGTAGATTCCTTCCACTGTTGGTTGTAGCCAGGTAGGAGAAGTACCCCACGGAACTCCCCACACCATCTTTGTCTGGCTGCTCTTGAACAAAACGAATGTTGAGCTTGTGTCCAATTTGTTCCCTGCTGAGATTGTAGAGTTCATGGTTGCCATATGTATGCAGTAGCTTGCCACAAGTGTAGGTGGACAATGCTTCAAGGACATGCTCTGTGCACTCGATGCCAACATCTATACCCTCTTCCATGGGATCCCCTCCATTTTTGGCAATTTCTTGACACTTTCCATCAATAATGTCACCTAGATTGACTACCAGTGGGATTTGTTCTTGTTCAAAATGCTTGGCAGCATGAGCAGCCACATCTTTGGCATGTCGGTAGTACCTTGGAACACCACCATAGGAGAATCCGTCTGGGATGGGAGCATATTGTATATCTGCAATTAATCCAAATGTGAAGTCCGGTTGGGAGCTCTTGGAAGGCGGGGTGTCCATGGAAGAGGAGACTGCCATGATTCTGGTAGTGACAACCTGTGAGTTTGTGGTGAATGATCTTGCACCACCAATGCTCTTGTCAGGAATGAGAAATGCGGATCCCAGCGAGACACCAATACTGAAAAACCAGAATCTTGCGAGCAAAGAACTTCTTTTACAACAACTCTGGGCCAACATGTTGAAATTGAAAGGTCCCGCAGCTTGTGGTGCAGACGTGCATGCAGCAAGTATTTCATGGTGGGGTTGCAACGAGAGAAAGAAAGGCTGTGCTCATGGTCATGCAGATTTTTCCTGGTCGCAGCGAATGCGTCATTGCATAAAGCCAGCAAGCTTGACAAGACACCCGGATTGCCATTTCAGTTGGAGAGAAAATATTTGGGACATCCGGTTTTCAGAGGAATAACACCAAAAATTGCTTCTGTGAAAGCTCAAATTCATTCGTGTGTGTGAGTGCAAAAGATCCGTGAGCACTCACTGAATGGCTTGATGGGGACCTTGGCTCTGGGCAAAATCTGGATTCCAACGCCATATCGCGTCCATCCCTACCGGTACTTACAAGGTTGGACAGTTCCTGCATGCATCCTGCTGTTGCTCTGTTTCTTGATAAACAGCAATCTACAGTACAAAGGTTAACTTAGAAGCGAGGTTAAATGGGAGATTGAAGGCAGAGTTTTGTAAAGAACAAAATCTCACACAACGCAACTATGGAAGATCGACATGCATTCCACTTGCATCAACCTGATGCGGCCTTAGGATCAGAAGAGGGAAGCTTAGAAGCAAGAAGAGGATATCAAATGTCCGATGAAGAATCTGTCCTAGAATCCCTCCCCGAAGAAAGCCACAGATCACCCCTTGGCGGTAGCAGTATTGGTCGCCATCACCGCCATGCTTCTACTACGAGACAAGACGAGCACCCCGTCCGTCCCAGTTCCTGCCCCCGCGAGCTTCACACCAAAGAGTCTGTATTGGAATACTTGCAAGAAACACGTGGAGCCGAGACGGATGATTGCTTCCAGGCTCATTTGCGCAAGTCCAAAAAGCTACAGCAACATCACAATCACGGTCATACTGACAACGATGAGGACGATGAGGACGATGACGAGATTCATCATCCATTGCTCAGTATCCCATGGTATTGTCGCCCTGTTCAACGTCAGTACTGGGATGACCGCCAGGTATTGCCGCATGTCAACTGGGGAGACCTATTCTTTGATCTCTTTTATGTGGCGGCCGCCTTTAACTTGGGCGTCATGATCCTCAGTGCACTCGATTCGGGAGGATATCAATGGCCTCGAGGAGTGGTCTACTTTATTGGCATCTTTGGGCCGCTCTACAATATGTGGGAAAATGATGTCATGTACTGGGCAAGATACACATTGGTGGATCATGCCCACAGACTGTTTTCTTTGATGCGTTTCGCGTGTGTTTGTTTGGCGGTACTATCCATCAAGCCAATCAAGTTTTTGAGTGACAAGCACAGTTTTGAAACCTTGGCATTGACATCCGCGCTCTTTGGAGAATCCATGCTGCAATTGGGACTCAAGTTGGAGCTATACTTTTTCGCAGAGGGAGATAGGACTGCCATTAGAAATCACACCCGACGAAGGATCTTGTTCCGCTCTATCCCGACCAGTCTGACATATTTGGTAGCAGCCTTTCTGGCTGGATATTCCTTCTTTGACGGAGAACTGGACAGTGGTGGTGGCGGTGGATCCCAGGGACAGCAGGAGAACCAAGCCTACGAGAATGGATACAATGGCAACTACGAAAACAGCAATGACGCTTACACATCCGAAACTGCAGAGACATCTTATGCAAACACGGACGACCATCATGACGATGGCCACGTTAGATTCCTGGCGGCAAGCGTATCTACTGGTTGTGCCGAGTATAGCAGCGGACATCGAATGTTGGGAGGAGAAGGAGGAGATGGATGCGACGGGGGGATGGTATGGTCCATTGCTGACGTCCCACTGATTTTATGCATGACAATTTACATCTTCAATCTGGTTCACACTTTGTATCGACAATACGACACGGTCGGAAATCGAGATGCAAACGCTCAGTATATCCGACAACACTATGTACCCTACAACGTCGACTTTGTCTTTCATCGATACGGAGAATGGTTGATGCTGATGATCGGTGAAAGCATCCTATCATTGCTGATCGTAGAGACAACCGAAACAGCCGAGTACTATGGGATTACGGCAATGGGTTGCCTGACTGTCATTATCATCCAAATGATCATCTTCGAGTCGGAACCCAGCCACTCCAACGGACATGCTCTTTCCAGGTCCATGTTCACGGCAACACTCTACGGCATGTTGATTCAACTCTTGTCCGCGAGCTTGATTGCGTTCGGCGTTTCCTACAAAATCATGTTGACCAACGTTCTGATGCAAGTAGAAGAGGAGGAACAAGAACATGAAGAGGGTCACCGAATGCTTGCAGGGGGGACTATCGACATACCCGACAAGACTGTTGCGTCCCTGTACTGCTATTCCCTTGCCGTGATACTGCTGACGCTGGAATTGATGCTGACAACGCAGAAATCAGTGACAAAGAGTTACGCAGTGTTGTGCCGTGACCTGGCATTGTGTCGCTTTTGGTCCGTAAACTGGCCCCTGCTCATAATTTGTCTATTCAAGGTTGTCTTGATTGCCTACACTTTATCGCTAAGTCAGTGGTCATGGGCAAGTCAAACTTTGAAGGTGAACATTATGGGCTTCCTTATCGTCACAAACATGGCGACGACAAGAGTGGTTGGATGGGGCGTTGTTCAACACGATAACGACATCAAGGAGAAAATGGTGTCCATCAAAAGCCGAGCTGTATCGATCATTCTTTCAACGCGTTCCTTGCCGAAAAGGAAGAGCCGCGCAAAGACACCGGCTTCTGGCAGATCACTGAGTTCCAGGTCACATTCCTCATCGACGACAGATGATAGGATCTCGATGGACGAAGCCCTGTTTGAGGCACCGATCGAACGACTGGAGCCACCTTCGGATCGAGCGGGTGAGATCAAACAGTTGAACAAGTACGTCATCTGATCGTTGCGTTTCTACTGGAACCTGTCGCCTCTTCGAAGCAAAACACGGGTGGCGGTCTACGCAGAGTTGGGGACGTGTATGCAGTACGAATGCGTTGATCGAATGAGTCATCCTTTAAATTTTTATCAGTTTGGACGTTCTCGGTTCATCTCTGGACCGATTGCCATGGCGCCACTTCCATTGAAGAGCTTCTTGCGGAAACGTGACCCATTTTTAGACCCTTTTTGATTCCCCTCATATATTATGCATATTAGTACCATGGTCACGTCCCTTTATGATTCTATTCCTTTCCTATGGATCTTGGCAAGCTTCACCATTGTATGTAAGCATTCAGCTGTCTTGTATGTAACCATCAACAAGCCAATGTAGTCAATCTTCAGCAGATGTACATGTCATACTCTAGCTTGTTGCATCCTGGAGAGGTCGTACTCGGCAGATTTACAGCCCCCAAAGCCTCGAACCACTATCTTCTTTGGGTACATATCAACAAATCCATAGGTCACTCCAGGAGGTGGTGTCTCCACTGTGCCTTCCACCACGCGAAAGTGAATGCCACTCTCTTCATCAATTTGATATCCACCTCTGTGGTCATGTCCCGCTAGTGACAAGACTACCACATCTTTGAATTCTCGCAAGACTTGCAAGACTTCATCATAGTTCCACATCAAAGTGACAGAGAAACAAGATTTTGGTAGAATGGGCTGATGGGAGATTATGATGCACAGCTCCTTGTTTTCACGTGCTTTTGTCAGGGTCTTTCTTAACCAGCGCAGCTGAGGTTCATCCACAGCCCCGTTGATCATCTCAAATCTCTCTTGAAATTCTTCTGATTCCTTTTTGGGGGTTTCTGGATGGACATCCTTGGGATTGTTCCTGGCCATTATGGCTTCAGCCTTGATTCTCTTTGGACTGTCCTTTGGGTGTCCCAGAATTGCGATATCATATGAATCAATCACCACAAGCCGTAGATTCCTTCCACTGTTGGTTATAGCCAGGTAGGAAAAGTACCCCACATAACTCCCTACACCATCTTTGTCTGGCCGCTCTTGCACCATTGGAATGTTGAGCTTTTTTCCAATTTGTTCCCTGCTGAGATTGTAGAGTTCATGGTTGCCATAGGTATGCAGTAGCTTTCCACAAGTGTAGGTGGACAAAGCTTCAAGGACACGATCTGTGCACTCCATGCCAACATTTACACCCTCTTCCATGGGCACCCCTGCATGTTTGGCAATTTCTTGACACTTTCCATCAATAATGTCACCTAGATTGACTACCAGTGGGATTTGTTCTTGTTCAAAATGCTTGGCAGCTTGAGCCGCCGCGTCTTTGGAATACTGGAAGAATCTCTGAGTTCCATACGTAGAGTATCCATCCGGAATTGGTGCGTATTGAATGTCAGAAATGATACCAAATGTAAAATATGGTTTGCTGGTGGTGGTGGTTGAATCCATGGATGAGGAATGCGCCAGCGCAACTTTAGAGGTAGCAGTGGGGAGTAGAAAGACCGATGCCACCGTGAAGCCGATGCTTAGAATTGCAAGGAACAGCAAGGAGAGTGACAGGCTTCGAACCGTATTGAACACCATCTCCATCGCTAGCTAGCTAGTAGCAACTGGAGGAGGAAGAAGTGTGGAAGATGCAAGATCCGGTGATAGGCCGAGCATCATTCTTTTGATAAGCCACCAGAGCGAGTGGAATCGATTGAATGAATCCAATCGAATGATAATCGAATGATGAATCATCCATCTCCACACGAAAGGCGTTTCAGTGGGCCACTGGCGACGCTCGCTGGCTACTGGTGTTCTTTTGCGTTTATCAATGGACATTCCTTTTGTGAAGGCGGGTTTAGAGTACGATACCGTGTGGACATTCCTTTCGGTCATTCATGCCTTGAAGCATCTCAAATCTGGCTTCCCCGAAACCTTTGACCACGCACATCCGCTGTTCCGCTGTTGATGACGAGGTACTAGCTAGCTAGTACCACTTTAGTAACCTCGTTAAAAAATCTCCACCAAAGAATCGAATCGATGATTCTCAGTTCCTGTCACTACAACAAAAAACAGGAGGAAAATAGTTGAAGAAAGGCACGAGAGAGTTCATTCTAGCTAGAAGATGAGAGTCCACTATGTTCTGGACCAAGGGCTGCCGCTAAATATGCAGACGGGCGCAGGAGAAGATAGCGTGGGAAGTCTCCAGAAGGCTATTAAGCAACTCGTCCATTCCAAGGATGTGAAAGCCTGCAAACAAGAAGACATTGAGGTCTATGAACTTGGAACCACCAAGGCCAATTATCGAGATGGTGCTCGAAAACCGCTCAAGCCAGACGACAAGCTGCCAAGCGGAAGCAGTTCCAAAAACTACATTTTTGTGCACATTCCCCGAGACGAACAGGCCCTGAAGGCGGAACGCCAAAAAATTGCCACCAGCCGTCCCAAAATGAATCCTCGTGGGGAATCCATGCGAATCGTGGGCAACACTAATAGTAATCCAAGAGGAGCCATGGCGAAAAATCCTCGCGGGGAATCCATGAGAGTCATCAACCCAAGAGGGTCCATGAACAAACCCAACCCACGCGGTTCGGCCAGCAAACCGGCCATTCGCAAAAAGAAACCCGCAGCCGTGAAGCCAAAAGTCGAAGAAAAGAAGGACGACTCTGCTGAATTGTTGGAACGACAACAAAAAGCCGGTACGTGCTGCTGTTCTTGTACATTTAGTTACTGGATATTCCAGATTGCCTAACGTGTCTTGTCTTGGTTCTTTCTGATTTCTACGCTTCCTTCCTTCCATGCATGGGCCAAACCAATAACAGAGGAAAACACAATACGCTGCTTCTATCAGGCGGGAGACGATGATGGAACACCGGATTCTGTAGAAATGTCCAGAAATGATACAGTCGATTCACTAAAGAAGAAAATCTTGAATGGTAACAACCCTTATTTCAATGGGATAAGCAACAATAAAGACATCAAAATATTCCTGCCAGACCACAATGGTAATCCTGCCAAAGAACTCAAAGATGGTGATCGAATCCCAGATACATCATCATCCGCTGACAAGCCACTCATTGTCAGAAAAAAGCAGGATTGCTGCTACAAGCTGGGTGATGATGGCCAACCTGATTCCATTGCAATGATGGCTGGTGACTCTGTGGCCAGCCTGAAGGAAATGATTCTACAAAGCAACAAACGTGACCCCTTTATGAGTGGGATCAAGGACCCTTCAGATGTCAAGATCTTCTTGCCTGGCAAAAATGGAAAACCTGGGCAAGAGCTGGGTGACAATGATGTCATTCCTGATGGATCCAGCTTGGATCAGCCATTGGTAGTGAAGAGAAGCCAAGATTGCTGCTACAAGCTGGGCGATGATGGCCAACCTGATTCCATAGCAATGATGGCTGGTGACTCTGTTGCCAGCCTGAAAGAAAAGATTCTCAAAAGCAACAAAAGTGACCCCTTTATGAGTGGTATCAAGAAACCCTCAGATGTCAAGATCTTCTTGCCCGGCAAAAATGGAAAACCTGGGAAAGAGCTGAGTGACAGTGATGTCATTCCTGATGGATCCAGCTTGGATCAGCCATTGGTAGTGAAGAGAAGCCAGGATTGCTGCTACAAGCTGGGCGATGATGGCCAACCTGATTCCATTGCAATGATGGCTGGTGACTCTGTGGCCAGCCTGAAGGAAAAGATTCTACAAAGAAACAAAAGCAACCCCTTTATGAGTGGCATCAAGGACCCTTCAGATGTCAAGATCTTCTTGCCTGGCAAAAATGGAAAACCTGGGAAAGAGCTGGGTGACAATGATGTCATTCCTGATGGATCCAGCTTGGATCAGCCATTGGTAGTGAAGAGAAGCCAGGATTGCTGCTACAAGCTGGGTGATGATGGCCAGCCTGATTCCATTGCAATGATGGCTGGTGACTCTGTGGCCAGCCTGAAAGAAAAGATTCTCAAAAGCAACAAAAGTGACCCCTTTATGAGTGGTATCAAGAAACCTCAGATGTCAAGATCTTCTTGCCGGGCAAAAACGGAAAGCCTGGGAAAGAGCTGGGTGACCAGGATGTCATTCCCAATGGATCCAGCTTGGATCAGCCATTGGTAGTGAAGAGAAGCCAGGATTGCTGCTACAAGCTGGGCGATGATGGCCAGCCTGATTCCATAGCAATGATGGCAGGTGACTCTGTGGCCAGCCTGAAGGAAAAGATTCTCAAGAGCAACAAAAGTGACCCATTTATGAGTGGTATCAAGAAACCCTCAGATGTCAAGATCTTCTTGCCTGGCAAAAATGGAAAACCTGGGAAAGAGATGAGTGACAGTGATGTCATTCCTGATGGATCCAGCTTGGATCAGCCATTGGTAGTGAAGAGAAGCCAGGATTGCTGCTACAAGCTGGGCCATGATGGCCAGCCTGATTCCATAGCAATGATGGCTGGTGACTCTGTTGCCAGCCTGAAGGAAAAGATTCTCAAAAGCAACAAAAGTGACCCTTTATGAGTGGTATCAAGAAACCCTCAGATGTCAAGATCTTCTTGCCGGCAAAAATGGAAAACCTGGGAAAGAGCTGAGTGACAGTGATGTCATTCCTGATGGATCCAGCTTGGATCAGCCATTGGTAGTGAAGAGAAGCCAGGATTGCTGCTACAAGCTGGGCGATGATGGCCAACCTGATTCCATAGCAATGATGGCTGGTGACTCTGTTGCCAGCCTGAAAGAAAAGATTCTCAAAAGCAACAAAAGTGACCCCTTTATGAGTGGTATCAAGAAACCCTCAGATGTCAAGATCTTCTTGCCCGGCAAAAATGGAAAACCTGGGAAAGAGCTGAGTGACAGTGATGTCATTCCTGATGGATCCAGCTTGGATCAGCCTCTAGTAGTGAAGCGGAGCCAGGATTGCTGCTACAAAATGGGTGATGATGGCCAGCCTGATTCCATAGCAATGTTGGCAGGTGACTCTGTGGCCAGCCTGAAGGAAAAGATTCTCAAAAGCAACAAAAGTGACCCCTTTATGAGTGGCATCAAGAAACCTTCAGATATCAAGATCTTCTTGCCTGGCAAAAATGGGTTACCTGGGAAAGAGCTGGGTGTCAATGATGTCATTCCTGATGGATCCAGCTTGAATCAGCCTCTAGTTGTGACAAAAGAAGCAGAAAAGAAGCAGCAAGCTGCAACACCAAAAGATGCGAAAGCAGATGATGCAAAGTCAAGGATTGCTGAGATGAAACGGCAGAGAGAAGCCATGAAAGCAGCCGCAGCAGCTCAGAGCACAAAACCAAGGCCAACAAAAACTCGTAGTTCAGAAAAGAAGGAAGAAAAGCCAAAGCAGAAAGTGCTCGGGGAAGAGGCCCGGAGGAAATGTTTCATGTGGTATGCTCGATTCGGGCAGCCAAATAGAGATCTGATGAAAAGAAAAGTGCGGAGGCTGGGAGATGCATGTGACATTACTGTGGAAGATGTTGATGCCCTTCCATGGATTTGTCGTGGCGAAATGCTTCCCGTGAAGGAGTTGAATGATCTCATCATCAATGGGTAGTATTGTTGCCGGGTGTGTTTGGTGCTAGTGTCTCAAATGGCACCCAGTACTGGCTTTGGTCGCGGGGTCAATCGGGCGTAGTGGGCACAGGTTGAACCGTTCCTTTTACCCGTACCGGTAGTATCCCTTGCTAAAGATCTTGCTTCCTGGTCTCTTTGTTCAGGTAGCGTTGCCAAGCTCAGTTGTCTGGAGTTCTAAAGGTGGCTTTGCGGGCAGACTTCCGCACGCAAGCTAGCTAGTACGGTACTGGTAGATCTCTAGCCAGTAGATGTTTACTAGCCAGAGTGGAGTCGAGTCGAGTCGAGGTGACAGTCGAGAGTCCATCACCGACTCGTCACTCACCCAGTCCTTTTTCTGGTTTTGTGGTGTTGTTCACCGAACGGTACAGCTGTACAGTCGTACCTGGTACTCAAAGAGAAGTTGTACCAGTACCGGTACAGTAGAGTTAAGTCACACCACCTTCAAAAGTTGAAAGATCTGTTCCGCAGAGCAAAGCACACACACACAACACACAACCATTAACATCTCGATTTGACTAGCTAGATCCTGGATCCACACACAACCTCCTGGCTAGCTAGTAGAGTACGCCAGTACCCAACCATTTTCTTTTACGACCATGACTTCTTGGCTTCAGCTGGCGAACAAGACAGCCGTCGTAACAGGAGCTGCGTCTGGAATCGGATCTGCGGTTGCGAAAGCGCTGGTATCCGAACGTTGCCATGTGGTGATCGCCGACCGTGATGTGTCTCGGTTGGAAGAGGTTGCCAAATCCTGTTCCGGCATGGCGGCTGGCAGTGTTGTAACAGCGGTGGAATGCGATGTTGCAAGCGAATCGCAAGTCCAATCTCTCTTTCAGAATTTACCGGCGACTTCCTCTCCCGCCACCGTCCTTATAAACTGTGCTGGAATCACCCGAGACGGATGGATTGGACGCATGAGTGTTGATCAGTGGCAGCAAGTTCAAGATGTGAATTTGCTGGGAACCTTCTTGTGCTGTCGAGAATTCTTGGCTCAACCAGAGTTGCAAATGCCAAGCAAGACGAGTTTAGATCCACCAACTGAGCCCCTGGGAGGCTCCATTGTAAACATTAGCTCAGTGGTAGCTACACAGGGGAACCTCGGACAAGTGAACTATGCTGCCAGCAAGGGAGGCGTCTGGAGTATGACCAAAGCTTTGGCCCGAGAAGTGGCGCAACGAAAGATCCGTGTGAACTGTGTTTTGCCAGGATTCGTTGATACCGAAATGACTCAAGCAGTTCCTGATTCCGTGAAGGAACATGTCCAAAAGAAGATTGTCTTTCAGCAGCAGTTTGGGCAACCAGATGACATTGCCAACTTGATTCTATTCCTAGCGAGTTGCCATCGCAGTGGATACATCACAGGAGAGGCAATTGAGTGCAGTGGGATGATTTCATTGTGAAGAACAGCAGTTGCGAGGACTACGAGCATGTCTTCTAACTCCAAAAGAAACTCTTAGCACCGAAGCCAAAGAAGCTGGAACGTAGAAGCTATCTGGATAAAAAGATTAACACAAGATTGTGTATTATACAACAGAGGTTACTCGGAGGCACACTGGCTGTTTAGGCTACGATTGGTGGCTAACATCACAAGCAAACATAAAGAAAGGCCGCCTTTGCCCAATGACTGCCTGTCATGGCAGTTTCATGCCATTGGGTCCTACGCAGAGATCTCAGCTTCCCACCTTGGTTTTCCGCTTGCTTCGCTGTCATCCTTGGGTTCTTTATCTACTCCATCCATGTCGACGCCACCCTCCATGTCCTCGGGTGGCACAGGATGCGAGTCTTTGGTATAGTCGGGTTCTTCTGCTGTCACATCGGGAACACCACCCATGGACTTCTCATAGGCTGCAATAGTGTCCTCTTGAAGCTTGTGGAGTGGTGAGTTTTCGCCCTTGTATCGAACCCAAAGCTGCGTGAAGATATCAAAACGTCCCGTGGGAGATATGACGGGGGCACAGAGGAGGTACACAAACAAGGCAATTGTCAACGCCCCCAACAAGATGCCAACTATGTTTGGCCAGGCATCGCGACCAATGGGCAAAGTTCCAAAGAGGATTGCCAGGATTGCCATTGCGATTGCATACGGTGCTTGGGTCACGACGTGGGACAGAAGGTTGCAGTCACTGGCCAAGGAAGAGAGGACCGTGGTGTCAGAGATTGGACTAACGTGGTCACCTGCGACTGACCCGGATAGGATGCCGGCAACAGTAGCGTAGAAGATTGTCGGGTCGCCGTTGCTAACTTGGTAAGTTGGGAGACAGATCAAGGGGAAGAGGATAGTCTGGAGACAAGACAAGCGCGCACAATGAATATGTTAGAAGGATTGCGAGCCTTGAGCCTCAACAACTCCAGTCGCCAACAGGATTACGTACCATAGTCCCCCATGAAGTTCCAGTAGCCAATGCCATGAAGGCGGAGATGATGAAGGATAGAGTGGGCAAGGCTTCCGCGGAGACTCCGCCAGTGATCCAGCGGCTAAACAAGCGGTCGGCCCCTACAGCAATCTGACGACAAGATAAGGGCGCACAATGAGAATGTTAGACCGATTGCGAGCCTTGGTCCTCGGCAACTCCAGTCGCCAACAGAATTACATACCATGATGGCACCTGAAGCCCAAGCCAAGGTCAACACAATCAAAGCTGGAAAGATGCGACCCATGCCATAGAGGAATGCTTCCACACTCTCAAAGATGGACATGAGAGGCCGGGGCCTAGATGAAAAGAGTTCGGGAACCTGCACAACATCCTGGCCAGCTTCTTCCTTTTCAATGTCGCCACCCACGACAGCTCCGTCTTTGTTCAGTGCCTCGATCTCGTCAGCATTCGTGTCGGGCATGCCAAAGAAGAGTGCCTTGATTACTGGCCAAGTAGGAAGAACAAGCTCCCCATCTTGCACAGTTTGGAACAAGAACATTAGCCCAGACAAGATAGCAGCGGCCATGGTTCCCCACAGCAGAGCCGAGTAGGAGTTGCTGTTTTCAATTTTATTCAGGAAAGTCTGTTCACCGGTTCCATCATCTCCAGTTCTAACGAGGAGGTAGAAGATGAAGAACACCAACAATATGATGGGGATAAGCATATTCCAGGATCTCTGAGGGGTATCTGGACGGGGTTGATTTTCCTTGGCCTCCATTGATTCATTGTCTCCCTTTCCTTTTCCGTCTCCACCATCGGTGCGTTCATAAACTTGTGTTTTGCGTTCCGCAATCAACATGGGGCCAAAGTCACGCTTGCTAAAGATCAAGAGTGGAATACTGAAGGGTCCAAAAAGATTGGTGCGGGTGAGTGCATATATATTTCAAGGAGAAGACGGACCATTGTAGAAAGTGAAAGCGAACTTACAGCATCAACATACTGAAGAGAGGTAGATAGTAAGCCAAGGAAAGGAACGCATGAGGAACGGAATCCATCGCAGTGCATTCCAGAACTGACAACACACCGAATGAATACTCACAAGATGGGGTAGTAGCGGTACTTGATAGTCTGGAGGAAGACAGCCAAACCAGAATCTTCAATCGTCAAGTTTTCAGGACCGACAATCTTAGAGATTCTCTCGATCTCGGCTTGGATCAATGACACTTCGAATCCAACCCAACTACTGATTGGGGTCAAGGAGGCAACGGGGGCGGCAGTTGCATCCACCACAAAGGCCAGTTTTTCACGGGACACAAACAGCAAATCGGTCAAAGGGCGCATAGTCTCTCCAGCCAACAGAGTGTTGGCGTAGTCATCAAAGAAGATCATAATTCCAATGACGAATGTAGCACACTGTCCAGCACGTGGTGTCTTGGCGTATTTTCCAATGGCTCTTGTAAAGCCAAGCATACCTCCACTCTTTTCCATCATTCCAACCTATAATGATGATGATTCGTTGCATAAAGAAAAAGGTGAGCCGTCAACTCCACACACAGTAGTGTCTGTCTATCCCGATACGCCAAAGATCTTACCATTCCGCTGAGGAAGAGTGTGAACAAATAGACATATCCATGATCAACACTAGCAAGAGCATTCAAAATGTAGTCATCCAACAAGGTCTTGAATCCATCCTTGACATTTCCTGTCACCATGCAGGCCCCGACAAAAATGGCAAAGAAGAGAGAGAATTCCACCATTTGTGTCATGAGGGCCAAGATCAGGACGACCAATAAGGGCACAATGGCAGCCGCAGCTCCAAAGGCTTCATACTCTTGACTGGCCGTGGCGTTGCTAGAGTCAATAAAAAGGTGGACACGGATTTCATGGCGTCCCTTATCTGTCACGGTAAGATTGCCGCATTCAATTTCATCGGGCAACTCGCGATCCTCCAGAGAAGACAAGTTAAAGGTTCCAGTTTGCTGGAGTTGATCTCCCACGTAGGTTTCCCAGCGCAACATATCACTGCCTGGATCGTCGCCGTCTTCCTTGACTTCCCAGGTAACTCCCGTTGCCTTGACATACATGATTTCATTGACGAAAATCGTCTTGATGTCCGGGATGAGAGTTTCAACATCAGTCAAGGAGACTCCTTTTACTTTGAACAAGTCATAGTTGAAACCACCCACAGGGGTAACTGCCACCAAGAGGAGGGGCAACAAGGTTCGAAGAAGCATCATGATGGGCGGCAACACTGATGCAGGTTGTGCAAAAAAATTGATGGGAGAGAGGGTGAACTGAGATTTCAGTGATGGAAGGCAAATGAGCAGAATTCCAAGGTGTCAAGGTCCAAACTAGCCAGAGTATTGATTTTCTAACACTGCAGTGTCAAGTGTTTGTTTTCGGAAGCCTTGTTTGTTGATTTTATGAGCTGTTTGGAGCTGTGTGGGAGCTTGCGGGAGCCCTCGAAAAAGAGAAAACGCGAAAGAAGATCTCGATGGTTCAAAAGAAGATCCCTCCCGTACCGTACGTAGTGATAGGTACTGGTGTCAGCGTAGACCTTGAACCAAGCAGGACGAGAACCAGCATCTTCTTCTTTCTTCGAGGGATGAGAACATGCTGAAGACTCGATGGGGATGCTGGTGGAAGCGTTCCAAGGAAATTTTGGCAAACACTGCCAGCTTCCGAGAAAACGCTGACACTGTGACACTGTGACACTGTGAACTGTGACTCTCACTCATCACTGCACACTGCACTCGTACTTACTAGCTACCGTAGCGGTAGCTAGTAGTACTTCAGATTTTAGATTTAAGGTGCCAACCTGCAAGCCTGCAAGCTGCAAGGCACAACACAGTTCCTTTAAATCGTCCCTTCTCTCGTCTCAATAATCTCCCGATGAATAAGCCATTAAGTCTCAGGCGGATCATAAACCCTTCCTTTAGAGTCCTCTAAGTCCAAAAAGAGTACTATAAATCCATGTGACATTCACTTGTACTGATACCGGTACGGTACAAACAAATAAATCTCGGCGGTCGGCGGAACATCTCAATCTCGGTCTCCCGAAGGCAGTGGAACGCTGGAACCGCCACCAGCTGGCCTGCAGCCAGAACGCTTGGGACCACCCTTCATCGCGATGGAAGTCCCAAGATCAAATTTGTGACCTTATTATGGTATATGCTCTCGGTGCTCGCTGGCTAGCTAGAAGCGGCCGAAAGCGAATACAGATCTAGCTACATCAGGATGTCGAGAGCTACATCAGGATCTCGAGACCTACACAGTTGGGGTAGATGGGTGCTGATACCAGGACAGATCCAAGAATTGCTTGGCTAGCACGGCGCCTTCTGGCTCGGACATATTCGTTCAGCAAGGGATGCTAATGGGAGTGAACCATGCGCAGTGATGTTGCATTGCTTCAACAGAACTAAAATTATAAAATGACTATGTTTCTAGTGGACAACAAGGTACAGCAGGTAGGTGATCTAACGAAAACAGCCACCAACATGCATCTAGAGCATGTCAAAACGGGAAGAAAACGCACTGCATCAACGACGAAAGACAAAGGTGGAACGGCGCCGGTCGTGTCGGAGCCCGGCCTCATCGCCCTTGCGGACCCGTATAATTTCTTTTCGTAGAATGTTTTCAATCTGGCTCATTTCCATTCGTTCACTGGGTTCCTTTGCCCATCCACGCCTCATGCACAGTTCAATAGGTTTGGGCCAACCTTGTCGTGGAATTTGGGGACGCTTGTGGGGTCCATTGTGGACTTCTTCCCAGAACAACCGCAAGTCCGATTCATACTCTTTGAATGGCATTTCCAAGGCCATGATTTGCCAGAGAAGCACGGCAAATGAAAAGACATCAACTTTGTGATTGTATGGATCGCTCTTGGCCACCTCTGGAGCCATCCAGGGCAAAGAACCCGTCATGCCAGTGAGGTTGAAGGTAAGATCTCTCTTGGCGTTTTGTGGTGGTAGTTCTTTGGCGGTACCAAAGTCAAACAGCTTGATATCTCCTCGCACATCAAACGCACAGTTCTCCGGCTTGAGAGTAGTGAATTGTAGTATTTGTGCACCAATTGCATGGGGTTTGCCGAGATGGAAAGATCAGAGAGGGAGCAGTCAAGGAACATTATGATTGCAAAGCAAACTCACCTTTGTGTCTCTGTAGATAATATTCCTCTCGTGAAGGTATGCGATGGCCGAAGCCAGGTCAAAGCAAGCCACCAGCCGTTCTTCAAGCAATTTCTTCTTTTTCTCTAGATTCGACGGACTTGATTCAATGGTAACTGGGTTCATTTCCACAGTGTCTTCCTGTTCCTCTTTTTCGTCGTCATCGAACTCTTGACTGCTTTTCCGTCCAAAAATACATCCCAACTTGGAGGCTCGACTGGACGTGCTCCTCGTGCTGCTGGTGGAATCTCGTTTGGAGGGTGGATTCTTTTTTGGCATTGGTGGTGGTTTGGGGAATACTTTGGCCCATGCTTCGATGCGTTTTTCAAGGGTATCATAGAGTCTGTCCATGACAATAAAGTATTGTGGATGATACCGACCTTGTTGACTGACTCCTCGTAGTTTGACAATATTGGGATGTTCAATTGCAGATAGAATGTGTGTCTCCACGGCCATGTCCGCCAGTGCCTTGACCATTAAATTGTCATCGGCCTTGTCCACTAGGGATTGTTTGAGTATCTTGATGGCATATCGAGCACCACTATCGTTTCGAATGCAATGATCGGCAATGAATTTCCGACCTTGGAAATCTGGGTCCTCTTCTTCATCTTTCTTTTCCACCTCGACACCCGTTTCTTGGGGACGATGGCTGTTTTCATGGGCCGAGATATCAAAGGCCAGAACTTCGGACACCACACCAAATCCACCCTCACCGAGGCGCTTGCCCAGAGTTAATTCCGAAAAGGCAAATCTGGGAAAGTCATCCGAGGTATCTTTAATGGTACTCTCAGCAAAAGTCTCCTTGTAGACACCCAGAGCTCGTTCCGTTAGTTTCTCATTCCGATCAGATGACATGATGGTCTGTGGGAAACTTTCTTCTGGCTGGATTCGGGGCAGCAATCTGTGTTGGACCGGATGATAAGCTAGCTCTAGCTGGAGCTATCCTATCACCAAGCGACCGCTGGTGCAGTAACCTGCCAGCAGCCAACCTTGGAATAGGAAACAGACGGGCCACTTTTGTTGATCGCCGGTATCCGTGTGGCCGTGTGGCCTCTGTTGGCGATGAAATTCGAAGAAGATGATGTTTTCTTCTCGAACTTCCGCCATGCATGCCCGCACTTCCAATTTTTGTGAGCGCCAAACAAGCGAGCCTCCGCGCTCGCTGGCTTGCTTCTAAAGTTGAACCCAAAACCTAACCCTACTTTTCTGGAGCTACAACCGAAAACTCCTCGAGGCGTCGCGTCGTGTTATTTTTTAGGGTCAAAGTGTACAGTGTACATGTACAACCGAAAGACAGTATGTGTGGTAAATGGCCTGGGTTTGCGGGACTACAGTATCGGTGGAGGAGCAACTTTAGATGACTTCTTATGACTTTTTGATCTTAGAGATTGTTATGTGGTGTCTGGTGTCTGGTCCTGATGCGGTTCCTCGCTGGTCAAAGCGTCAAAGCAAGCCGTTTTAGCTTCCCCACCCGACAGCAGAAGGGCAGCCAAAGGGTGCAACTCGATGGCTAATGCTCTCGTTTCTTGTCTCTCGTTGCCATAATATATATTGCATTCTGGCTGTGTCTCTTGCCTTGCAGCAGCACCTTGCGATGCCTTCCACCATGACTACCGGTACCACCAAAGAGTCCCAAGCAACCGTTCCCCTCAAAAAGGCCAAACTAACAGACGAAGCTGGAGACTGCGTCTCTTCCAAGGCTCGGCACAGAATCGCTACTTCGGATGACGATGTTGCCCTGTTGAATCGATCCGATGTCTGGGTCGATAATGTTCTGCCGTTTGTTGGCATGGGAAACTTTGTGTATGTTGCCAGTGTCAACTCCCGCCTCAAGCACTTGTACGAAGCATTCTGTCGCGCACAGACGCAGCCTCCTCTGGTTCGTGACCACGATGAAGACACCCTTCGCAACGCGACCAGCCATGACACCACCCACCGCGCCGCCTTTGCCAATGTACCCTCCGCCGAGTTTTGGGTCAAGGATGATGCTTCCGTCGACTCGCTTGCGAGTCATGTCTGTCGAGGAGCCGCCAAGATTGGAAGTTTGGACGTTTTAAAGTGGGCCCGTGAAAAGGGGTATCCATGGGATGAATCTACTTGTGCTGAAGCTGCCAAACATGGTCATTTAGCAACATTGAAATGGGCTCATGAAAATGGCTGTCCCTGGGATGAAAGCACATGCACACAAGCTGCCACAAGTGGATATTTGGATATTCTGAAATGGGCTCACGGACAAGGCTGCCCTTGGGATGAGTGGACTTGCGCTGCTGCCGCCGAGCATGGACAGTTAGAAGTTCTCATGTGGGCCAGGGAAAATGGATGCCCCTGGCAAGAAGATACCTGCAAGAAAGCTGCTAGAAATGGACAATTGGAAGCATTGAAATGGGCTCGTGCCAATGTGTGTCCATGGGATGAAATGACCTGTGCTGCAGCTGCAGAGCGTGGTCATTTGCATATCCTCCAGTGGGCCCGTGAGAATGGATGCCCCTGGGATGAAAGAACCTGCACAGAGGCAGCTCACAAGGGTCATCTGCATATACTCAAGTGGGCCCGTGCACATGACTGTCCCTGGGATACCAGAACCTGCTCGCTGGCTGGATGTGGTGGCCACACAGAAATCCTTGCGTGGGCCCGTGCAAATGGTTGCCCTTGGGATGAGGAGACCTGCGCATTTGCTGCATGTGGTGGTCGTTTGACAACACTCAAGTGGGCAAGAGCAAATGGCTGTCCATGGGATGAGAGTGCATGTTACAAGGCTGCAAGCAAGGGAGAAATGGATGTTCTGAGATGGGCCAGAGAGAATGGTTGTCCATGGGATGAACATGCTTGTGCCATGGCCGCAGCAAATGGGCATTTGGAGACTTTGAAGTGGCTACAGGCCAATGGGTGTCCCTGGGATGAAGAAGTGTGCAGTAGTGCTGCCGAGTGTGGAGATATTGAAACCCTTCGATGGGCACACGAAAATGGCTGTCCATGGGATGAAGATACCTGTGCCGCTGCTGCCAAAGGTGGTCAATTGGAGACGCTAAAGTGGTTACGGGCGAATGGTTGTCCATGGGACCAAGATACTTGCGTCCATGCATCGCAGTTTGGACACAGCAAGGTTTTGAAGTGGGCTATCGCCAATGGCTGTCCAAATGTGTGAGTTGTTTGGTTCTGTATCTACTATATATAGCGATCGGTAGAGTAGCTTGATAAGGAAATTTAGCTCGCATTAGCTTTATCTGAAGAGATTCTCTTGTCCACGAGACGATCGACAGGAAGTGCTGTTACCGCTAGCTAGGCCAAATATGAGGACTGCTTGGAGAGTTCCCAGAGCTAGCCACCAGCCACCCATACGAAGCATCAAAAGGTGATATTCTTCGGGTTGATCAGTGCGTCCGGAACTCCAACCAATGGTTGGGCCGCCCATTTGCTTGGTAGAAGCAACTAATGGGAAAACAGATAGCTATGTGTTAGAAAGAAAAAAGTGAGGTAAAAAGATTAGCCACACAGCAGGCAAAGTTACCAATCCAATAGATTGGACACAACTAACTATCAACCCACCTCCAGCAAGAGTGTACAAATCGGCATAAGAGAGACCAGCACCGGCATACTTGGCTTGGATTGGTACCAATTACCAATCATTCCACTGCTGTTACCGCCAGCCCGCATTTCCTCCGTGAGCCAATTCATCCTTGAAGCGCCTGCCTCCACCTGATCTCATAGGTGTCAGATACTGGTACTGTTTTGTGGTGGCCAAAAAACAAAGAAGGTGCTGCAAATGCTGAAATAATTCAAATATCATAAATTATTGAATACTGGTGATGAATTCACCAATTTGTTGAATGGATGAATTGGGATGAAAATGATGAATCCGTAATGACTGGAGCTGAATGGTAATGAAAATTAGTACTGTTTTACTATAGGTAATGATGAATGGTGATGAATTCATCACCGTTATGTTAAATAGTAATTAATGGTGATGAAAATGATGAATGATATCTGTGATGAATGGTGATAAAACTATATAATTAATTGTTGATGAATTCAATTCCAGATTTTTATGTTTTCCGGGACCTTCCAAGCTGGTGATGTTTGAAGGTGATGTTTGAGTGACTGTCCGAACTTCTGAACTCCCGAACTCCAGCGGTATTGCTCCTCAGCTGCTTCCGATATCGCGACTCGCACCGGTGGCTTCTGGCTCGTCCACTACCTGGTACCGGTATCGGCACGCCACTAGGTAGTGTATGTCATACGGAGCGGCTACTAAAAAAGCGCTACCTCGGTTATTGTAAAACACACTCCTCCCTTTATATTAAGATACCTCTAAGTTCACCTGAACCCTAAAGGCATCTTAGCAAAAACTCAAATATCTGCACTGAGAATCTTCTTAGAATATTGTTAAGATTCAGGGTCCAAAGGCAACATCTTAGCTTTCTTGTCATTTCTATTGACCATACTAGTAGTATGGTACATACAAACCTTGCTACTCTGCTTGCCACCTTACTGAACATACCCTTAGGAGGAAAAAGGGAAGAGCAATGTATCATCCGCCGGAGGCAAAACTTTTGACTTTTGGCACCTGTTTTTAAGGAATTTTGTTGTAGAAAATTGTCATTGTATTTCTCTCAATCTCTTATGTGCCCAAGGGAGAGTGCTTACTGGCTATCTTAGCTCAAGTGCAAACATTCCAGCAAACCTCAGTACTGGACATCTTTTATCTCCGACTCTCTTAATATAAAGGGAGGAGTGTATCCAGTACGGGAACGGTACCCGGACCGGTACTACAGTAGCCACTTTCAATTCTTGCTTCAATAAATATTATGGGAGGTCAGTGGTGGACATCTATACTAAAATGATCCAATTGCCGAATTGTCATGATGGAGTCGAGTTTGACCACTTTAGTTAAATCTGTCTGACTTCAAGTAATACTTATTATAGCTTACTTATGTTTTGCGAAGGGAAAAGGATGACACAAAGAACCCCTCCATCACCAAACATGACCAAGTTGAGTCCAAGTTTGTACGGTATTAATAAGGCCAGTCGCCAAGTTTTCTACAGCAAGTTCGGAGGTTCGGAGGTATTAATACATTAATACAGGTACCAGTCACTAGTACCTACTGTACAGTACGGTAAAGGTGCGCCTCGGTGCGATGTTCCGCACGTGCCTCCGCATTCCGCCACACAACGAACAAACTTATCCCACTCCCTCCCCCCAAAAAAGACATTCCAAAAGTTTCCGCGTCGAAACAAGTTCACCCCTTGCGATCAGTGTACCCTGTACCCTCCAAGATGACGGATTCTGCAGCAACCGACGCCATGAAAGCTCATCGCAGCAAGGACTTCACGATGCACATAAGATCTCATAGCAGCGGCGATTTTTCCATGAACGATGCCAGCGGGTTCAGCGAGTCGATTGAGCCCGACAGTGTCAATCGAAAGGAGCAACAAAGGTTGCGTCGAGAAACCGAGCAAACGTTGGCTGTACGAGAGAATCGAGCCGTCGTTTGGTTGCGTTTCTTGGTCATGTTCCTGCTGATTGCGGTGGCAGCCTTGGTGTCTGCTGGAGTCTTCGTCTACACGAGGGCCAAGGAAAAGGACGATTTTGAAGACGCCTTTTACATTCACGCCGACCAAGTCACGGATGCCTTTCGGTCCGCCGTCGAGAGAAAGTTGGTGGCCATTGGGAGCTTGGCCAACGCCATAACCACCTATGCTTTGGACAGTGGATCCGAGTTTCCGTTTGTCACCGTCTCCAACTTTGCCGTGAGAGGCTCCGATGTACGTGTCCTCTCGGATTCGTTGGTCATTCATTGGTGTCCCGTGGTGACAGAGGAAAAGCGGCCTGCTTGGGAAAACTATACCATGGAGAATCGCTTCAAGATCAATGAGGGCTTTTCGCAGGATCAGCAGCTCACCAAGGTACAAGATGAGTACTTTCCCGACTTTAGGAGATTTGACGACGAACAGCCCGAGGAAGACGGCTCGGGTCGTCGACAACTACCGCAGCAGCACGGATTGGATGCACCAGCCGATGCCAATGTTCTTCAGGATGGATCTGGTTTCCGACCAAGAATCTGGAATCCGCAGAAGAATAGAACCGCGGAACCTGATGGAACGGGACCATACCTACCCTCCTGGCAGCGAACTCCGGTCAACAAGGGGAGACAGCAATTGATCAATCTCAACTTTGTTCATGCAAAAGTCTTTCAAGGCATTGATTTGCTAGGTACCTTGATGGCTGACCCAAAAGTTATCATCAACCGAATTTCAGTCCCTCTGCCCTCCTTCTTCCAGCAGGTAACGGCAAACATCAAAGCCAGCCAGTATCGAAACAAAGTTGACGAGTACCTCGAAGATCCGCTCTCCTACCTTGCCTATCCCGTGTTTGATTCCTTCAATGTCACCACCAGAAAGATGGCGGGTGCTTTGATCTCGAATCTCTACTGGCGAATGTACTTTCAAGGTGTTCTGCCATCAAATGCGCGAGGCATTATCTGCGTCTTATCCAATTCCTTTGGGCAAACCTTTAGCTACCGCCTCGATGGACATGATGTCACCATCCTCGGACAGGGAGACTACCACGACGAGAAGTACTCGGAAATGATGGCCTTTCAGGATGTGACAGCATTTGTCAAGGGCACGGCCAGTCCCGAGACACGGGGATACCTCACGGTGCCGCTTCACCCCAGCTTTGGCCTCTACACGTTGCGAGTTTATCCCAGTCAGGATACGGAAGACGAGTACAGAACAAACAAGCCTGCTGTCTACACGATGGCTGTTGTATTCATCTTCTTCGTCACTGCTTTGGTGTTCATTGCGTTTGAGCGTTGTGTCCAGATGAGACAGGAGATTGTCATGAGTCGCGCAGTGCATACAGGTGCTATTGTGAACTCGTTGTTCCCGCAGGAAGTCCAATCGAGAATGTACGATGCAGCTGAACATCAAAATCAGAAAAGGGCAAAGAATGTGTTGCGTCTGGGCTGGCTATCAAGGGAAGGACTTGAAGCCTATTGCATGGATGATAGTAGCAGGGCAGGAGATGGACAGCCAATTGCCGACTGGTACAAAGATGCAACAGTCATGTTTGCTGACTTGAAAGGCTTCACGGCGGTGAGCGCTTCCTCGTGTTTGCTTGCATCCATCCGTCTGATAGCCAGCGAGGCCTTCTCACATATTCTTTCTCAATCTTTGTTTGCTGCGGGTACAGTGGTCGGCTGATCGCACACCACATGATGTCTTCCACCTACTGGAGTGTCTATACAATTCCTTCGATGCAATTGCTATGAAACGTAAAGTGTTCAAGGTCGAAACGGTAAGCATTTCCTTCTGTCCCAGCTGCTCTATTCTGGAACTGGTTTTTCTCAACACTTCCAAACTTTCTTTTCGATACCGCGCCGAATATGATTTAGATTGGAGGTACGCACAGGTCTCATCTAATCGACATGGCGACCAAACGATGGTCAAACATTCTAACCAGTGGTTTGATCATCTTTCGCTGTCAACTCTGTTTGCACAAGACTGCTACTTGGCAGGTAAGTATAGGAAACTACATGTCACGCCCAACCACAACGCCATCATGGCAGCATGCTGCTCACATATCGCCTTTTCTACACAGTATGCGGTGTTCCCAATTCTAACCCCAAGCATGCCGTAGTGATGACAAGGTTCTCAAATGACTGCCTCACAAAGATGGTGGAAGTAGTGAAATCCCTTGCTTCTCGCTTGGGCCCAGAGACAAAAAATCTCCAGCTCAGAGTCGGCTTGCATAGCGGCCCAGGTAGGCAGATACAAGCAGCCTTTCATTGGGGGTTGAGTGTTCTGCCACTTTCCCTTCTAACCAATGCTTCTGCACAATCCCTCCCTTTCAACTATGCTTGGTGAGTAAATGCACCTTGATCGTGATGGTATCATCGTATGAAGTCATGACATGCAAGCTAACTTGGCCGTCTCGTTGTTGCCGCCCCTTGCCAACAGTTCTCCAGTTACTGTGAGGATCTTTGCGGCGATGCTTTAGGATCTCCCTTCGCGCTTTCTCAAATCCTTTCTTTTGGGCTTTTTTGGGACAGGCTGGTGTGCTTCGTGGGCAGAGATGCAGGTTCCAGCTCTTTGGAGATACAGGTAAACGCATCCTCGAAGGGCAGCTCGATTCAACGGCAACGTCGCTCATATCTAACCCCGTTGGTTTTACGTTGCTACATCGTCAGTCAACACCGCAAGCCGAATCGAGACTACAGGTCAAGGCGGGAGAATCCATCTATCAGAATGCACAGCGGAGGAGCTCCGAGCCTTTGGGAAGGGTTCGTGGCTTGAGCGGAGGGACACTTTGGTGGCAGCCAAGGGAAAAGGGCAATTACAGACGTAAGTTTCAAGCAAGAACTAGCTAGATCTCTGTCTTTGTCGGTCTCCCTAACTGACTACGTGTCTGGCTGCTACCGGTACGAATGTTTGATACAGCTATTGGGCAAATGTAGCTTCCTCCGGAAACGATTCTCAGTCGAGTGGTTTCATGGCCTTTGATGAGAACCTTGATCTCTCATCGAATCCGTTTGATGTTGAGCCCGAGAGTCAGGATCCCGATACCAGTACTACCAAGAATCTAGAAGAACAAATATGCATCCCAGAAACAGCTCCCATGAACTCATCGCCCGTTATTGGTCCTGATCTGCAAAGCCCGCATGATCGAATTTTGGCTGAGCCTGGCTCAGTCCAAAGCGCACTGACAAATTCGGTCGGTGAAGAGCACGAGGGCACCCCAGAAAATACGTCGGAGCCAGAAAATCTCACTGACACCGAGCTGCGAAGCCACGTTGTGTCGGTTTGAAGAACGCCCCCTTTGTGTTCAACCATACCGGTTTTCACATTGGTTGTTGAGACCGTCTGCCAAGCAAAAGAAAAAGGCTTTTAAAAAAGAGCATCGCCACCGTGGCTAGCAACTGCAATAGCAACCTCTTAGCTAGAATGCTGATACAAACTGTAGCTCGAAATAGAAACTGTTGTAAAGTGTGTGGAAAGGTTCCAAGCAACGAAAGAAAAGATGCGAAAGCTCGAAGGTCGGTGGCAGACGCGCTTGCTGTGTTGGCATGGGGGGTGTATCAACTCGAGGCTTGTCATCAACCGGTTCGAGTTGCTCCCAGCTGAATGCTTGCTTAGCAGCCGACTCGACGACTATAGACTCTGTGTCTACCCTGTTCGGACTGGCGAGGAAACGACTAAAGAGGGACAGAGAGGTGTCGCCGCGCAGTGTTACCTTGTCAGAGCAAGACCTTCCTTGTCACCAGGTGTATCAAGATACAGTAGAGTCTCATCTCCTGCTTATACCATTTTTATATTGCTCACAATCTAGCTACGGTAGAGAGCTATCTATCAGAAAAGCAACATCCGTATAGCTATCCTGTCGTATATCCGCCAAATTCAGTGGTACAGCCTGAGTAGCATGACTATCATCTCAAAAGCTTCCGTTCTCCTTGGACTGGCCGTTCTCTTCACCGCTGCGCCTGAGTGCTCATCCTTTACTACAGGAGTTCACACAACATCATACACCGAGACAAGAAGTCCCTCCAACAAACCGGGACACTCTACGTTCGCAGCGAAAAGAGGGGTCAGGGTGACCAACCTCATCCAAAGAGAGGTGTCGACCATGACAGTACCGGTACACGGCGAAATCACCAAGGAGAAACTATCTAGGAGTTTGGAGGTGGAGCTTCAGCAAAGGTTTTCCTCGATGCTGGACAATGTCTCGGAAGAAGAGATGGCAAGTTTCTGCACAAGTTTGGAAGACAATCTGTTGGAGATTTCTTTGCAACTTCATTTCCTGGGAACCGACTAGCTGTAGTTCGAGCAATGTCTGTAGAGCCATGACGCAAAACTTGGCATACCATTCCATGAAAGCACTTGTTTAACTTATTTTTTTCATATAATAACGCACTCTCCACGATATGCCCATACGTACAATGATACCGATACCGGCACAGCAGCCCGTGGCTTGCAGGAGCTTGGAAGCTCGGAGCTTGAATTCTCGATAGGTTTCAAGTGATGCACTAATAGTACCCCGATTGGAGGTGATAGGGGCTCAGCCACAAGCCGCCTCTTTCGTGCCAGTACTCGCTTCAAAATCTCTGCCTTTGAAACCCTGAGATGGAGCAGAGTGCGTGTTGGTGGCTCTTTGCTTGTGTTCGTGGTTGCGAGCGTTTTTGTGTCATTGTTTTTCCCCGGGACTCTCACTCGTGAACCAACGCCGAAGGCGACTTTTCACCACAACAATGGCCACAACGACACAACCACAAGCAACAAGAAGTCTGCCATGGATGCCCCTGTCGAATCATCAGCGGGCTCGCCTCCCTGGACTGATGCTGCCGAGATCCCCGAGCCGCCTGATATTCCGTCGTGTGATGCGTGTGGTAAGGCATTTTCCGGCAGATTGGTGTGCGGCCATTGTCATTTGACGTGGTACTGCAGCAAGGCTTGTCAGAAGATCGCGTGGAAACAACAGGGACACAAGACCAAATGTAAAACCATGAAAGAGACTTGTCAAGACACGGCTCTTGCCGTTGTGACTGAAATGGCCAACACGGCAGCTCCTCCCATTCTTCGCGTGCAAAAATTGGATGGCTTGGACTTGGAAGGACCCTTTCGAATTGCCCTAGAACAACACAATCTTCACCAGGTCATTTATGACATGTTGTTGGAAGATCGGCAGTCAGTCCAGAAGCGATTTCTGCAAGGCAACAACATCAACAACAGCTTCCAGCATGCCTCGTTTGTCCAGTGGATCATGACCACCTTGTTTCGTGGTGGACGCATCAGTCCCCGCGCCGTCCAATCCTCCAACACTCGCTATGCCGACGCCTGCCGCGTCAAGGCGTTTGTCTTGTTCAAAGAAGATGCTCTGGAAGTTTGGTGGGACGCGTCCATGAAGTTTGTCGTCCAAGTGGTCATGGACAAGAAGCTCTTTCAACGCCACAAAGAGCTCCACGCGGGAATTCATTTCATGGCCCGCGACATTCTCGCATCGTGGAGTCAAATCTTGACTTGTCCCAAAGCCGCCAAGGCCATTTTGTACCACAATGATGGAACAAAGGCAGTGGCTCGGGCCACCTATCTGGCCACATCCACCAAGCGCACGCTTCAGAGCTTGCATACACCGCGGGATCCTCGGGCCGTATTGGAGGCATACCTGAATCAAAACTTGGCCATGATTGACTATTGGTGTCATTTATGGAAGATCCCCGTAAATGTGGAACAATTGGCGGGATTTAAAGATGATGTGGCTCAAAAAATGTACCAAAACATGGCCAAGCCATTGGCACAAGGGACCATTCGAAAGGGATTCGCCCTGAACAATCAAGAGACACAGAGTGCCATGGCGCAACCGGTGGATTGGTGAATGGCCATTTCTCAATTTCGTTGCTTTTCCAGTGGGCGGTGAAACAGAAAGAAGGCGACTGTAATCTCGCGGCGGTTGGTGTGCTGGGATCTCTGTATTGTTTTGAGGGGAAATCAGGAGGTCCAGCATGTGTTTGAGCTGTCAGTAGCTGGGGACCGGTAGAGGTTCTATTCCAGTGTGTACGTCGGGGTACGGTAACTTTATAATGTAGTGAGTGAGTTTCTAGTACAATTGGGTGGGGCTGGTCCTGCTCGGACAGATCATGCTTGTTGTGGGGCGGTTTTCGGTGTGGTGCAGATCCCAGCGTTTTTCAAGTTGCTCCGCGAGGACCAGGAGTAGGGCGGAGTGCAGGGCCTGGTGTTGGGGCCTGGGGTAGGATGCAGGACAGAATTCGGGCAATGTGTAAGAACCTTTGTTCTACCTAGAAGCTACATGCAACAGTACCGGTAGGTCCATTAGTAAATCCAAAGTAGTGGTGGGCTTGAGGCAGGTTTCTGGGGAGTGGATCAGCCGAGACACCCCAGAAGCAACGTCGTTGAATGATCACAGGCATTGAACCTATTGAACCATTCAAACACTCGTGGGGATGCGTTCGCAGCCTGCGGCTGCCTCATCTTTTGGCCTGTTCTGTAAGCCAGCGATTTGGGGATACTTTTGTCCACTGAGACCGCCCTCGAACTTCAACACGTTTCCTTTGTGCTTTCTAGCTACCGGTAGCTAGTCTGATGCCTGAAACAATTCACTATTCTACTAGCTAGTAATCCACGAGCTTCGCTTCTTTATGGAAGATGTCTTAGAGACGCCTTATTAATTAATAGCTCGTAACTCTCGTCTCTGTCATTTTGGTTTTGTCATCTTGTAGTGCAACCTACGGAGTGGTGGAACATCGCTGAAAGGCGATACCGGTCCAATGATTGATGATGGAGCGATGGAGCAGTATGCTCTTAATTAATTCTACCAGTAGCTACTTTCAGGTCGCGTTAGTTTCTCTTTCTTCTCAAATCGCCCCCGATAAACCATCACATCATTACAATAAATGCTACTGTATAGTCTAGTTCACGTATTCTGGTGCAGCAAAGCTGTCTCAGCTGTGTTCAATTCGCTTTCAACTAAATCTTTAGAGTTTCGAGTTACTGATTACTGGCACCTTGTGCACTCGTGGATCAACATACAATTAATACTCATCCGTATCTTATTTTACTGTTTTGTTGGTGCTGATGCTGGTACGTACCGGTAACTAAAGTACAGCTGTTGATTGGTTAATGGTGGCAGCTGGCTGGTGGCTAAACTAGCTAGAGAAAGTGACGGTGTCTGTGTCTCTGTGTCTCTACCGGCAACAACTGGCTGGATAGCAGATCCCGCCGCTATTCCATTATCGCAGCTAATAACGGTACATCTTGCAACAAAAACACCAACACAAGGCTCTTTGCTAATCGTTCTCGCCGTTTTAAAATACTACTGCGTATCACCACTAGATAGCTAGCGCCACTCCTTATATCAGCGGACAGAGAAGAAGATTGCATTGGGTATTATATACCTCTTGGGATCTTCCTAAACTGTGACGAGGACGACGATCAGAACAGATCTGGATTTATCTATCGGTAGCAGCTGTTGTCTCCTGGATGCCTGGAAAAGCTCCTCTACCTCCGCTATCTTCTCAGTCTTATCTTTCAATTCGAGATGAGACGACTGTTCCAGCCCTGGGGCAGCCCGGTGGCTCTCCTGCTGATACTAGTAATACTGGCGAGACGAAGCGAATCGTCAGTCTTGTGCAATGAGACGTACAATCCTTGCGAGGAGTTGCTCTGGAAGGGATCCGAGTGCCGACAAGGCGTGTGTTCCAATCCCTTTGAGAAGGGTTGTCTGGTGGGTATGGCATCGACTCTTCAAGACGAGGAAAAGAAAGAAATGCTGTATTCCTTTTTGAACAAGTACAATCCGTCTCAAATACGAGTCTGTAGTAGTGACGACCCTCCTACAGCATCCGCGCAAGGTCTCTGCGTCAACCATTCCACTTCGTCTACCGATCGACGACAACAAGACGAACTCTACGCCGACTACAAGGAAGTTCGAATTCTCAGTCAAAACTGGGAGTCTGCCTATTTCAGTGCCTGGATTATGCAAATCATACTCAGTGAACTCTTGCATGTCCCAACTACTATTGAATCCCTGACGCGCAACCACAGTCTGCACAACAACTTTTACGATCCTTTGTCTCGACTCGAGTACGGAGATACCGACATTTGGAGTGCCCTCAAACGGGCCAATCAACTCGAAGCATCGGATTGTACACTAGTACAACAAAGGGACGATGACGATGAAGAATACCAGAGCTGCGGTAATGTCGTCATGGAATCTTGGTACGGCGTCACGGAAGAAACACAACGGCATTTGGAGCAAGGTACCATTGAAAACTTGGTGCCCTTGGGGGCCATTGGACAACAGGCGCTCTTTGGTACGTGACGTGCTACCCTAGCCAGTCAGCTTTTGCTTTTTGGAATTCTGTTCTAGCTCACTCATGTTTTTCCTCCCTGCATTTGCTCCTGTCAATAATGTTACTATTGCTTATTTTATAGTCACAAAATTCACCGCGGAAGCAGATCCAACGATACTCAATCTACATGGCATTCAAGGAGATGCCAATCGACACAAGTTGGCGGCCACCTTTAAGCGGCCCACTACGTGGAGGGATTACTGCGAATTGGTGTCGCCCTCCAACTGCACCGACCCCGATGACACTGTTGCGCAACGACCCCCGCTCGATGAATTCGAATACGATCGAATGCACGTACCGGACATGTACACGGGCCACTTTCGCGACACGGACGACAACAATTGCACCCTCCATCCAGACACGTGCACCGGACACATTGCCGATTTCCCCTGTGGATGGACCAGCTATGTCATTCCACAAATGTATCACAACAAGATTGCCCTGCGCAGTGAAGGAAAGGAACAAAGCAAGGGATACACCTATCAACAATTGAGTGACATGTGGGCTGCGGCTAATGCCACCAATTCCAATCTCGTGGGGATCTGGTGGACGCCCGAAGCGATTCATTCCACCTATCTCGGATCCAGAGCCGAGATGCAGAGAATTTCACTCACTTGGCCAACCCAACAATGCCAAGAGAAGCGCATTGCCAATGAGGACCGATGCAATTATGAAACCATCGAACAGCAAGTGGGCGTACCCGAAGGATCGTGTGACGAAGCACCCCAAATGCTCTACAAGAACATTGTCAAGAACATGCACACGGCAACTTACCATCCTAGCATTCCAGAAGCCAAACGCAGCCCAGCATACGATACCATCAAACTCTTTAGCATTTCCGAATTGCAACAAAGCGATATCTTGCAGGCATGGATCAACCGGAACATTGACAAGTGGGGCTTTGATCTACGAATGGCAACCTGCGAGTACGTGGTGGATAATTTGGATCATATCGAGTCGCTCATTCCTCGCACGTATCCACGTGTGGTCCGCGAGGGGAGTGTATACGAAGACCCGCTCATGATGTCTGCACTGGCATGGGCCACGTTGGCAACCGTGTTGACGATTGCATCCACAATCATTACATATGTGCGTCGGGAATGTTACGCAATACGCTATGCTCAGTTGGACTTTTTATTGCTGCTTCTTCTGGGACTCTTTTTGATTTGTCTGGGAGCCGTTGTAACTGTCATGGATCCAAACGACTTTGCATGCAGCCTTTCCCTTTGGCTGGTCGTCCTTGGCTACACAATCCAGCTGATCCCAGCCATTGTCAAGGCTTCGGCAATTCACAAGCTCATGAAAGCGGCACAGCGACTGCAACGGCTCGACTTGCCCAAGACACAACTCTTCGGGACAGTCCTCGGTGTGACAACAGGAGTCATCATCTATCTCGCAGTATGGACAGCCATGGATCCCCGACAACGGAAAAACGAATTCTTCATCCACGAAGAAGAAGTCACAGAACATGGGCAGACGATTGTGACGATGGAACCTTACTGCAGCTCCTCTGGGGCGTTTTGGAACTTTGTAGCGTTGGCTTGGTACTGCTTCATGATGCTAATGGCTACTGTTCTTGCCTTCAAATCACGCCACATTCGAGAAGAGTTCAACGAATCCAAGACTCTCTTCCTAATGGTCTACGCGCACTTTTTGTTCCTGGTTCTGCTTGTGGCTTCGCTTCTGTTTGATGGGGCTTTACCAGAAGCCTATTTGGTTGCCATCCGCAGCTTTATCTACAGCACCGACTCCATTGTCACTCTTCTCATTTACTTCCTGCCAAAGTTCACAGCCCACAACGAACCACGCCACATGATGCATCGTCAAACGTCTGCTGTCTTCCCTGGGAACCACAATCAGATTGGTGGTTCCTCCAGCATCATGAACCGGTTTTCGCCAGACCATCGCAATGGGTCTGGCCAACCGGGTTCATCTAGCTTCTTCAATGGGCATAATAGTGCACCACAGGATACCTCAAGCATTTTCAATGCGAATCGCCACCAACAGGAAAGGTCTCCATCGACAGAAGAATCTGAGGAAAAGCCCGCCAACGATGAAGACCAATGATGAAGTTTATGCCCGCAACTCTCGCGCCGGCAGAATCGAATCCATATGAACTCGACCATAGTCTCTGTACTGGCAACCGAGTGCCGATGCGTTGGCGACCTCACTGAACCCAACCACCCGAGAGCTGCTTGAGGAAGGCCGATGAAGACATGGCTTAGCTAGCCACGCAAAGCTGGCCGTTGCCCTGGATGGATCCGAACCGAATTGATGCATCGTCCTGCCCCAGTCAAAGAGGTTTCTCCGACCTCAAGCAGCTGCAGTGCGCTTTTGGAGGGAGTGGGGGCAGGTATCTTGCACTTCTTTTACTTCCCAACATTTTTGCAATTGCTTACAATCAGATTCAGCTAGAGAGTACCTTTTTCTATTATTATGTCTGTACCGTACGACCAAAGGCGCCATTTGTTCTAGCTACATGCCTATTAGATTTCATCTGGCACATCACGCAACTGATCCAAAAAGTCTTCAAAAAGATCATCCATCTTGACGGTCGCGGCCAGAAAACCTTGTCTGTCTTGATTTGAGACTGGTCCATCGGCTGCCTTGGCATATTTTTTGAGTGATTCTGCATCGGCCAATGCCTGTTTTTTCTTGTCCGCGTCAAAGATACCGCCCGCAATGCCCTTCATGTCGTCGGCAGATTGATAAATTTGACGCAGAAACTGACTAATGTTGTCCCATTCCTTCCTGTCAATTTCGGCAGAGTTATCCTTGACTCGTGTCGCCACGCCCTGCGCATAGACCAAACAGTGAGTGAGTAAGTCTTTGCGCAACGCTGCTACAGAACAGTGCTAGCTAGGTTTTAGCCGCATTCCTACCGTACCTTCAAGTCTGCCTTTACCCGAATCAATCGGGCGAATTGTCTTGCCCCTTCTGGCAGCATGGTTCCATCCGACACATCCGCCCAAGCGGGAAGGGCAGCCGCGATGGCAGCCACTGAGAATCCCTGTACAATCACATCTCGTCGGCTTGCCGAAAGCGCCGTTGCTGCAACCTTTTGTTCCGGAACGGGAATGAGGAATCCAGAGACGGTGCTCGTCAGCAGGAAAAGGATGGATAACCGCGATAACATCATGGAACTATCTGGCTGGCAAATATAGTGGAAGAAAGAGTTGAGTTCGCTGGTATGGTGTTCAACGATTGATGATGAGGGTTTTCCTCTTTCGGCAGGACGCCATTGTCACATCTTGATGGCACGTTCGTATGCGCGTGGCGTGTATCTTTCGCGATTGAGTCACTGAAATATCCGCGAGTAAAATCTTTCCTGGTTCGTGGATCTATGGTACGGTACTCAAGGCGTATGTATGTATGAACGTATCCTGTATCTTCAACTCGAACCAAAAGCCGAGCAATGGTTCAAAGAACAAAACAGGAGACCTGACCTCGACTACTAGCTAGCTAGTATTGAGGCTGGAACTATTGAGGCTGGAACTATCGAGCACTCTCACCAAAGAAGCGAGATTTGTTTAAGAATACCAATGATGATGATGATGTTCCAGAAATTGTCGTGGTTGGCGCTATTGGCCCCTCTCTTGGCCGAGGGATTTGTTTCCCCCCAGACACCAGCGTCATTGCCCTCCAGTCCGTCCACTACAAGGTTGGGTCTGTTTGGTGGGAGCGGAGCCAAGATTCCAAGTTCTCCAGCTGATCGGTAAGTGTTTCCTATCGTAGCACATACGACAAGGCGAAGGAAATTCGACTAAACTGACTCTTTTCTCATTGCTTCACGTCATTCCTTTTCCTCACTCTTCTTGAAAGAGATAATCAGGCCATTGCGGGAGTCAAAGCAGCCATTGGAAAGCCGAAGACTAGAGGATTCCCACTGATCGAATGTGAATTCCCACCACTTGTGGCTCTCAATAAGTTGGGCGATGGGTCAATGAGATCGGCAATCGAAGTCGATCAGGTGAGCTCCGCCTTTATTCTGGAGAATGATTCCCGCTGTGTGTGTTTGTCACTACAACTGCACCTAACTATCTTTGGATGCGTTGGTTGGATTGATTGTCATGGCTTATTTACGTACTTTCCAATTAATGTTGGTCCAGGCCAACCTGGCGTTTTGTTCCAAACTGATCAAATCCATTTCTGTTCCTCTTTTGGGTCCCAAAGTTTGGCTCTTGACCAGTGGCGGTGCCGCAAACGCATTTCAATCAAAGGCAGAAAAAGCCGTCAAGGGGTCGGCGACGGTGGCATCGCTCCGCAATGGAATCCCAGAAGGAATTTCCAAGGGAGACGTTTGCATCTTTATTTCACCCAATGGACGTGGAGACTACAATGTCGCCAAAACGCTGGCGGAAACCACGGCCAAAGCGGTCGTAGTGGTCAATGGACTCGCCAAGGATCAAGATAGTGTCCCTGGCAGAGCCACCATGGCATATTACCTCAAACCACTCACGTACAATTCACAGGTGGCGGGATACTTGATTCGAAGTTACCCCGGACAATGGACCGTACTGGATGCTGTGACGAAGAAATCATTGGGTTCCTTTTCCGATAACGAGATTCTGTTTGGAAACTCCAATACACCCGATTTGAGAGAGTCAGGACGACTCGTTCAAAAATCTACAGATGATCGGGCCATCGCAGCTCGAAGTAGATAAGTATTTACAACGCTAAACGACAGTCTCAACCAGAAGGTGCGTCTTGTCCAAGGAGGACTGGTTTGCATTGCGGCAAGGATCTATCTTTCGTGAACGGTCCAGATGTCTACTTGAGATTAGTCCATTGCCTCTACGTCGTTGCGACGGATAATATTGAGAACTGCTGCTTGGCAAAAGATTGCACAGAAGCACAGCTACGAAAAATAGAGACAAAATTTGCTGTTCTAGAAGCAATATCAAAAACTGGCTGGCATTCTCCGCCCGTGATCAGCGAGGAAGCTACAAATCCCAGTCGAGGTCGCAAAATCGGTGCTTCAAATGCAGGAGTTAATCAAAGAGCCCGTCATCGAGCCCATCCTCGTCATCACTCGGAAGATTGGTGTGGACAGTGAATTGCGTGTCAACAAAAGCGAGCGATGATGGGGCCGTCGCTATGTTGTTGAGGAAGGCACCAAGCTTTCCATGCTCCTGGTGCATTATCAGCTTTCCTCGCTCATGATTTCCCCACTCACGATACAACCTGACAGCCTCCAGCAAGTGATAGGATGCATCACTTGCAAGTTCGTGACGAGCGTAAAAGTCACCGAGACGTTCGTTGCCTAGCGCCTGGATATGGCGAAATCCTGATCGGCCGGCCAGGAGGATTGCTTCCTTGTAAAGCTTGACCGCTTCGGGAAACATTTTCTTTTTGGTGGATATTTTTTCTGCTTCCAGAATCTTTGCGTAATGGACCACATTGGGGTTGGATTTCTTGGCCCAATCGGCTATTTTGGATGAATGAATTTGTGCCATATTCTTGAATTTCTTCTTCCCCGTTCGTTGATATTCTACGTGGCAAGCCAAACCACAGTGAAAGTGGAGAGGAGGCAGCCCATAGGCCCCTGTGAACTGTTTATCGAAAAATCCTTTGTGTGCGTCGAATTCTTCGATTAGCTCCACCATGCGTTTGAAATCCCCATTCCAGAACGCATTGTCCAACCGCATCCGTTTGGCGTGGCCTTTGGCATTGCTGTGTGAATCGTCTGAGCACGAGAACAGCTCATCCCAATTGAAGGCTTGCCCATTCAAGTCTGACGCGTCTTCCTCCATTCCCGATTGGTTCAAGACGAGCTGCCATACAGCTCGCGATGCCCATGCGATTTGCTCTTGCTGGAGATCTTTCATCTGTTGAATGTAGACTTTGCAATCTCGCTCTAGCATATCCAGCGGTAGGCCCTGGTGGTACCCGATTTCCAAATAGACCATAATGCTCCAAAGTGCACTCTCGACATCACCTGTGCTGAGACCCCCTCGGTATCCATCCAGCAAAACTTTTCGAAGGGATGTCAGTGGCAGCTGCCAGTGCAGTACAAAAGATGCCGTCACAAACTGGCTCCTTGACTTGGCGGTTGTGTTGATTTGCTCTTTCCCATCGCCGACCTTTTCGAACAGCCCCAGAGACATTTCCCCAAACTTTCTGCAACCTTCTAGATCTCCCAAAGCTGCCGCCAACAACAAGCCCACGGTTGATAGAACGGGAGGCGTGTAGTCGCTGATTCCGAATTTGAGAGTGTATTTCAGGCCTTTGAATATCACCAACGGAAAGATTTCGGATTTGTTTTGGAAAGCATAAGTGACCAGCTTGTCGAGAAGCTTCATCACCCATTGCTTCGATGGATCCTTCATGACAGACAGAGTGGGGATTGCCTGTTCGATTTTCTTCACGTTCATCTCTGCTTTGATCAACCCTCCTAACGTATGGAAAACCCAACCGCGCTTGGGGAACTTGCAATCAAGCAGTTCCAAAACCTCGAGGCACTTTTCTTGTGCCAATCCTGTCTGTCCTCCGGCAGCAATAGAATCCAGCAGCGTGGTCCAAGCTCTCTGCTTGTCCAAAAGTGGCCGTCCGGCACATTCTTCTGCTCCAATGACAGCCTCGCAAAAGGCTTGAGTTTCTTCGACCTTCCCAATGCAGTGATGCGCTTCTGCGGCAGAGGAATAGAGTTGGAGGCACAGCCTGTAGTGGGTGGTCCAGGACCCTTCCGGAAGAAGTTGGATCCCTCTCGCCAAGTACGCCGCAGCACTCAGAAAGGCGGCACCCTTCATGGCCCTCTCACCAGCCGTTCGGTTAAGTTCCGCCAGCATGGCTCGTTTGGGATTGTTCTTGGGGATTTTGTTGGTGTCCTCGTCCAAGAGGTTGACTACGATGAAGATGTTGGCTTCGAGTTCCTTCTGATCGAATTCTTCCATGAGAAACTCTCCCAACTTGTACCGCCAGAGCGTCAGGTTTTCTGGATCGGCCAACGTCAATGCCGATTCCTGGAGTTTGTCGTGCGCCCACTGAATGGTCTTTCGTTTCTTGTCTATAATCAAGAGTCCTTCCTGATGGCACAAGTCCATAAAATCATCCGGATGAAAGGCTTCTGTGTTTCCCTTTTCGCTGGCGTCAGCAATGTGAACGGGCAAACCTTCCAAGGATCGCGTCGACTCTTCAATGGGTTTCATGCTGCCGCCCGCCGTGGGCGATTCGGGTGGGAAGAAGACTTCATCATTAAAGTGTTTGAGTACACGTTCAAAGACGGACTTTTCAAAGGAGGATCCCAGACATGCCACAATGGGCAACAGTTCGCGAATCCCATTGGGCAGCGTTTCCATCTTTTGTTGAATGATTTCCACGACATTTCTCGTGGCCGATTCGCGGAGTGTAATCTCTTCGGTACTCCAATCCCATCGAAACGTTCCGACGTTGAATCGCAACAACGGCGGAGCATCCCCGTGATCCGCCGCCAAACTCTTGAGGAATTGGACGACATAGAAAACGTTGCCACTTGTTTTTCGGTGTACGCATTCGGCCAAACTAAGTGCTTTTTCGGGTGTTTCGGCACTGAGTAGATCGACGAGTAGTTCATTGACTTGTCCGAGTTCCAGATTCCCAATGGGCATTTGATGAATGGCCAAGGAAAGGTCTTTGTCTGCCTGGACCATGGCCCCTAGTTCTCGCACAGTGGTCATGAGTGGATGTCGTTCATCGACTTCCTCGGATCGATAGGTGGCAATGACGATCAATCCTTGTTCGTGATTGTCTGAATTGTTGTTGAATTCTTCCGAGGCAATGCACGGTTGTGGAACGGTAGCTCGTCGACAATCCGTGACGAGCGTCTTGATCAAGTCGAGGGACGCTCCATCGGCCCATTGCGTGTCATCGAGGAATAGTACGACTCGACCAAAACCGCAGAGAACCCGCATCAGTTTGCGAAAGGCAAAGTTGAATCGATTCTTGGCTTCCATGTATCCAATACTGGCTCGTTTTGTTTTGCGACGACGAATACTGTTGTCGTCATTGTCGTCAAAAAAGTCGGAGCTTCCCGGCGAATCAAACAAATAAGCTCCCGCCGCGTCCTCGCTCCACAAAATTTGCGTCAAATCGGGAAATACCGTGGTGAGGACTTGCAGTTCATTGGCATCTTCGGGACCACCGTCGTCACTACCACTACTACCATTATTCCCACCCAATTCTCGTTGCAACGTGGCTTGCATTTCTTCAAAACTGAATTGCCACTTATTTCCGGCTCGATCGGGGTTTTCCTTGTGGGCGAGCAAACTGTCGCAGAGTTCTCGACACGCCATGGTAAATGCCGAATAGGGCTCATCGCCGAGTTGATCGAATTTGCCACCCAAATAAAAGCCGGCTTCTCGCAGTATCGTCGGTTTCAAATTGTGCACAAGGGCACTTTTGCCCGCTCCAGCGGGGCCACTGAGAGTCACCAATTGTCGGCGCTTATTGTTGTTGCTAGTGGCAGAGAAATGAGTACTAGTATAAGCGGGTGTAATTTTGGCGCGGCCAAAGACGTCCTTGAGTTGTGCCAATTCGGTATCGCGTCCGTACAACGTGGTTTCACTAAAGCGGAGTGTATTCATAGTCAGGGAGCTATGCGCTCGATCCATGCCACTGCGCAACGAATCACTGCGCGGTTTGATAATGGCCGTACAGCTGGATTTGCGTTTGGCGCGACCACCCGTCTCACCACTCGCAGTGCGGCCCAACGTAAAGACATCATCCACAGTGTCGGACACATCCGTCAAGAGGGAAATGCCGTCTTCGGTGGTCGTCCTGCCACTGTCATCGTGAAGGACGGAGATGGGTGTCTTGGTCTCGATCAGAGTAAAGCGCTTCTTCTTCTTGTCGTGCTGCTGTTGTTGTTTCCGAGGCGTGTGTTCGGACCGGCTCAGCATCATCAAGGACGACTGCGGAGGAGCGTCATCTGGGGGTGGCTGCATGGTGGAACGACGACGAAACATTGTGAACTATTATCTTCTTCTTCTCTCAGCAGGGGCTCAGACGGGTCAGATCAGGGACAGCGGTAGCACAGGGAGGGAGAGCGATGCTTTGAGTGGTGCCCAGCTGAATAACGATGTAAGTGAGCAGTAAAGAAATAGATAATGTGAGGGATCAACGAGCTCTCGGGGCCCTGGCAAGACTTGACAAGGATGCAAGAAGAATGGAAGAATGTCCCTGGATTACTGGTAAAAGTGGCTCCGCAGCAACAAAGGGAAGAGGGGTGCGCACTGAAGTCTTATAACACTGAACTGGCAGCTTTGCTACTCGCTAGATCTAGTACTTACTTCAGTGACAGTCAACAGAATCTTGGTTGGAAGAGGTTGTATGCGGCATCAACCACCAAGCTGGGTTCGGGGCTTTAAATTTTTGAAAAAATAGCGAGGCACAAGATACGATATTACCCCTGATCATGAACGGTGCGGTTCAACGCTTTGATTGCTTATTTCGTTGTGCGTTCAACAATGATTCCTTTGAAGTAAGTAACTTCTAACTCCTGGCAAGTCTTCTGGGTCTGGCACCATAATAAACCCGCCAAGTCAGATCCAAGTTCTAACGATCAAAATGTCCAGAAGCAAAGCTGCCCTTGTCTTCTTCTCAGAAATAGGTTTAGAGGGCTCAAAAGCTATGGAATGAACAAAGCATCCGCAACGGTTCGCACTATTTGCAAGCTACTTTAGTGTATTTATTTTAAAAGTTCGCACACAGTTATAACAAAGTTTCTTCCAAGTTTCGTCCTCAAGAGTACAATACACGAGCTTCAGAATACACCTTTGCCGTACGGTATGACTTACACGTATGTAAGTACTGTACTGTATCGATACCCCAGAACCTGTTCAGGGTTCATGCTTTCCAACCAACAACCAACAACCAACTGCTTCACGAATGGTGTGCATTTATTTAGTTTCGCTCCATAGAGGTGTGCCAGTTATTGAATCCGATCCTTGCATACCAGTACGGCACGATGTACATGTATTGTCGAAAGATTCCATCCATCTACCGGTACCATTGCCAGAAACATGGCTGCTTGCTGAAAGGTTTTTTCAATGTATGTGGTACGAAAACACCCATGTCATGCAGTACGAGTAGCGGCAGAGCTACGTACTAGCTAGCACTGGTACCTTCATTCAGCAACGCAGCACTGGCCGCAAGAGCTCGGGGCAGAATTGAGCGGCACATTTCAGCCATCATGATGGGTACAAGAAGAGACTCCACTCAATTAAATTTTATTCCATACCTTAGCTAATTTCAGCTGATTTCAACTCATTCGGCGCTTACGCTTTTTACGAAATCGAGAAATCAAACACTTTGTGGAAGCTTCACGGAAAGAACTGGCACAAGGGCTTGCTGACAGCTGGCTCTCCGCAAGATTTGGATAGTACCACTGACTTGCTAGCCGGCTAGCCTGCAAAATAACTGAAAATTCATTCGATTGATCGTTCATCTTCGATCTCAGCCTTTGGCCCTAAAGATTGTAAAACAGCCCTCTTGGCTTATATCCTGACGTCACATTTGGATCCCCCCTCCCAAATCTTTCATCAGCCTCATTTTGACGGCACAATCAACAATCATGGTGGCTATCAACGGGCATGTTACGCTTCATAGAAAGCTTTTCCTGTGTGTTTGGCTATGGCATATCTGCTTCATTCAAACTACCAATGGGTGGAGCGCCGGTGGTCTGGACCGAAGAGGCGCTCTTCAGCTTGCACAGACTTTGCTTTTGTCATCGGATGTTGCCTCCAGCAATCCGGTAGCAACAGCAGCGTCTCCACCGGTAATGCCTGATGCCCAGGTCACAGACAAGGTCTTTATGGATATTCGGATTGCCCGCCAAGATGGATCTACCTATATTCGCGACGATCTACCCGACACTTTTGAAAATACAGTCGTTTACATCCGTCTCAAGCTGGGGCTCTACGGCAAAGCAGCTCCCAATCACGTGGAAAAGTTTTTGAGTTATGTCATTCCTCCGCAAGACAACGACATGGAGAACCCATTTCCATCCTATGGTCGATCCAGTTTCCCTGCATTGGATCAGGATGCTGGTTTGCTACGAGGTGGATACATTCCATCCTTGCGCTTGACCGAAGTGGGTGGATCTTCGGCACTCTCGTATGGAGCACGGATTCTACCTGCCAAACTATGGATTGATCGACCCGCCGTGGAAAAATTGTCTCATTCGGCCAAGGGACTGCTGACGCACAAAAACTTGGATGCCACTCCCAATTTTGGAATCACCACACGTGCCGCCCCCTCACTCGACAATACTCAAACAGTCTTTGGACAGGTACTTTGGGATGAGGAAACATTGAATTGGTTTCGATTATTGGAAGATCTACCCACTTACTCCGTCAACCGACCGTCGGGATACGATGACTTTAACACTGGTGGAGCAGCCTCAGCCGTCTATAATGCACAACGAGAGTTGTTCCGTGGGGCTGCCAAGTCGTTCGGAGATTCTCGAATTGATAAAATCTACGATGGAGAACTGCTGCGGCGTATGGAAGTGACGCAAGTTGGGAGATTGTAACAAACGTACAGCAGCAGTAGCAGCCTAGTTTTTTAATAGCGAAACGAGCTAACTAAGAATGTTGCATTGGTGATAGTCGTACCTTACCAGCTTGCCAGAAGCATATTTGATCGGAGCAACCGACAGAAGCGATGAACCCCAAGCATGGATCCTTCGTTCAAGGCAATGGCTGTATTAGTATGCCACTTTACGAAGGAGTTCAGTGCTTTTCTGTTCAGGGAATGGATGTTGCTTCTGATTGGTGAAGAGGATCGGTGGACTCTGGATTGGGAATTGGCAACAAGCAAAACAATTATGCAAGCAAGCAAAGACGAAAGTGTGGAGAGGTACGAGTATGAGGGCTGAAGAGGGGTGGCTAGCTAGCATAGATAAATTCCTGATCCCGGTACGGGTACCGGTACATGTTGCTGGTCTTCTAGCTAGCTAGCGGTAGGCTCTACGGTACCATACCTGGGGCAAAGGTATCGGTACCAGGTACTGAAGTACATACGTGTGCACCTGAAGATTTAATTAAAATTTACTGGCCACATAGCCAATTTACAAGGAAGTTCTCATTGGCGCTGGACACCTCCAAGGCACGGGCACGAGGAGCGACGCCGAGAGCTCGTGCCCTCCCCTGCCCAAAGCATTTCTCACTCTTTTTCTTCCTCCTTGCCGCTACTCCAGAGTACTACTAGTAGCTGGTCTAATAGTAGCTAAGGTCTATTAGCAGTCTAGCTAGTAGGGTACATACGACAATGATTGCTCCAGTTGACGATGAACTGTTGAGCCTACGCATCAAGTCGGCGAGTCAAAAGTTTTATGGGAGGGATAAGGAGCTCAAGTCGTTGTCAAATGCCTACCAACGTTTGTGTCACCGCCACTACCACCGAATGAACGGACGGAGTGCCGCCAACAACGAAGTTGATACCACAACAACAACAGAAGCTGCGTCCTTAGAACCATCAGTGGCGTCAGAAGGAGCAGCTGCGCATCAGGTATCAATCCATGACGAGCCTGATGAGAATGTCGTCGTTCCCGATACTACTACTAGGGGTAACAAGAATGGAGGTACAACAAGTACAAGTTCATCTTTTCCACCTTCCAACGGGTGCTTGGCTGTCTACATAACCGGAGCATCAGGAGCCGGAAAAAGCACCCTAGTCTACAAGTTTATTGAGGAAATGGAATCGAAACAAGGAGAGCAAGACTATTTCGAAAACCCCCTTACGATAAATGGAAAGAAGGTTGAATATACCCCTTACCTCCCGTGTTATTTTCTTAGCGGAAAGTTTGATGAGCCCAGCTGCGAGGGAGTGGGCAGTAGCAATCCTTACAGCGCCTTTGTGGAAGCAATTGGTGGATTTTGTGCATCACTCATCCATGACCAACGACTACCCTTTGATGATCCCACCTTGCAGCCGATACGCCAAGCCGTTGGGAGTGACGGGAAAGTCCTGGTCGATCTCGTTCCAGATTTGGTGGACATATTAGGGCCGCAGCAAGAGCCTCCAAAGAGCTCCTCCAAGGACAATGCACTCCACCGGCTTCACTTCATCTTCAAGAACTTTTTGAAGGCTATCGGAACTATGCGGCCAATCGTACTGTTCATTGATGACATCCAGGTACGTTCGCAATGTTGCGTCGATCGATTGCACCCTTGCTGGCAACGACAACTCACCAGCTTTCCTGCGAATATGTATTAGTGGGTTGACCCTGCATCGTTAGCCTTAATTGACTCAATACTGAAGGATCCGTCCTTGGAGCAGATAATGTTAGTGGGGGCATATCGGGTTTCACAAGAGGAAAATGGTTCGTCAAGACACGATCGCAAAGAATCTTTTGATGAGTCCACAGCTGATGAAACATATACGAGTAGTCTGAGATCTCTGGAAAACAACAACAACTCGCGTGCCCCTTCAGATCGAAGCCAGCAATGGAACACAATGTCCATGGAAGACATCACGGACTGTAACGCTTTCATGGCGTCCTTGAAAGCAGTAAAGCCTTGCCTGAGAGTCATACAGGTACAGAATTTGTCGCGAGAAGTCATTCGAAAGTACCTATGGGATGTACTTGATTTGCCCGCAGAAGACGTGGCCGAAGTGACGCAAGTCCTCTACAGAAAGACTAGAGGGAACATCTTCCATATGCTACAAAGTCTGGACGAAATGCAGAGGAAAGGGATCCTGCGGTACGTCCAAATGTGCCAACAGTGGGAACTGGACATTGATGCTCTCGGCCATTATGCCAGTCGTCAAAAAGAAGCCCCGGGACAACGTGGCGTAGTCGCAGTTTTGAAAGACAAAGTGGAAAGCTTGCCCGAACAGGTGCAGCGCGCATTGACCGTGGCAGCTTTCGTCCGATCCACGTTCGATATAGAAACGCTGCAAGATCTTCTGCAGGGTGAGCCAGGAAGCGAAAACGGGTGTAACCACAACGGCAGCAGTGATCCGAAGGTTATGCTGCCTGGGATTGGATTGAAAGAGCTGATAGGTCTTTTGGATGTTGCTGTGGTTCAAGGGCTGTTGAAGAACATGACAGGGTCGTTGAGCTACTCATTTTCTCACGACAAAGTCCAAGAAGCTTGTCGTGCCCTTGTGCATGAAGGGGGGCGGGACAAGCTCAACATTTGGATTGGAAAGAAGCTGGTTGTGAGAGCCAAGAGGCTGAACCAGGAGTGGATGCTTTTTGTTGCATCTGATCGGTTGAATGAATCCTTCCCTTGTGACTGTTTGGATGCAGCTGAATTGGCTGCCTTAAATTTGAAGGTCGGAGAATTGGCAGCTTCCAAGAAATCTGCCTTCGGTCCTGCATCCAAGTATTTGCGGGCGGGCCTTAAATGCCTCCGCTTCATTCCTGAGCCAGGGACTCAAAATGGTGAAAGAATAGAATCGGATGGCTCTAATGAAAACCATCCTGAGGGATGGGAGCCTGTGGCGACACCTTGGCGCTGCCATTATGACCTTACCCTGGCGCTCCATCGGTCAGCGGGAGATGTTGAAATGTTACTGGGAAACCACGACTTTGGCATGATGCTTTCACAGGAGGTATTCCAACGTGCAAAAAACTTTGAAGATATGCTACCAACTTACACTGCTGTGGCAGACAGTTTTGGGCGACTTGCCCAGCATTCAGAAGCTCTGCAGTGGAACCTGAGGGCGCTAATCAGACTGGGGCAATTCCCAAAACGATGTTACGCTTTGCATATCATGGTCAACCTCAGGGCGGTGAAGTTGGCATTTCGTAGGCTCACGGACTACGATATTCTGATGCTGCAGAAGTTGACTGACGCAAAGCTATTGGCTACTATGGAACTCTTGGTGAAAATGGCACTCCGAGCATGGTTTTGTAGATCAAAGCTTATTTTTGTGCTGTGCATCTTAAAGGCGCTACGTGTGACATTCCGCCACGGGATTTGCGGACACGCCGCTTTCGCACTGGCCGCATATGGTCTTATCATCACGGGGGAAATGAGCGGTGACGAGAAGCAGAGTCTTCGAATGGCCCGCTTGGCCAGGGAGGTGCTGAAAGAAACAAATGCTAAAAACGTCGAGTCAAGCACTACTGTCGTCGTTGCAGGTTTCGTGGAGGCGTGGTCCATTCCAATTCATCAGACCCTGGAAACATATGAGCAGGGCATGCAGGCTGGACTCGAAACTGGTGATATTGAATTTGCCTACTTCAATTCGGATGGAAAGTTATTGCACTCCATTGTGGCTGGACGGTCGCTGGGTAGCGTTGAAGAAGAGGTCAAGAGAGTCATACCGGAGCTGAGGCAACACTCGTTGGAGACGTCCTTGGCAACATGTCTAGCGCTGCGAAAGCTCCTCTCGCTACTAAGGGGCCAAGCGGATCCTAGCTCTGCGAAACGAAGCATGTTCGGCGACGGCGAGATTCACAGCAAAGCCCACAAATGTGCCGACAGTTTAGAGCCGTCCAAGGCAGGTCAGAATGATCATCATCTCGTATGGTCATACTGGGGGCAACTGCAACTCTCGTACTACTTTGGGGACTATACCGAGGCAGACAGGGCTGCGAAGATGTTCGAAATAGAGGGAGGGAAACATAACTCATCCTACGTCGCGCGGGGTACGTGGCTCTTCTTCACCGGAATGATAGCCTCGAGCTTGGCTCGCACGACGGGGTTGGGAAAGTACGAGAGACGTGCTCGGAAAGCATCGGAACGGACGAAAGCCATTATCCGGAGATGCGGTCTCACTCTGTTGCACCGGCACGCTTTGATGGAAGCAGACTACCTCATGACAAAGTCTACAGCTTGCTTTAGGGGACAGCAAGAACGCAAACTCCCCAGCGCTGCGGAAAAGCTCGCAACAATCGAGGCCTTTGATCGAGCTATTGCCGCTGCAATTGGAGCTGGCGTCACGCAAGATATAGCATTGGCACATGTGCTTGCTGGCGAGTTCTGTGTTCACTGCGGTGACAGCGACGAGGCAAAGAAGCACTTTCTCGAGGGGCGACGAATGTTTCACAAGTGGGGAGCAAGAGCCATTGTGGACGATTTGACAGAAAAGCGAGCAGAGTTCTTTGGGCAGTCAACGGAGCTGGCGCTGCAGGATGGTCTTGCTCCGAACTCTCCCGTTTTCAGTTTCGCGTTGAGCATCGACGTATGAGACGACGTGGTTGATCCATTTTAGGGACGGTGGGAGGTGCAAGTGCTGGGTAACTTTTGAAGAGTTTTACCGCCTGGCTGTGTAGACCCCCACCTGGATGAAATGAAATGGTAAGGTCGTGGGGTTCTTTGGCCACCTGAGTGTTCCAGCTCCGAATGCTTGGATGCGTTCGTCTCCGTTGCAGCACCACCGAGTTCAAAGTTCAGCAATGGTAAATTATGGTGGCTCAAGAGGCTCCAAAGAGCGTCTTAAGACTTTCATCCAAGGCTACAGTGACCTTTTTTGACTACTATGTTTGATGCTACAGCGTAGTAGGGCTCTTCAACCAACTCGGCATTGGCCCCAGCAGCCGCCTGAAACCTGGTGCTCGGTAGTACACGGTAGTTCGCATATCAGAACCTCAAACCATTGGTACAGAAAGTACAGCAGGACCGGCGTGCCCACATCAGCCCAATCCGTACACTACCTCTGTAGAGCCGCTGTAGAGCCTCTGTAGAGGATTAGCCAATCAGAATGGTTCGATCTTCGATGACGTCAGTCGGCTGTGACGTCAGTCGTGCATGCACGTCAGTCGTGCACACGATTCAATATTTCGATGACGATTTCGCATCTCTGTGTCAGCTCGATCAGTCTCTCGTGGTGTTGTTTTCGTGTTGTTTTCGTGTTGTTTTCGAAAGACCGAGCATGCATCCAGAGGATTTCGCCAGAGGATTTTGAATTTGAGCGAGATAGTGAAGCAAGACAATAAAACCGAGGTCATCCCTTCCGTATTCAGTAGCCGCAGAGGTACTTCGCAGAGGTGTACTTACCGCATTCAGTAGCCGCAGATTCAGTAGCCGCAGAGGTACTCCTCACCGCAGCCGAGGACATAGCCGCTTTCATCGCAATATTCAGACGATCGAGTGAGTTTACGAGAGGCGGCTGTACCACCATACATCCGGACAGTACTCTCCAAGTGGACGGTTCCCACAAGGTGGACGAAAACGCATGGTGTTCTTGCCGGCTGTTGGCAAGACAGGACGTGCATCTGTGAAGGCTAGGACTCCTCTAGTGCGGGAAAATTGGATCGGCACTGCAGAACCATTTCCCACAGGGAGCAGTCCACGGAGTTCACATCCCTGTTATGAGAGCCCTTGCAAGGAAGGACGAAGCTGCAGGCCAGGGCCAGTCTCAAATTACGAATTTCTTTGGGAACAGCATTGACAAACGATGGAAGGCAGAGCAACAGTCTAGCAGCCATGGAATTTGAGCTCCCGGCTCACACTCAAATTCTCTTCTTTATTGCCTGAGATATTTGACCGCAGCATGCATCCTGGAAAAGCATTCGAGGTACAAGTTCATGGACCCAGCAACAGGCAAAGAAGGACTCAGCCTCCATGCCCCCAGTGTGGCACCAACAAGCATGTGTCAGGAGGCTCTGCTGCAGTGCTTTGAGGGCAAGCCAGAAGACCATGTGTTCCACTCCACTAGCTAGCTAGCTTGGTGGTTGGGCCCCAGGGGCCCAATCTTTATGGTTCAGAGCCCCCTGCGGGGGCTCAACCTTTATAGTTCTAGCTTAAAAAATTTTCAGTACACGGTAGTTCGCATATCAGAACCTCAAACATTGGTACAGAAAGTACAGCAGGACCGTCGTGCCCACATCGCCCAATCCGTGCACTACCTCTGTAGAGCCGCTGTAGAGCCTCTGTAGAGGATTAGCCAATCAGAATGGTTCGATCTCGATGACGTCAGTCGGCTGTGGTCAGTCGTGCTGCACGTCAGTCTCACACGATTCAATATTTCGATGACGATTTCGCATCCTGTGTCAGCTCGATCAGTCTCTCGTGGTGTTGTTTTCGTGTTGTTTTCGAAAGACCGACGGAGCATGCATCCAGAGGATTTCGCGAGATGAATTTGAGCGAGATAGTGAAGCAAGACAAAAAACCGAGGTCATCCCTCCGTATTCAGTAGCCGCAGAGGTATCGCAGAGGTGTACTTACCGCATTCAGTAGCCGCAGATTCAGTAGCCGCAGAGGTACTCCTACGCAGCCGAGGACATAGCCGCTTTCATCGCAATCCTCCGAAGACGATGAGTGCGAGTACGAAAGAGGCGCCGGCTGGTATCGACCACTACATCCGGAACATGTACTCCAGTGGACGGTTCCCCAAGGTGGACGACAACGGCATGTGTTCTTGGCGGCTGTTGGCAAGACAGGACGTGCACTGTGAAGCTAGGACTCCTCTAGTGGCGGGAAATTGGATCGGCATCTGCAGAAATTTCCCACAGGGAGCAGTCCACGGAGTCACATCCCCTGTTATGAGAGCCCTTGCAAGAAGGACGAAGCTGCAGGCCAGGGCCAGTCTCAAATTACGAATTTCTTTGGGAACAGCATTGACAAACGATGGAAGCAGAGCAACAGTCTAGCAGCCATGAATTTGAGCTCCCGGCTCACATCAAATTCTCTTCTTTATGCCTGAGATATTTGCCGCAGCATCCTGGAAAAGCATTCGGGTACAAGTTCATGGACCCAGCAACAGGCAAAGAAGGACTCAAGCTCCATGCCCCCATTGTGGCACCAACAAGCATTGTCAGAGGCTCTGCTTGCAGTGCTTTGAGGGCAAGCCAGAAACCATGTGTTCCACTCCACTAGCTAGCTAGCTGGTGGTTTGGCCCCAAGGGGCCCAATCTTTTTGGTTCAGAGCCCCCTGCGGGGGCTCAACTTATAGTCTAGCTTAAAAAATTTTCAGTAACGGTAGTTCGCATATCAGAACCTCAAACCATTGGTAAGAAAGTACAGCAGGACCGTGTGCCACATCGCCCAATCGGTCACTACCTCTGTAAGCCGCTGTAGAGCCTCTGTAGAGGATTAGCCAATCAGAATGGTTCGATCTTCGATGACGTCAGTCGGCTGTGACGTCAGTCGTGCATGCACTCAGTCGTGCACACGATTCAATATTTCGATGACGATTTCGCATCTCTGTGTCAGCTCGATCAGTTCTCGTCGTGTTGTTTTCGTGTTGTTTTCGTGTTGTTTTCGAAAGACCGAGGAGCATGC